GAAGAAAAAGCACGTTTGCAGCAAATGCGCTAGTGCCTAAAAAGGCCAATGCGAGACAAACAAGTTCTGTTGCAAAAGACACAGAATAAAAGCTCACTAGTTGATGCTGTGCACTTTTTAATACATTTTTTTTTTCTCTTAGAAATAAGATTCAAAAAAAGTATATAGATATTTCAAGAATGAAATCTGAAAGCAAAATATTTCATCAGCATTTTTAATTTTTGCTTAACCTGATTCTAACATTGCGTCTCCTATAATTCCGGCCGAATTAAAACTCCTTCAGAAAAATGAATTCAAAATTGGACATTCTTATTATAATTCTAGAGCTATGTTTTGTTAGTAGAAAGCAAACAGTGAAGTAGTGATTCCTTTCTTCGAAAAATTCTGAGCAAAATATTTTTTTGAAATCTTCAACATAACACAATTTTTTAACATTTCAAGATGTTATTTTTGAAGCTTTTTCTGCTTTGAGCATTTAAATAAACTATTTTATTTAAATAAATTGTGTATTGTATAGCCCACTCATACTTTCCTAAATAAAGTAATTTCAGACTTTTGATATGTTTAACATAAATGCCGCCTTGTAGCGTCTAGATTCTCACTCTTACCTTTGCATTTGACAAACTCATGACACCTCCTGTTGGCATATTGTTCCTCAAATAATGATCGAATGTGAAATCTTAATTTGACAAATAGCGTGTATAAGATGCGTTGAAAGCTGAAAATTTGAAAAAATTTAAAAGCGAAGCTATCACATGTGGAAATACACTCAGCAAACAAAAATTCCTTTTGATCTCTAAATGTCGTCTTTTTGCTCTTACTATTTCATATTGCTTACATCTGTTTGCTGTTATAATAAGTACCTAGAACTGCTTCATTTAATTTAAAACATGGTGGAAAGATAGATGAGTACCAGATAAGTAATGATATGATTATCATTTGAATCTGAATTACGTTGAAGTGAGGTAATGGAGATGGCGTCTAAATTTAAAAAGTTAGTTTGTTGCAGCATAAAAATTCAAGGTTTCTTATTAATAAAAATCTTTGAGAAAAAATATTCTTAAATGCAACAATGCAGCGAATTTTTTTAAATTGATGAGAATATAAGTTCCATGGAAATATTTCAGTAATAGAAGTTATCAAAATTTATTAAAACCGAGCACATTATTAACTTTATTCATTCAAAATTTTAAGGGATAAAATGCAGCAAATTTAAATCGAACGCAGAATTAAAAACTTGTCAACAAACAGCAAGTTAAGAAGCTTCTTTTCATCGTCACTTCTAGAAAAACTAAATAAACTAATATAATAAGATATGAATGATCAACTACATATTTGTGGAAGGCAGTGATAATAATCTAGCTAAAGGTAAGTAGGAAATTATAAATGAAGCTAATTAATTCCAATTTTAAAGCACGAAATTATCATTAGTGAAGATTAAAAAGTTTGCAATCAATATCTTTGGTATGATTTTTTACTTTCACATCGCAATTTTTCACTTTTTTCTTTACTTCAGCAATCCCTAAAGTTAAATGTAAGTTAATTTTATGACGACCGTACCAATTATTGCATTCAATTCACGACAATGCTTAAATTTTTTGGCATATTCAAAATCTGACTTTTATTAACAAAGTTTGCTCATTGATTATTATAATTTCATTCCCTTTTCAACCTTATTTACAACTTTCAGCAAACTTATTTCTAGCAAAAGTGTACGATTTGAATCCTAATCAGTTGAAATTCTCCTTATCTTTGTTCAGCTGAATACAATAATATCAATATTCTCATCATCATCGAACATTTTGCACAAGATTTTGATAGAAATGAAATTATTTTAGAATCAGTTAGATGTGATATTTCGCACAAAATAATATTTTAAACTTTAAATTTTCTTTTACATTAACAATTTTCATCTTCACACGGATTTTAATGTTACTACAAAGTATTTAATGAAAAAGTCATCACTGGTGATTGTTTATTCTCATGAAAACTAAGGAAAGTGGAGTTTTCACTTCCTATTTAATATTTTCACAGATACTCCAGCAAATTAATTAGTCTCTGTTTCACTTGTCATTTGCGATCTATTACAAAATACTTCGTTTATCTTCAACGATGAAACATGGCTTTAAATATTTGTTTATCAACTAATCACTGAAACAGAAAGTTGAAAAGTTAGGTTGAAAAAGGCAAAAGGTAATGGTTGGATAGGCACTGTATGAATGGGACACATGTGCTAGTGCTGGTAATTGATTTATCACTGCCTTTATGATGGCTTATGATGATATATTTAGCCTATGTGGCTCTTAAAAACCAGAGAATGAATAGCAAAGAGAAGGAATAAAGTAAAATTAGGCTTATTTCACGCATATGTTTTCTATGCCTCATAAATAGAAAAAGTGTTCAAAAGTGGTCACAAATTTTGTCATAAAAATATCAGAGGATCAAACTATGTCAAATATTTTAGAATTTAAACTGCACCATATAGCTAACCGGTTGGATATTTGATTGTTTTTAATGTCCTATTTATTTCTTCCTCATTTTATATCAACTTCGAGAATATGCTAAAAGAACATTAATAAAGGTTAATTAATATTGGGAGTAGTTGTATAAAACTTGAATTTGACCGATGATCAAAAGACGTAAAATGATAATGTGCAGAAGTTTTCAAAGTTCTTCCAAATTTCTTTTTCTTCTCAAGAAGAAGAAAATCGTTTTTCGGGAAATGAGTAAGTGGATCTGAAATTTATTTTATTCCCTAGCTAATTCTATAAATAACCTAAAGAAAGTAACAATTATAAAAATCACTCAGTATACATACAATATTATTAGTGTTTATTAATGTACAGACATTTTCACTGTTCTCATGATTTGTTGTATTTGGTATTTATCGTAGTTACATTTGCTACCTTAATTTCTTTTCTCAGCTCACAGACTCACAGATATGAAAAAGACAGATGCGGAAAATTAATTTTTTTTTTTTAATTTCTGGATTATCCGTGCAAGAAGATTTCCGCTACTTTAGAAATTGCTGACTAAAGATTTTAATGGTATTGTCATTTTAGAAACCTAAAAATCAGCAAATCGATCTTTCACTTATTATTTGCTCTCGCTACTTTGGTTGCTACTTTCGGCTAATATCAGACTTTATCTTCAAAGCCGTAAATGTGAGTCATCTCATCTTTTGCTCTTCTAATATTAACTCATATTCATATAAAATTTGCTTTTCATTACTTATTTTCCCCAAACAAATTAGTAACATGAAATATCACAGGCTGCTATGAATTTCTATGTTCTGTAAACAACCAAACAGAAGGCATTTATTGCTCCTAAAATAAAGTTTAAACATTAGTCAATGTATTTAAACTTCAATTTGTATAAAAAGTTTCAGGAACTTTCCCTTTTTTTGATTTTTTTGACATCAGCTGTTAGCAGGCAGTTTTTCTACCAATAAATGTTCTTTGAGTGCCTGTTTCTGTTGACCCATTAGAAAAAAAAAAAATCACTCACTTAAAATTCGTGTTCAAATATTTGTCTGATAAATAATGTAAATGTCAATGAAATATCATAACATAAATTCTGAGAGCAAGACTTCTTTCCTAAATAGTTCTGTAATAAAAGATTTCATCAGAATGCAGAGTTTCATAAAATTAAACTCTATCTAACACCTTTATAAGGAAACCATTTTGCCTCCTAAAAGCCACATATATTTTGAAATTCAGTCTAATTGGTAAATCTCTCCAGCAATCAGTGACCTGAAACTTTTCCTTACATGTTTGAATTTCAGTTCCCCACAAAGTTCCGATGCTCTCTCTCCCTTCCTCTTTCTATTTCTCTATCCTGTTGAAAATTGCAGTTGAAGTATTGCTAGCACAATTGTTTTAAACCGGTGTTGTTTTTGAAAAAAGCTGTCATCCATTCTCAATTTCTGTCAAATTAGAAGTTTTTCTTTTGACCGTACTTTTCTATCACATTGCAACTATTTTGGGAAGAATATTCTGAATAGTTAAGATCTAACTCAAAAGCCTATTTTTATAGAATAATTTTATATAATACCTATTTTTGTTGACATGATATGCTCTGATTTAACCGTCGAATCATTTGAAGATTTGTCTCTAGTTTTCATTTAATCAACTTCAAAATTTGTTTAATTTCTTTCAATCGAAAAGACAGGACTTTTTTGATGTTCATCATTTTTTGCATTCCCCAAATGTCTATCATAATAGCATTTTATTTTTATTCAAATTGATGCATATGAATCATTAACTATTTTTACTCTTTATTCTTTGCTTCCAGTTTTTGTTTTTGTTTTTTTGTTTTTTGCAATTGTACTTATTTCCACAAATCGGCTAAAACTTGTCACACTGATAAATTTCATTGTCCGGTTTAGCAATGATAAAGCTAGTTTGAACTTCTTTAATTTTGTTACTAATTAATTCTGCTCTTGCAAATCGCTATGAAACTTTTGCATCGATTGCATGTTCAGTATACTCATCTTTTTTAAAATTAAGTCTTTATCCAAAGTTCGTTACTGTAAAGACTAATGTAAAATTATATATTTATGGATAGATAGCCCTTCCTAGCATTCTTTCGCCCTTTTTGAACTTATTGAATCAATTCCTTTTTTAAAAATTTATTCATTTTTCAATGTTTTTTTAACATTATAATGTTCAGTAGTACTATAACAACAAAATCGTCACTTTAAATATGAAATTTACAATCATCATCTGATCTGATAAACTGTAACTATTCGATAGGACTTAATTTATTGAACTGAAAATTAAGGAAAATGGAAAGCCAAAGAATTAGACTTTTGGAAAAATATATACTTCTGTATATTGAAGTATATATTAGTCATTTGTTCAAAAATACGCCCATTTCTTTCGAGAAGTTCTATGCTTATGGACAGTTGTTTTTCGTACGTCACTACCCACGCACGCATGTAGTTTTATTTTACGTTTAAGTTAATATTTTTAGACGAAAGAATACTATGATGTCAGAGGATGTTGTGTGTAAATGACACTCCTTTATTTGATTTGTCTGACAATGCAACACGGTTATTTTTGGCCGCTTTGGAAGCTTTTCAAAGGTCAGTATATATCATATCAACTAAAGCCAAGTGTTGGAAGGCCAAAACCACAAATTAGAAATGATGAGTGAAATCAGATGTAATAGGAATTGCCTTCTAGTACTTATCATTTAACTTTTACTTTGAAGAGTTCAACTGATTACTGGAAAGTACATTTGCCTGATTGCAGGACCTATTCTCCGGTGCATGGTTTCATCTGCATAGTAATATGCACATTCAGCATTGGAACCAACTTGATACATATATTGGTACTAACTAGGCCAAATATGAGGTGCTCGGCGGTAAACTGTGTACTAACAATGGTTGCTATTTGCGATATGGGTACCATGGGATCGTATTTCATATACATTTGCCATTTTGTACTTTTCAAAGATACTACTTGGTTAGTTTCAATGATTCAGTGTAGCTTCAGTGATTGTTATTCGCATTTTACAATTTCACATGCAGTTTGGTAATATCACTCTTCATCTATTATCAGTGTTTTTAAATGCTTGTACTTGTATCAGCAACTGCTGAAAGTTAGAACATTTCTTTTCAAGATATGTTCATTAATCATTTTGATTTATAATGTGACTAAAGAACATTTGAGATGACAAAAATTTGAAGTTGAAATTTCCACATTTGCACATCATTGTATGTAAGAGTCTATACAACATCTTCGTTTTCTGTCACACTCAGCTATAAAAATTCTTGAATGTCAGACAACTGAAAATTCGTATGTCACCAATGCAATGCAAATCATATAAAAATTGCTTGACAACAGTCACCATTTTGAATTCTTTTTCAAATATGAGTTATTCCCTCGAGAGTCATTTTTTTCTATCAATGAATGACTGATTCCTTTAAAATTCATCTTTTGAACAGATCAAATATTAATTTAATGAACATTATGCAAATATAAACGACTTATTGCAGTGTGCTTATTTATTCCTATTTATGGATGCGGTATTTATTATGTCATATGGTACTGAGCATCACTTTGCATACAACTTCTCTCTGGTTAATTGTTGCAATGGCTTTTATCCGTCAGATGACTTTGAGAAATGCTATCCTCAATAGGTAATTACTCTTGAAACCTATCTTTTATATTCCTGGCCATTAAAATCATCATGTATCGTTTTTTTTAGCAGTAAGAAAAATAAGTTCTGTCATTTATTGATATAGTATAAAGCTATTAGATGCGTAGTAAAATTGAATTCGCAAGCTAATTAAAACCACTTTGTTGTTGTTAGAATTCACTTCAAATTATTTGTAAAGAATACCACTTGGTAGCTTCAATAATTGCAGCTTCAGCGATTGTTATTCTCATTTTGTAATTTCATCACAGAGATGCAATATTATCATATTTTAATGAAACTTATATATTTACAGCAACTGGCAAAAGCCACAGATGGCCTGGAGAGTTTGCACTTTAATATACTTCTGTGTGTTCATACTCTGCATACCGACATTTCTAATGTATGATGTGGTTGAAGTTGGTGATTGGCATCCTGCACCGCATTGTTCTCATAGCTTTCCACCTAATTACACTGCTAAGTATTACACCTTTCATGTAAGCTGATTTATTAAATCCAGAGGTTTATTAACTGTTGGGATAACTTCTTCAATATTTGCAACTATTAGATATGTGAATAGATATGAGAAGTCAATTCTACTGATCGCAACAATTGTTGGTGTAAAAACTTTAATTTATTGCTGCGCAATCATTGTTGATCTTACTATTTACCGTATTTGTCATTTAATCATTGAAATTTATAATTAAATTCCATATTATGGAATCACTGTTACTACGAATAGTTCATCGATAAAGTATTATTCCCAAAACATTTTGTGTCTGTAATTTCACTAATTACTGTTTCTACAGATGTCACCGTCTGCAATGGCAAATGGATGTCGTTTTTTTAAATGGAATTTATGGATGTCGGGAATCATTTTCAAGGTATTTGTACTTCATTTCTTGAAAGTTTTTATAATTGGTAACTACTTTTTGTTATTTACACGCTAGCTAGCAAAAATTATGTATATGACCAAAAAGTCTGTAAGTTGAAGTAAATTAAGTTGACTTAAGATCAAACATAAGAAATATTTTTTGCATCCTTAATAACTTTATTTTATCGAACCCGACAATTCTATTGTTTTTTACAGGTTGTACCATGCATATTGCTACTTTATTTTTCATCAAGTCTTATATTGACATTACATCAAACAACTAGAAAGCGTAAACTAATATTGAAATATAACTCAACAAAAATAAGGTTTTTTTATTAACTTTCTCAAACGATATCTTGAAATAACAGAAGAGTGGTATATTACTGTGTTAAGTGCTGATGTTTATTTAGTGATAAGTTTGAGTTTTTTGAAAGGCAGCACTGCTTATTGTAACAAATTTGCTTATCTGGAAAGGTAAGCTCTTTAATAATCTGATATATTAGAACTGAGAAATATAAAAATCAAAAACTTTAATTTAAAAGTATTATTTACACCATTTATCAGTTTTGGAGAAATGCAACTTACGACTAGTAAATCAGAAAAACTTTATTATAAATTTCGAATAAAAATGAGATGAATTTCAGAGGTGTCACTAAGTCAGATCGGACGTCAGCTCTATTACTTGCCATAGTGTTGGTATTTCTAATTGCCGAGATGCCGCAAGGTATCATCGCCATCATGAATGCTATTTATACCACTCATGTGCACATATATATTTACTTTAATCTCGGTGATATCCTCGACCTTCTCTCACTGCTCAATTCATCCATTACCTTCGTCCTTTATTGCTTAATGTCTTCCAGGTTGGTAACATATTCATAAAAATATTTTTTTATGAATCAGTTGAAAATAAAAATCTGTCATTTCTTAATCATTCAACATGATATCTCCTATAAATTGTGTGATTGTTACTTGTCTTTCAAATACTTCCAACTGCTTCAGATACAGAGATACATTCTGGACAGTCGTGCTACCTAAGCATTTTTTCAGGTTTGTTACATTCCCTTTCATACTTATTTTCTTAAAATTGTATTTATAAGTTTATTTTTACAGAAATATCGAGTAAACAACAGGTATGTTTCAAATGGCTAGTGTTTGGAGTTTAAAACTTAGTAAAATAGAAATTTATTATTTCTTACAGATAAAAATTTGGAATTAGTCAAAACAATGTCCAGACTTACGTAAATTTTTTTCTGGAGAGCCACTGGATGGTTAATCAACATTTCCATAGAAATTATTACAAAACTCGAAATTCAAAAAAATGAATAAAATAATGAGCTATTATTTGGATCTCCACTCTTTCCATTTTTTTTAAAAGAAGTCCGAAAATTAAAGAACGATTTTTCATATGCATTTTTTAAATTTAGAGTTAAAATTATTAAAAAAAATGCCAAAATTTTAGAGAGTTCACCAGAAAGAAAACATCAGAAATGCTTTCATCAGAAATGCATTCCACACAGAAGCAAATAAACAAACCATCCCTTGCAACAATAACTGTGAAACCAGAATCCTGAAGTAAACAACTCGGTTAAATACGCCTACAGGTAGCAATTTCGAGTTGTTTTGAGAATTCTAAAATACAAAAACTTGGAATAATACGGTAATTGGAGTTTATTTTTATAGAAAAAAATTTGCGATTAGTGAAACTAATGACTTACGTAAATTCTTTTCTGGAAAAGCAACTAGACTGCTAATCTACATTCCTAAAACTTTACATAGACAGCCTGCAAATAATTCAAGAGGGCAAATTCAGACTACTAACTTTAAACGGATTTTTATGAAAAGGCAGGTAACTACACAATAAAGTATACATTATTTATTATAAAATGTGGCCCTCGATTGTACAATAAATTTAGAAATTGTCTTAGCAACTCGACTTCTACCACAGCTCAGTTTGATATGTCTTTTAATCAGTTTGGTTTTGCAGGCCATGCAACTAAGCTGCTATCTGACCAACCTTTAAATGATGGCGACCACACATTAGAAAGATGAAAGATTGAGGATCAATCCAGACATAGACATCCTGGATGCGCGATTGTCTTTTAGTAACATAATAGCAAAGTGTATGTTAAAAGCGCCAAATGCTATTTTCGTTAACAAGACGTAATCTTAATCTAAATTATTTCACAGAGTGTTTACAATTATCTACATCAAGAAGCGAATTGCCAGTCAAAATAAATTTGTCTATCAAGCGGTATCGTCGTGTAGAAACAAAGTGTCATGTTAACAAAAAACAAAAAAAAAAAAAAATTCAGTAGCAACACTAAGGGTGATTTCTATGAAGACTTCTACTGGAATGATTATTGTATCAGAGACTTTATTGATCATAAAATTATCACTGCGAAAGTAACAATTGAGTCGCAAATTAAAGCCACAATCCTTTACATACATAACAAGATCATCGACAGAAATCTTTGTTCTTAAAATGAATTTGTTTAGCAGGCGGTCTGCCGTAATCTGTTTCCAAACAAAGAAATATCAGGTACTGTCTTGTACACATAAACTATCAGTTCTTGATAGTTCTATCCAGTTTCTCATCCTCATTGTAAATTTTTTCCAACTCTTTCAAGTTTGGACAACATATACCTGTAAATTAAGCCACTGTGACCTATTCAGTAAGACTAAGTGTTAAATGAATCTGTTTCCAAACAAACAAAATTAATGGTTAACTGCTTAAAACCTAAGTCTCTTTTTAGAGGTGATTTTACAAAAAAAAAAAAAAAAACATATTAAGCCATTTTTCTGCTACAACGAAAAATGTAGTAAGCCAGGTGTTCTAACAGATTGGTGAATGTGTTTCAGTAGGTTTTAGTATAAGTAATATTCATTACACCTTTCCTCGTAGTATCATTCGCTGTTTTGTATTCACATCGGAATCCTTCGGGACAATTTTTTTCACATGTATGAATTCCAATATCTGCGGCTAGTAGAGGTTTTCCACCGTCGCGACAGTTCGGAATTTCCCCACCATAATCCAGTTCTTCGGGTAGTGGTACTAGAAAACAAAGCATAAACTTGGCAGAAAAAGGATTTAATGAAAGCTCAGTCTATACTTATTAAAGATTATGGCAACACTGAAATTGGTAGGACTTACTTGCACTAATGGACAGCACAAATAACAATCCTAAACAATGATAAAACATTGGGGTAATTGTAGAGCACGATGCTGCACTGGTGGATGGATACTACTCGTTGAAGAATCAACTCCGCAAACTAACAATTTTTTACCATTAAATAGTTGTTCCTGACGAATACAGATGGAAAGTGGTACACATTGATGAGGATAAGTAGAGAGGTCATCTTTCCTCTTCTTCCTGGAAAATTTCCGTGAATGTCAAATACTGGAACAAAACAAAAGATCGGTGACATTTTGTCGACTTCGTCTTCTCTTTCTCTCTCTATTCTTATGTCCCCACGCTACTTCTCTTACTTTGCAGTTATTGAAGCAATGAATTTTACTTTTTTTACTGATACTATGCCCAAACATGTCATAATGAGGCTATATTCTTAGAAAATATGCAGAATGTTCGTTTCCATAATAACGATATTTCTGATAATGATGATAACGATGACAATATTGATAGCAATAGCAAAGTTAGTAATACACTGCTAATGGCGATGATAATGGTAATGCTGATAATAATAATAATAATAGTAATAATAATAACAATAGTAGTAATAATAATAAATGACGATGACAATGATAATGATGGTGTGACGGTAACAATGATATTAATATGATAATGATAATTGATGTTACAGTCAAAAAGAATGGCCTTATTTTCATGAACATTTAATTTTCGTGAAACCACTTGTCAAACCCGTTAATCAATCAAATCATACTTCTGTATCCGTTAATTATTTGATACCGGTTTCTTTGTTTGCAAGTCTGTTTGTCACCTTCTCACAACTATTTCACAAAATGTCACAGCCGATTCATCAATAAAACCTTCACTTTTGAAAAGATGTAAAGTGAACTTGCTGATAACATTATCGTCAAGTAGTGTAGTGTATTGGATGATAATAACGGAACAGTAGATAAACCTCACATACCTCACCATCTGAAGTATTAAACAATCAGGCCACTTCTGGTCTCTAACTGAATAGGAAACGGGCTGGGATGCAAGTTGCGAGACTTACCGCTGGTAAGTTGTTCCTAATGACAAGTGATAATTGCATCTAATCTGATTTGCCCAATTTGCTGTTTAATAATTAATTATGTATCACCAGTTCGCTGTCCGTTTTGGATTTTGAAGTATATACACTTAAATTTAAATACTATAAGGATATAGAATTTTGTTACCAGGAAGTAATTAATTCATCATGAGAATGATTGATATATTTGAGGTCACGCCGAAGGAATTTGGTATTTACCATTAATTGTACACACTGTTTATCATCCCAGTTATTTTGATATTAGCAATGTTTTGTTTCCAAAACCCGTTTTTTATACTTCTTTTTTCAGTGGTTTAAGTGTACTAATAATACTCAAAAAAACAAATCCCATTAACCTTAGATTTTGGTCGATGTCCAGCGTAAAAGTCGATAAAGGTTTCCGATTAGTAATTATTGGTGCTGGACCTACTGCATTCGGTATGCTGCATCGTATTTATTCATTGATAGCGGAAGGAATCATATCGAAGGAGGACATACAGGTTATATCATTTGTTTATTCTTTGTCATACAGATTATATCCATTTGTTAAGCTTTGATGTTTCTCCTCGATAATATTTCACGTAATTCACATCTGGAACTTCTATTTATTATTTTTTATTCGAGATTATCGTTCTGGAAAAAGAAGATGAAGTTGGTGGTTTGGCAAGATCAGTAACAGATGAAAAAGGATTTACGTGGGATTTAGGTGTACATGTTTTGGGTGTGTCAAAGTATCCGGAATTCGAAAAAGTTATTAACTCTGTTGTGAATAAATGGAATAAAGTCAGGCGTTCTGCTAAGGTAAGCTGCCATTACTAAGAACTACTGAATATTTAAAATTTTGAAAAATTGAGAAGTCGCGCAAAAAATTCCTCAAATTTCCGTGGTGAAATATTGCTTATTTATTTGCAGGCCGATTTAGCTCATTTATTTAAAAGCGATAATTCGTGCAGCAACTACGTACCATATCCTGTTCAACATTCTATTCCCTATTTTCCACCTAGTATTAGGCAAAAATGCATCAATGAATTGAAAGATCTGCAAGGCTTACCTGTCAATTGTTCGAACTTTGCTGAATATAGTGCAAATATATTCGGAAATACATTGTTGGATATTTTTATTAGACCATACAATCGTAAGGTGAATTCGGATTTCAATGAGTGACTTCATATTGATATAAGTTTAATAGATTTTGAACTTTGAAATGAATTTTATAGTCAGTCACAAGAAACAGTTTATACAAGTGCTGCTAATGTTGTGATTGGAAAAGAAAGTGGAATTACTGTGTTTGTTTCGGTATGGACAGTTGAACTGGAAGAAATGAACGCATTTTGGGCATGGAATCGAATACCAAATATTGATTTGTCTAGTATTGAATTACACTGTGGACGGAGCCGGCAAGAACTTGAAAGTGATCTTAGATCATCTATGGCATGCTTCAGGTAAGTAGTTTGGTTTCACTTTTGATGCCTCATCCAATTTCTTAACAGGATGGTTCTTTTTTTTTTTTTTTTACACTGAATTCTCACTGTTTATCAGATATCCGAGAGACTACAAAGGTGTGGGCAAAATTTGGAAAAAAATTGCTGAACGATATCCAGAGTCCATTTTTCATTTTCAAGAAAGAGTACGAGGGATCGATATTAAAGCAAAAAAGGTGTTTTTCTATGATTTTTTTCTTCCTTCTGAAGTTCAGTTTCTCATAATTTAAATTAGTCATAATAATTATGTGCGCCCATTATATCAGTGGCTATCATCGTTTTTAGTTTTGCAGGTAATTACGGAAGATTTAAATCGCGAAACACATTCGTATGATTATAATGCTGTATTGTCTACCTTACCGATTCCTGAACTGTCGAAGATCTCTGCAGTAATTAGTGATGTCAACTTAAAACATTCCAAGGTCTTTTGCATTTTAATACACTGCTTTTAATAAAATTAACAATGTGAATCGTGAATTTTTCATTCCTTTGTTTTTTTTTAGGTAATCCTTGTTGGTCTTGGTTTGAAATATCCACAGTGCGAATGGACTCAATTTGTAACGTGGGCGTATTTTCCATTACCTGACACTATTTTTTATAGGTTTGTTGTGGATCCAAATCTACCTCTCATCCTGTCAAATTTCTATAAATTTGTTATATACTTTTCATGTTCTTTATTTTAGATGCACCTTCTTGTCCAATTTCAACGATAACTTAACACCAGATTGCAATCAATTTTGGTCAGTTCTATGTGAGATCGGATTGGAAGCTGACGCCAGTTTTGTTGAAGAAGAAGTTATAGTTAAAGTAGTTGAAGGTTTGATCGTACTTATTATTTCTTCGTTAAATTATATAAGCTAGGTTTATTTTTTGGGTGCAATAGCACATTTTTCTTAATCATCTGCAGATTGTATAACTGTTTCTTCGGTAGATGAAGGTTCATTTTTAATTTTGTTAATCGATGAATATGGTTAATTGTTGTAGGTTTGAAGCTCAAAGGCATAATAGCTGATAGTAACGAAATTGTTGACAAATGGTTGTGTATTCTGCCATATGGATATCCGATTCCAACTGTTAACAGAGACGAAGAGTTACAACGCTGTCATGAAGCGTTCCAAGTAGGTCCCTCTTTCAGCAAAAATATTTTCATAATATTCATATTTAGAACTTCATAAATCTTAGGAAAGTTCTTATTTTTTACTATTGTTCAGGCACATAATATTTATTCACGTGGACGATTTGGTGGTTGGAAATATGAAATATCTAATCAGGACCACTGCTTCATAATGGGCATGCAGTGTGCAGACCTCATTCTTCTTGAAGTTAAGGAAACATTGTATACTTTTTAATTTCAGAAAATTGTTGTGCTTTATAAATTATTTCTAAAAATGTTACACTTTACCTTAACATTCGTAAATGTATAAAAACTTGTCGACTAGTATATTACAAATTGTTCTAAACATTGTGCACAACAAAATGTTTTGTTAACAAAGGCACAAAAGTAATTACACGAAAACAATCAATCAAAAAAGCGAAATACAGAAAAGAACTAACCATTTGTGCTTGCCATCGAGCTCTGCTAAAGAAATTCGGAAAGTTTCATTCTTTCAAATTCATCTTAATGAGGAAATGAAATTTAATGCTGATTGGAAAATTTGCATAATGAGTTACATTTGTATTTCTTAGAAATTCATTAATTCAGTTTTTATAGAAATTTTGATACTGACTTCCCATAGCCCCTTGCGAAACTGCTTTGCTATAAAGGGGATTTTTTAAACTATGTGGTAGCATTATACGCAGTACTCGAAGACCTCAACACTTACTACAATTTTGTATGACACGCGCACACGATAAATGAAAAAAGGAACTACCATGGACGACTTTGTAAAGAAATAGAATCAAAATCATAATACATTGGGTACAAATCACGACTGATTGTGAAAGAACTCGAAATAAAGTAGTAAAAGGTATATGAGTAAAAAACATGCTTTCTACTTGCAGTGTTAAAAAGTTAAAATTCTTACCTTTATTCTACAAAGGAGATCAGTAACTTCTGCGTCTGTACTACCATCTGATTGGTATTTTTCATTTCTTCCTAATGTGTAGATTTAGGTTAATTTTTAAACTTCCTAATGTGATTAATTCCTGATCTCCGATAAATTCTCTAATTTCATTTCTTAACTTTCTCTTAATTTTCTTCAAATGTAAAGAATGAAAGAGACTTTTGCATTGCAATGTTATCCCATCAACTGCTATGCAGTGCTTCAAAATTACAAACAAAATTAATTTTTTCCCTTTAATCTTTTTATCGAAGTCTGCTTGTTAAATGGTCAGCTGGAACGTTCGCTGTTTTCTAATTGAGCTGCACTTAGCGCTGCTGTTGACATGATTTGTAAGAGACTCTGTAAAGAGGAAATTACATGCATATATATTAGTAAATGTATAAATAATAAGTAAATAAATAACTGAATAAATAGATAAATAAATAAATATATGGAATTAAACCAGTGGAATCGTGGAATCATACCTGTTGCAAGGTGAGCGAATTAATAGGAAACATAAATTGTTGACTAGTTTGTTGGTTCTCGCAAGAATTGTTGTTGCTGCCATTGCCATTAGCGAATAAAGAAGTATTATCAGCTCCTAAAATTAAATTAACTTTTCAAATCCAACCGCTTAGGCAACATTAACGCTTCCTTTTCTGAGATTTCTGAATCTGCTAAAGCAATTATCCACTTTTGATTTTGTTAAATATAAATTGTCATTAACCTTCGTCATTTGTATAAACCACTCCTTGAGGTATCTGATACATGATAGTGTTGTTCGTAGTTGAAGCCGAGTTCAAGCCTGAAAAGCTATTGAGAAGGTTGTGATCACAAAATTTCAACTTACCAAATAAATTATAATTTCAATCATTTCAATATTTTTTCATATTGTTGAAGAAGTTAAATTCAAAAGCGATGTCCAAAAACAGATGATCTTGCTCATATTATCAGCAATCGTTTATGAGAAAAAAGAAAAAGTAAATTACAAAGTGCTACTGGGGAAAGCATATATTGATAGATTGCTAAAAGTAATGCAAATAGCCATGTTGGCAAATAAGGATTACCTGGTAACAGAAATGGTGCAAGAAGAGGGAATGTTGCGGTGGCTTGAACATTGGTATTAGTAGCAATGTTACCAGTGGTACCATTATGAGCATTATTACCATAGTTTCTGTTATTATTATTACTATTATTAATGACGCTTCTAACATCATTAGTGTTATTAATTTTTGCTTTGCTTTTTTGTAACTGTCGTTGAGCGGCCGCAACACGAAGAGCTTCTTTTAATGTTTGTTGTAATGACAACGAAGTCGCTTTCTCTGCAAAATGATTAATTTATCGGTCCTAAGGAAAAAACCAGTTGCTTATGTAATATTCAAATTATGATTTGAAAAAATTAGGTACAACATTTCTGTTAATCCTTTACTAATATTTTAAGCTTTAGATGTAATTTAATTCGAATTAAAAGTTTTGTCTTTTTTACTAATTACTACAAATGAAGTTTCCCGCTCCTCATTATAGCTTCCGTTGTATGACAAAGCATTGTATTTGTGATGAGTGATGCGCCGCCGATCAGTCTATCCAATTTATCTATTTTCTATTTAATTTTTCTATCCATTCCTGTGTCGGTGTTTGCGGAGCTACAATGTCTACAAATTGACAGCAGCTGTCCAGATTTGGTCTATGTGTGCTTATATCTTGTTAACCCATTTCAAGATTGCTCTCTTCTCAATCTCCTCTTCACCATATATATAAATATAAATGTATATACATATATATCCCAAATGAACGGAAGTAAGTTGAAAGAGGTGCATTACAACAGTGGCTACGACTGCATCTATCAATTTCAGTTTTCTCCCCTCTCATCTATGCTGCAATTCATAAACTCCATTTCTCGTCGCCCACTCTGCTTTATTCTATTTGCAGGCTTAGTTTCCGTATATATCGTGCGCAGCACAGCCATTAAAATCCCATTTATATATGCATTAGCTAAATCATCCAGGGAACAACTGTCGCTGACCTCTATGATCAACTTTCGAAGGAGAAGGCGAAAGAAGATAAAATAAAACAGGATGACAGTTGTTACTTCATTTGATAAACCACCATAATGGGCCATCGAGTTACTTACTTTTCAATTCCTCATGCCACAACAAAGAAATTAATTATAGTTTCATGTAAATAAGGAGTTTAAAAAATTAAAGACCTTCCATAAATTGACTTTTTATTTATACGCGATTTATTGCATTCTCTGTTATCACTCAGGATTTATTATTATCAAGAGTAGAAAGTTTGATATCTACAACAACAAAGATTTCCTAGTTTAATAATTATTCGTCTTTTTTTTTGTACTGAAACATTATGACCTTTTTCTTTATCAGTTTCGCTTTCCTCTATCACAGCGTCATGACTGTCAACGCTTTCTGATTCACCTCCATCGGAATTCTCCGCTTCTTCTGGATTACAAGTAGGTGAGGCAGATATCACTGTGGGATGAACCATTGTTGGTAATTCAGGACACTATAAACAAAAATCTCATTAAAATATTGGAAATGATATTAATGGAATGATAAGTTATTGCTAGTGTTTTGAATAAATCAACTTAAAGTCAACTCAAATAAATCAATCAATTTCATGCAGGCTTTTTTGTTAAGTTAACTTCTAACTTTAAAACGTTTTAGAACTACGAAAAATATTTGCTAAGGATTGAACAAGTGAATTTTTATCGAAATTTTGCTTTCTCAAATAGCAAGTTTTTAAATTTTTCAATGAATTCCAATGAATGTAAAAATTTTGCTAATGTAGAGGAAATGGTTAGTTCATTTAGATTGTTAGCCAGCTAATTTATATAATTACAACTAAAAGTTGGTCCCCTTTAGGATTTTACAAATACAAACATGAGGATGACGTAACATTAGTAGTAGCAGTAATATTGATGACAGTAGCTGTTAAAGAAGATGAAAAGAGAATTAGTTGGTGAAAGTTACCATCTTCAATTACATAAAACCACATATGAAGAGCTACTACAACCACTGTTGTCACTGCTGAGACCAGTTTTCAACAGGCGTTAAAGCTCCAAATTTGTATACACAGTAGAAAAGCACTCTACGTTGGAAAGCCATGCAAAAGTTTTATTAATTAATCCAATTTCTGACAAATTTCGATAAAATTAGAACATTCTCATTAATTGTAAAATGCAAATACTGAAATTTCGATCTATTTGCAGACAAAATAGTTATTATGCAAATAGAAGTGGAGAAAGAATGGTTTGTTCCTTAATCATCGGTATAGAGAGCGAAATACTTATGTTTAATGCCACATTCTAGAACAAAGATAAAAACTAACAATCGTTAGTAAACTGCAAGAAAAAAGGCATCGGAGATGTAATTTTCCTCTGAACATTTTTATCAAAATACATTTTTGAGTAATGTTGTTCAAATGGCCCAAATCTTCTTAAGGTAAAGAAGAGATTTCTGGGTAAAAAAAAGGAGAGAAGCATCAAAGATTCTCACATGAGTTTGTGTTGCTGTGTATTATGGATTTTCATGCATATTTGATAGGATACCGATCTTGACTTTATTTATTTTAAAAGATCTGATCATGGTTAACTTTTTTTTCTTTTTTATGAAATAGTAAACTTACTCGTAACAGTTTGTATTTGCATCACTTCCTTCACTTCTAATCCCTCATTTCAAATCTATTCCATCACATGTTTCATCTCTATCTAGGCATTGCAAACACATAACTTATTAAATGCATCAGTCAATTAATCTAATATCTGAACTTCTCGATGCTTTCCCGATCCGTTATCATTTACGTATTGCAGTTGTTTAGCTTTGCTTTTTATAATAGCGGCAATTTGATGTAACAAATATAGGCGACCAGTGATCTGATGTAAAGTTATTTCGTCTTATTTATCACATTTATCATACATACATACACACACATATATATATGTATACATACATACATACACACACACACACACATATACGCCATAACTACTACACATGCATAAATTTCACATCTATCTATCCAATGATCAGCCATCTGAGGAGCATATCCTTCCTTCTTTTCTCCTTTAAACCTTTTTACACATTGGTCTGGCGATAGCCGCGCTGTTGTTGCTGCAAGGTGGTGATGCAGTGAGTGCTATTGGTGCTGTTGTTGTCGTTGAGTAGTTGATGATACTTGCTTGCTTGCGTTATTGTTGTTGCACATATTTGCTTGACAGGAAAGCCATCGAAATTTCCTTCTTCCCTGCTCTGTTGGGTTTATTCTTTGAATTTAATGGGAATGGAAGGATGAAAGGCTTGCTTTCAGATGATGGAAGCGTAGGTGGCTTTGATGGCTCAAGAAGACGACGCCGCTGGTCTTTTCCCCTTTCTATCTCAAGCTTCCCGTATAAAAGTATCTATGTGTGTATGAGTTTGCTAGTTAGTTGGTTAGTAGAGATTCTTAAATAGTATTGCTGGCGATGTGAAACTAGCTGCTGGAAGGGTATATGTATGTTTTGGATGATGGATGTAGTGGAAGAGGGATCTAGAAGTGCTTGATAAGAACAGATCTGGGCAAACAGGCAGTTGCAGTTGGTGCTTCCTTCCCTTTTCCTCCCATTTTCTGAGATCCGTCAACGTCAGGGAAATATTTGTTCTTGTTACCTTCATCCTGAGGAAATTTCGGAGACCAAATTACAAAGATTTTAGAAATTTAATAAATCTGGCTTATTTTAATTTCCAAATGAAAATGAGTGCAGTACAGTTGGTATTTTCCAGAAATATTAGTTAATATATATCTACAACTGATTATGGCAATCATTACAGAAGAATAGCATGTTAATTTCTTAGATGAAGGCAATAAGAACTACAATTGATACTTTCTCTTCTTTCCCTTGCTTTCCAAATGCTGCTAACAAAGTGACGGTCAGAGAGCTTAATCATAAACTGTTTTTACATTCCAAACAAAGAGTGAATTATTAGTTGTAAGGTAGGGCTTTATTAGCATTTTGCGTTTATAACATCGCTATCAGAAAGAGTAATTGGACAGTAATTGGAAACAAGCAATTTGCAGGAATGGACTAGGCTTTTATATGAAATATAGCTACCGTATTTGTCAAAGAATTCAGAGTGCAAGGAAAAGGGGAGGAGATTGCAAGCGAGGAGGAAAGAATGCATGAAAGACGTAGGACATGGCGCATGATGCACATCATACGGTGGTGTCCGCTCGGGAATGTGACATCCTGAATAGCTGTTGGTTACCGCTAGTGAAATGACTGCGGTAGTGGATGCTGTGACATAACAAAGAATGCAGACAATCATGCACCTGCACATGCACAGACACAAATGCATGCACACGTATACACATAATATATGTACACTCATGCACCATTTGCCTATTTGATGGTGAGAATAGCAATTTCACGTCTTCAACATAACTCTCTTTTACCGTACTTTCAAGGGCAATCATTGCTGTATGCACCACAAATTTTTAAATGACATCTCACTTGTAGTTTTTCCGAAATTTGAGAATTCATATGGCGCTGTTACTAGGAAAGGGCGAGGCTCTCACAGCATATATCACTTATAGCTAGAGGGAAGGAAAGATTAAAAAGTTATCTGCTTGTTTGTTTCAATAACCTATAAACTACGGTGATAACATTTGCTACATGAAAATGAAACATCAGAATCCGAGGTCTAATCTACTTATATGGCTGTTTAGCAGGCGTGGATAATTATGCTCAAAAGAATCAAATGGTTATTTCTTTTTAAATTGATGAGGCCAACAGATGTGAGAAGTTTTTGCAAATAATAGGCAAATGCGCAAGAATTGATGGCATGTGTTCGTCATATGATTTATTGGACGCAATTTTAACTCAAATTACATGTGAACAAACCTCATTTAATTTTCGCTTTCTTGAAATATTTGGTTGTGGTTCAAATGTGAATTCTTGTCGTGCCCCGATTGGATCCACCGCGTCATCTGAAACATCACAATGATTTCAAATATACACAAGAATAACTGCAACCGCATTTATCATCATTGGCTTTAAAAACCAATTTAGTTGTACGAAATAGCAAATTTTGCTGAAATAATCTTTTATTGGAAAATTAAATCATGTCAAGTACCAAAATTTTTTTGGTTTTGGCTTGTGAAAAAATATTGGGAAGAACAATGCAGTTTAAAATTACTGTTTGAAACATATTTAAAGAGGAAATAGAATAATTAGAAAAAAGCTGAAATAAGCACAAACCAATATCAGGAGTGTTAAGGCAATTCCTAATTAGTGTTTTTCCAGCTTCGGAAGAGATCATCGGTCGTAATTTCTTCGTGGCAAATGTATAAACGTGACCTGTTTCCGATGCTACCAGCAACATTACCTGAGTTCCTGTCAATGTTGATAATTCATAAGCCTGAAGAGGAAGGCTGGCAATTTAATATGGAAGCTAAATTGGAAGACCATAAGTAAATCTGCAACTAAACAACCTTCAGGAATAATAAATTTGCACGAGAAAATTTATTTTTTCCTCTTTATGAGAGGAAAAAAAAAGCAACAATAACAGCAATGAAACACAAACTTTTTTCATGATTCCAGTTTTCCTTTTACTAAATGTTGTATATCTTCGCAGTTTATTGCCAATATATTCCATTTTTATCTTTACTCGACCTGCAATATAATTACTCTGAAGATGACATCATTTAATCAGCCAATATATACACACAGGGAAATATGTATTGCATACGCACACATACATGCATATGTATACAGACACACACACACACACACATGCATGTATTTGAATTGTATACGATAGATTTTTCTGCATATTTCCGAGATTTTGTAAATTAAAATTTTAATTAGTTTGGCAAGTGATTTTATTTACAGAAATGAAACTGTTGGAAAAAATATGAACGCTGTGATTCAATAGGCATCATCGACATTATAAGTAGCATCACTTTGATTTTGGAAAGATAAAGAATTTGAAATGAATGAACAGCATTGAACCTGATTATAAAAAGTGTTCTGTGTTCGTTAATTATTCCAAATTCATTTGTTAACTAAATATTCTTGCCTCTTTTCAATTACCAGCAAAATTTTTTTTAATTGGAATCCATACCTTTCGTTTTTTTTCCATTCGGTAATGTCGGCGTCCCTTCGTTCACCTGATGCTGCAACTGCGGGGATGAACTTTCACATTCACCTCCCATCACACCTTCCTCTGTTGATGACTGAAGAAGAATAAAAAAAATTATAATTTAAGGGCAAAATGATATGCCATGATATGGTATGAATTAATTCCAATCATGACATCAACTCATGCCACGGTCATTTCTGGAACAAATTGACCGACCGTCTTCTAAGGTACAAATTCATCATTGGCTTTAAATTGATAGATGTTTGCTTCTTATTTGTGAGAAGAAGCCATATTGAAATAATTAATTTAGTGACAGAAATTTGTAGTCAATAATGATTACAAATTTTACAAATATTATGTTTTTTTTTGCATAATAAAAAAAAAAACTCTAGCAAATATTTCATGCAAATGTAACATGCATAATAATTAAGTGCAAATGAAGAAAGTTAAAAGAATTCTTGAATCTGCTTCTTGTAGATTAAGCGGTTTCAAGCATAAATTTGAAATATATGAATCAAGATGTATGTCATGAAATATAACTCTTGGAACTCTTGAGATGATAATTCGGAGTGAAAAGAACAAATATAAGTAGAAATAGAATAGAAAATAAGAAATATACACATATTGAATTTGTTAGGAAGCATTTAAGTCATTGTCATGCTATTAGAAAATAAAATATAAATAAGTCTCATCATTAGTTTTGACCTTAGATTGGCAAGATTCTATTTATGATCAGAAAATATTATACTCTGTTATATTTTATGCAAAAAAATCATAATTAGTGCATCAGTAATAAAATTGTGAATTGAACACCGAAGAAGTTACAAAATTAATTTTTCTTTCTTTTTTACGACTGCATTCTTTGAATCTTCCCATTTTTATTTGAAATGTTACAAAATACTAGACATCTGGAAAATAAGCAAATAACAAATAAGGGAATAACAATATGTAAAAATTTGCATCATTTAGTGTTGATCCATTATGTACTATAACTTTGCTAGACCATATTTTCATTCTTCTGTTACTAATTAATTTGTGTAATGGAGGGTGGTTCTAACATGAAAATTTTGTAATGAACAACAGTGGTTGTTTGCTGACTGACAACACTAATTTATACAGGAAGTCGTGAAGACTGGTATAATTATAAGATGTAGAGTTCAGAATATGTTTTAGAAATTTCATTAATAAGCTATCGCATTTCATAGTTTACCAGCTTGCAAACTCTAATAAAATAAAAACTTTGAAAAAGTTAAAAACAACGAGTCACAGGATTTATGTCTAAAGGACAGTTGCTAAAAGCATAGTTTCGAGATCTTTCATCACATTTATTGAAAAATGCAGTTAAAGTAGTCATAAAAACATAGTCAAACGTATTCAAGTAGTCAACATCGAAATGTCCTGTAACCGTGAGATGATGTCTTGCTGTTTTATTTTATTTCTTTTAGCATTTTAATCTATATTAAAATACTGATATTACTACTGCATAATTGTGTCATAAAAAGAAAGATCTTATTCTCAGCCTAGTTAAAATAATAAGAGCACCTGTATATTATACAATGGTCTATTAACCTCAGATGTGAAGATATTAGTAAAATAATTCAGGCCAAAAATAATTTGTTCGGGAAAAACAAAGTAATACACATGGTTGGAAACAAGTTCCACTGTCCAAATAGAAAACTTCATCTTGGAATACCTCCCTCTCCTTTTCCTACCTCCTTCTACATTTTTATCACCATCATCATCATCATCATCGCCATCATTATCATCATCATCAACAAATTGCGACTGTAATTGGTTTGGACTTATTTACACACCAAATGAGCAAACAGCATAATTTTCATCCTTCCCATAATAATATCCCAAAATAATACTATACATTGTCTTCCTTTCCCTCTTTCTCTCCCTCTCTCTCTCTACTTCTTTTCAACTCTTCTCCATATATTTTGAAACATTAATTTTTTGAAAAGAATGTTTCTTGCTATATTAATGTTTGCCACTGCCTGTATCTTCTGTTTTAAACTGACATCATCATTATTGCATGCAAATAACTTGTTTCTAAGGAATCATGACCTAGAATTTAATTTTTATTACCAAAAATGTGCCAACTTAGATGCAGACATTGAAATAACTATTCAAAAACTATTGTTGAAAAAAAGAAAAACAAAAACTTTTATGTTAACAAAACTATGAAATTCTTTCAACGTTTCTCATTAATATTTTTTGTGATATGAATTTTGAAGTTGATCGTCAGTTTTCTGAATGTAACAGACTTTGTTTTTTTTTTGAACAAACTGATCAAGTAACTATCGCAGCAAATTTGTCGTAAATAATGAGAATTGCTAATATGTGAATGGAGAAAACAGTGGAAAAACAGGAACTGATAGTTACGTAAATACGTAAATTTAGCTTCAAGAATAACTTTATGGAAAAAAGTATTCTCAAATTGAAAATTTTCTAGTTTTGTAAAAACGGAATAAACTAAACTATTTTAATTTTTTTTGAAGCACAAAATTTGAAAATTGCATTGTATATGTCTAAGCGAAGTGTAATGATGTAATCCTATTGAAAGCAGTGCTAATCTATGAAAGCTTCAAATATGACAGAAAATTCTTACACCTTTTATTCATAAAAGGGATTATCATGCAGTACAGTTAAATTAAATTAAATTAAATTGACATATTTATTTCAATCAGTAATTATTCATATTGTTATGAAAATACTAAAACCAAATATGATTTTATATAAATCAATTTGAATTACTTTTCGCTTCCAAAACTCGTCTAATGAGCAAAAAAATCGTTTCTGCGAAGATTTATATTGAAAAACAAATTCTTTGTTTTGGTGGTGGACATTCCCAGATAAAGCTATAAAATAATACGACAACAAATGATAGACAATAGTACTTGCTGGAAACTATGTAACGGAAAGAAAGAAAAAAACTAAAATTCAAAATCTGTTTTGATGTATTCATTAAAGATTAAGCAAATCTTACATAAAATTGACCAAAATGATGAATAATAACGATTGGTTGAAAAATAAAATCAACTTTTAATTAACTTGATGATTTTTAAGGCTTTGTTTTGATTTTTGTATTTATTAAAGAGCTATACTATCTTACATTATTAAATCAAAATGGAGTACTCTTTTCAAAAATAAAAGCAGGTTAGCATTTGTTCGGGGTAGATGAATAAATTGTGTATCATGAATCTTTTTAGTTTTTCTCAACTTATGTTCACATCATCAGTGCACCACATTCAGTTACATTTCAGTTTTATGGTAGTTCTCTCATTCATTGTATACACAAAGATTAAGCAAATCTTTCATAAAATTGACCAAAAAAAAACTATGTATTGCATAAAATACATGTACTTCTACTTAGCGCTAATTTAAAGAGAACTAAAAAGAACTACTTCTAGCCCATTCGTGATTGAGTATTTTTAATTTAATTACATTTTAATAATTATATTCATGCAGACATATCCAATCCACAAAACCTTTTCGCTCGAGAATCGTCGCAACATTTTTAATTGTTTTGCTTAAGCAGTAGTAGATATTTTTTCTGCTTTTATCAACTTAAAAGATAGTAATATTTATCAGTATTTGTCTTTATCCAGCTTTCATTTCAATTAAAGTTATCTTCCAAAATCAAAGCAAAATTTTTTGATTTAAGCTCAATTTAAGAATAAAATTGCACAAAAGTTCTAAATTATAAATTATAGATTTTAAACGCACAAAGTGATATCAAAACTTTTCAGCCAACTAAAATATTTTCTAATAGTTTCCTAAAAAGCGACAAAATTCTTAAAACATTTATCACCAGAACTTATTATTAGAATTTTTACTACAACTATTTGCTATAACTGGTCTTTGCTACAGAAAAATAATTAATACGGACTTAATTTGTGATTCAACTAATAATAGAAAGCATTCAATTAATCGATATACCACACAAATATTTAGTAAAAATATAGCTACTGAATTATATTGAATCATTCAATCTGTGTTATTGATCTGTTATTAGTTATATTGTTGAAAGAATACAGCTTCAAAAGGTAGAGAGAATTTTAGAATTCTTTTCGGAAGAAATCCAATAACAACAGACTCCTAACGACGTTAAGATGGGAACTGATCATATTCCACACTTCTGAAGTTTAATATCTTTTTATCATAACTTCACATTCTTTGTATAATTTTGTCTCCATCAAGTTGATGGCATTTTCATATTATGTTGTTACGAGTTCATATGAATCAAACAAACGAGAAAATTAGCTAAAATGAAACATATGAGTTATAAATATTTTGATAAAATTATTGGTGTGATAAGGGAAAGAAATGACATACCGTTTCTTTGGGTGTTAAGAGTAGCGACTGGCATGGTGAATTAGATCCAGGATTAGTGAAATTCAAATTGAAGCACGTCTCACCAGGGACCATGCTCATAGTCAGTAGCAGATGTATTGTATTCTGTAGGAGCAATTAATGTATCAAATATTTCTTACTTAAATGAACCAACTTTGATATAAGTTCAGCTTGAAAAATAGCGTGCAGTATACTCGGAAAGAGTAAGGACTTGGATATGATATGATGTTGAGGAGGCGGAGAAGGAGAAGAGACAGAGAATCTGGGACAGTTAGCAGGAAGAGTTAGCAAGGTTTGTAAGCTAGGCAAAGTGAAGTGAAAGAAATACTTTTTCCAGAAAGCGTTTGCTGCTTGCTGTCTTGGCGAATATTGCCAGCTATCCAGATTTAGACAAGACAGCACCTCACAACTCTCGAACTTGACTAGACTTCAAGATGCTCCCTGAAGAGGCAGCAGCAGTAGCAGCAGATAGTGGCAGATTTGAAAATGATTTTGAGAGTTGTATGTATATTGAGGAGAGATATATAAGTTTGAGCTGATGTTACATACCTCTTTCTTCAGCCAGCAACGTACTTGGTAAAGCCGCTCAACAAGTATACAGAGAAAGGGAGCAAAGAGAGGTTAGGAGAGAGGTGGAACATTTTTCAATTTCTCAGTTTCCTCCGCCTCCGCCTCCTCCTCCTCCAGTTCAAGCCAAGCCATATTCAAGCTAACAGTGCTGCAGTTGAGGCAGTATCAACTATAAGAGGGTAGAGGGGTGGACTACTTACTAAACTAACTTTTGACTACTGTCGTCATCATTGCCAAGCACAAGCACATAAACACATAAACACACACACACACACACATTCACACACCTATATATACACACACACACAAATAGAAGATTCATTTGTAGAGTTGGATGTGCCCACGCAATTTTACATTTAGCTAAAACTGGAGAGAGGAAAGAGGAGACGGCGAAAGGATGGATTTACTGTTACATTTCCTCCACTGAGCTTCTTTTGGCCTCTAATTATTAACGAAATAATTTTCGATTTAAAAATTTGCATAACATAAGTCAAATTGCACTTAGTAATACTGACGGCTATATCGAGAAGATATTTAGTTCATTAAAATAATAAGTAATTTAAGAAGATGGCATATAATTCAGTGTTAGATTAGCAAAATTGAACAGTGATAACAGTTTTTATTTCGACTTGATAATTTTGCAAATAACAATCGATCTGAACTTCAATTCGCAATATCAAATTCATTTATACCTTCTGCTAAATGTCGTATATCTCAATAAATGCTTTATCAATATAAGGCATGAATTTTCCATTTTTATTTTCCCAATTAAAAAAAATATTTCAGAATACTTTCCTATCTTTGGTTTTCTAGTTATTTCTAACTAACTTCCGTTTTATTTCGCCCGAAAAATTACTGTGATCATCCGAAGAGTTAGAGTATTCCAGGTTGAAATACAATTAGCTAAATATTTTCAAAATATTATGCAACTTTAACTCCCCAATATTATCAAAGAATTAAAATAAAATTTGTTGTCTTCGAAGAAATAAATCGAAAGTTAACTTAAAATTAATTTGGAAGAATAAAAAGTTGCAAACGTAAAAATTAAAGTCAAAATTGATTTTAGGCATAAAGAAATTGTACTATCTTCTACCGAAAATGTGTTTAGAAATTCAAACGAAAATTAGACAGAAAATATTCGAAAGCTAAAATATGAATGACGATAATGGATCGAGTGTTCGAGAATTCCAAAATGGGATTGGCTAGTGGTGATGAGAGTGATGATAGTAAAGGGAACAATGACGATCTGTGGTATTTGTTTATATTTGGGAGAAAAAAGTGATCATGAATTCAGTAAAAGGCCATTTTTAACAATGCAGATGAGTGCACATTCCATTTCGTCCGCCACGTACTGCGCAGTGAAAAATATTTGTTGTTCCGTTTTGGTACCCTTCCCAGTGACGACCATATCAGTCTGTTAAATCATCATTTTAAAGCTTTTTCCTTCTGTTTCTAGACATATATGCAAAATGAATCTTCACTGCATCCTTATGGGAATTAAATTAATTTCAATTTTTGCACGAGTCACTCAGTGCATTCCTCAAAGTGGTGACACATGATAAACATGTACTGAAGCAGTTTAACCGTATAGTTACAATTTGAAATTTTTGAAATCATTTGTAATTTGAAATCATTACAATTTGAAATACATTTGCCTATTTTGGAGTAATGATGGGTGCAACTATATGTAAGCAACTATATATTGCAAATTCTTAAATTACTTAGTAGTTAATTATTGCTTTAATTAAATTCTAACTACATGATACTATACTTTTTATAATCCTAGACTTTGGGTGTATTAAACTGACTGTAGACCAACTGGCCAAGACTTCAAATTTTCTGACTTTCCCGAAAAAGAAATATATGTTCCAAATTCACATTTATTAGGCCGACTATCTTTTGATATAGAATACATAAATGCATAATGTTTTGTCTGAGCGAAAATGGATTTTTACATAAATGTGAGTGCTGTCTGTTGAAAAGTATTGTACATGTTTTGCTGATATGATATGGACGTGTGACGTATAAGAGTTGCCTATACTTTTATCATCTTGTTTTACTGACAGAAATAAACAAAACTTCAAACTTTATAATTTTTTCTATTTTGGAAAGTGGACCGTGTGCTAATCAATCGGTATACATGGATGAAAATTCGGACATGAAAGGAAATATTTAGTCTAAAGTTTAAACACGGCCACTTCTACATCATAACTGCACTGTGTTAATAAAAAATTGAAATGCAACTAAAAATTAACTTTCGGCTCCTTATTTTACTAAATGATTTTAATCATTGACAGGATTCCTTATTTCCTCCTAAAAATCAGGAAAAAACACTGGTACACCTCTTAACATTAAATATTAAATAGTTTCTAATATTTAATTTTCTACCTACCTATCTCACACCAAAATCTTAAAAACTGACATTAAAAAGCTAAATGCAATTTGACAGAGTCCTATGATATACAAGAAAAATTCCCGATGAGGACGAAATACATGAAAAGAACTACTTTCCCATACATATTATGAGGTGATATATACCAAAATTATGGTAAAAAAGAGTTGTGATGCCGTTATAACTTTATTATTTATGGCCAAAATTATAGTGAAGGATGTAAAATAGAATGTAGTATGCCATTGCTGAATTGACCTTGCACTTACTGATAAACATAATTTAACCAGATATGACAGAAGAGATGCAAAAGATTTGAAAAGTTTAATTTAAAAAGGATGAACTTGGATCCTCTCCTGTCCAAATTTATATAACTAAGAATATTCTTTGCTCGTTTAGAAAATCAAGGATCTATTCATCAGAAATTATCAATCAAGTTATCTGGTAAAAATCTAAATTAACAATCGTTTTTAAGGCTCGAAGCGCCGTGCAAAGAGACGGAGAAAATATAGAAATAATTTATTTTCAAAATGTTTTGAGTTTTTTCATGAGTTAATATTCCTAAACTAAAATATATGATCAACGGCAACTGTTAAAACATTTCTCATGAACACGCATGCTTAAATTGTTTCATTCACTTTCTTAAGCAAATATCCGGTTCCTAGCTTGTTGGCTGGCCGTAAGAACTACGCTTCTTTACGCTTGATCTGAATTCGACCCCTTTTTAAAATAATTTTTGCTTTGTAGCTTCGATCCTAAAACTTCTGTTTGATAAGCTAATCCGATCAGTAAAACCATTCTTTGTACCATTCACATATAAACCATTCGAAGCACGCACATTCTTGTAAGTTTTGTTACACATTCCATTGTCACATTCATTTTCCCTTACGAAATCCGTGAGCTTCGTACTGACAGCTTTCTGTACTAACAGATTATTTTTTCCGGACTTCTCTTTCAGATTATCTGCTTTTTGTAACTTTTGTAGCAGATTTGTTTCTTTTGTGCGTTCTCCACGTTTTATTTCCTTTTCCTTAACACTTTTCTCAGTTCTAATGAATTCAACTGCATCAATTTCATTGTCGAAATTTGTTTTCGAAATATCCATTCTACAACTGTTTTCACTGTCAAATAATGTCGTATCAGAATTAGTCAAAAACAATGACTTTCCTCCATTCGGTAGTAAACAAATTACTTCCTCATCATCAATAACGTGTTTTCCCTCGAATTTCTTGATATTTTCATAGAAATCATCATTTTCAAATGAAATAAATGCGAAACCCTTGTGCAGGCCTGTCTCCAAATCCTGGAAGATGTTTAACTAAAAAAACCTAGATTTTAATGGTGAATATTTTGATATCCATTAGCTTAACATCAAAATTAACCATCAAATTTGATTAATAATCCCTTTAATTCTGGATAGAATATCATTTGATCATAGCTAATATAGGGAGACAGCAATAATAAGCACTATCAACAAAAAGGGACTTACAAATGGCAGCATGATGTTTCGGACTTTACCAAACTGAGAGAAGTAGTCTTTCAACTGCGCTGAAACAAAAGAATTTAAAAGAATTTAACGACTTGAATTTAACTATTTCATCGTATCCTTAGTTGAAAAAATTTCTTTGAATACTATATTTCACAAGGTTGCAGTGATAACTTACATGCACCTGTAACCCAACTGATTCTTTTAACAAAAAGTTTCGCGCTATTCCGCCGTGCTTCTTTAAAAATTTTAACAGCTGCACCAGGTTCTCGAAGTAAACGACCTGCCATTTATCTGCAAATCGATTTGTACATAAAATCTGTCAAAAATTAGCATCAAAAAGATTAGTATAAATTTGACTTTTTTCATAAGTGAGCATAAACGGATTTGAATTTTCCGAGATAAAAGATACCAGATAACTGATTGAAAAATAAGTCAAATTAAAGCAAACAATACTATCGTCAAAAAAAAAAAAAAAATTCAAAAAACGGAATAAAACATATGTCCACATTATAATAAAACGTACATGTCAATCAACAATCAAACAGCGAATGGAAAACTCGAACGAATTTTAACAAAGCAAATAGAGCTATTTCTATTTTTGTTGTTTCCTAGAACTAGATACTGCAATCTTTGCAATTACCTGAAATAGAGTTGTACTATGAAACTATATAGAAACCATTTAAGTGATATTATTTTAGGAAGCGCATTCGTACAAAATTTTGCTTAAAACATAAATGAACGAAAAATAACAATGATTGAAGCACTTGAGAAGCACTAACCTGCCGTCTGTTAATATAATGATTTCGTTGCTGTACAGCCTTTATTGCGTCGTCCGTGCTCTCAAAAACAACAAATGCAAAACCCCTATGCAGACCTGTTTCCCAATCCTGTAAAATAAACTAAGACCCTACTCATAAGTTATGATAATATACGCATTTTAGTTTTCAAGTATCAGTTGTGAACAGAAGAGAAAAACGGAAACTAACATATAACAATTTGACGTGTTCCACCTTCCCAAAACGACCAAAATGGAACTTCAGATCCTCTGCAAGTAAATAAACAACAATTCAATTTTACGTAAGTCAATACTTTAATTCTAGTAATAAAACAGTTGTTTTAAATTCAAGACTTCATCTTTCTACAAACACTTCACTATAAGTACTGAATTTAAATTGCAAGGTAACAAACTTTCACCGGTGAACCAACTGATATTTTTCAATACGACACGAGCTGACACGAGCGACGCTTGGAAATCTGTTGAAAACACTCTTACTAAAGTCCACTGTCCTATATGCATCCAATAACCATTCAGCGGATTTACCTTACAACTTATTACTATTACGCACTTCGTTAAAAATTCGATTTAAATAAAAGGTAAAGAGTTTATGAACTATGGATAGACAATTTTTTTTTTAACTTAAGAAAATATTAACTCATCAAAAACGATCAATATCTCTCAGAAACTGTCCGCATAATTAATAAAATATAACATAACATGATAAAATATAAGATACGACGCTGATAAACGAAGAAAATGTTGTAGGAACTAAAGAAACATTTATAAAGAGAACACAATTTTATAATGATAAAGCGAACATAGTTTTATAATCACAGAAGCCAACAATTATGAATTTCTATTCCATTAGCCTTCCATAATTTTTAAAATTCCAAATTTGTTATAAATATGATTTGAGCTAATAAAAATAGCATAAATTTATAAACAAAGTAACCATTTAAAAAAATAAAACACAAGCTTGATGCAAATAATATATATAATTTAGAATTTAGTATATTACAAGTAAGAAACATAAATAAGTGCTAAGAAGCCTAAATACCCTCAGTAAACAAAATTGGCAAATGATAAGATTCATAGGAATGTTCCTCTACATGACTTCTATCGTGCACCACGCCAATGTAATCAATTTCAAGCGAAAAATCTCCATCAATTCTATCCGTCAACATTATAGTTAATGAGCTGAAAGTACCTCGTTGAGTATAAGAGGTATTAACACAGTGAATGTAAAAACGTCTGTAAGGGAAATCATGAAATTTCAAGTCTTCAAAACTCCAAGATTATTTCAAAATCTTCAAGACTAATTATCTAATTAATATAGAGTGTCATGTAAATAAACTAACACATTCAAATAATGAGTAGGGTTTGAAGTTGAACTAAGGAAAATCAACATGGGAAAAACAGTAGTAGTCCCAGTATATAAGCACTTAAGACATCTGTTCATGTTCATCAGATGATGATGGTCAACATGAACAGAACAACAGCAAAGCGCTGAGTTTAAAAGTCAGAAAAGCCAACATGTTGTGGAACTGCATACTGATCAACATAATAATGCTAATAGCAATTACTACAGTTTTATTACAATTCTCCCTTTTTTTAAGCATAAATTTGTATTTCATACCTGACGTTAATATTTTTTATTGGATATTGCTTATCCATAATTCGATTGCGCACAGTATGGATAAACTTCGAGAACGGAATTGCTTCGTACTGCCAATATGGGCCACCATGAGTATGCAAATAATAACTGTGGGCATCACCCCAGGTAATATCAAATAAAAGCGGTGAATTCAACGAAATTTTATATGTACGCCCATCACCACGGCACTGAAAAAGAAATCTTTTTCAGCCATATTTTTAAATGTAACAAATGATACAATAAATTAAGAAAAAAAAAAACGTTCTTTCTCAAAAAATTCTAAGACGTATGAAAAACTTCAGGATTATTCAAAAAAAATGTCAGGAAAAGAATAATTCCAGGAAAATAGAATAATTTGAAGAATAATTTCACAATATAATGTCACCTTTATAAGGAAGTGGGAATAATTTGACCATTTGCTGAAATATTTTTTCTTCAAAAACGGTCCCCTATCTTCGAATTTGATAGCTGCCCATCCTGCTCGTTCAGTTCGTCCATCCTTTAATAAAAATTTAAATCGTATAAATATCACAAGAAAATATTTAAGCAACAAATGAACAACAAAAAAAGTACAAAATAACCTTTATTAGCTCTGTGCTTAAGGTACCTCTGAATAATGCCGTTTTTCGATCAGTGGCTATAAATTCACATTTTGAAAATCCTTCATTACTGTCTGAATCAGCACCACATCGCCAAAATTTAAATGACTAAAAAATATATGCAAACTCCACACCTCTTATTATAAATGCAGGCAATTCCTTATATAAATGTTTCAATTACTGTGCATATTAAGATATTATCATACTAAAATGATCACCTCTGATGTTTTGAACGAAATATCTTTTCGGAACTGACCATGTCGGAGACTTCCCAGATCTTCAAGAATCTTTGGTTTGTATATTCCAAAGCTACCTTTCATTTCCTTAGCTAGTTCCTGAGCGAGAAAAATTAGTTTTAAAATCGGTAAAAGTCTAAGTGCTCAGTCAATATGATTAAATTACATTACTATCTCCAACCAACACTACTATTATAAGTAGGAAAATTTCGGAAGTCGCCAAACAACAACCAGTACTATCATTAAGGTAGTTAAAATTCGTGCTCAAATCTGATTGCTTCCTCTACTCTGCTCTAATTCTACTGTTAAAGCAATGAGAAAGAAATTCCAAATCTGTTTTCAGAACTAACCATAGCATTGTTCCAGAAAAAGGTAGGCATTTCTGTGACAATATCCTTTAGCTCTGCCTCAGGATCAAAGTCCGGTCTCATATATTTGTTCGGATAACTCAAATTATTCGGTTGCACATCCCTGCGGAACAGTGAACGTATTTTCTTTTCCAATTTACCTTGCAGTTTAGTCATTGACTGAAATTCATTCGAAAATCCATATAGAAATCTCACTTCTACATTCTCAAAGCAATAAATTTCAATAAAAAACATATTTAAAACACCCGCATAATCGATGGATTAAAACTACCTTTTCCTCGTCATTCTTCAGTGGTAGTGTACATGCCTGGAGAAATAATACTGTAACAGGTCTACTTGCGCAGTATAAATTAGCCCAAGCCAAAACACTTCTACACATCATCACTAAAACGTTCAGAGGACGACACACAACAGTACTGAAAATGAAAAGTATTCTATTGCTTCCGTTCAGTTTCCAGTACTCTTTCAAGCAACCGCTTCCTAAGTAGCGGAATCATAAAACAACTGGACTTCCCATAAAGACATATCTAAAAACGATTGGAAATCTAGAAAATCTAGAAAGCAGCTCAAAATCAATCCAAAACCCAACTTTACCGTTGTGACGAAATAATTTAAATATCAAGGAATTGAAATTTTTCATCGGCTCATAAACAGTTTATTCAATTTTCATGTAAGATGATATGATAAATATTTCAAATCAGGTGTTTAGATCCAAAATGAAGCAAAATAAAAGATAAATAAAAGATTTTTATTGTGAACAGACATCAAGAGTGTACCTAATAAAAACAAAATGAGCATCATTCAGCACCTGCCAAAAGAGTTTGATGATTTTGCGTTTTGACAGTTATGTAACACAGTGATTCTTGCGGAGATGAAAAAACAACGATAATTAAAGAATTCCAAGAAGCATATGAGATCATTCTTCGAAGAGCATTATCAACAGTTACGATAGGCTTCTCATCCACTTTCATTTTCAGTCTTCTTGTATTAATATCCACCATCACAACGTTATGCGAAATCATTTCTTCATTAACACGCTTCACCAACTCTTCCAGTGAATCGTAATCATTGGTGTTCAAGTATATTTCGCTTAAAAAAAGTGTTTTTAAAAATTTTTGATTTTTACGCTGGGCAAACTTTATTCAAAGAACTTATTAGTCATCATTCCAATATGAAAATACTAGTTTTTGAAGATATAAAACAAACTGTTCATTGTTTGAGTTGTCTTTGATGCCATCAGGAAGAGCATAAAAAGCGCTTTTACCCTTATCGAGTCGTAAAAAATGCAAAATAGGTTCAAATCCACCAGTGCAAGTTTGAAATGCATCACTGAAATAATTATTAAAGGCGGATATTTTTTAAATAGGAAAATTTATTCGACAAGTGGAAATTGTTTTGAAATTTAATTGCAAATGTATAAGTCGCGGTTGCAGAAGAATGTAAAATTTTCTCGAGAACAGAAATTTCATTCTGAAGGTTAGTGGGTTTAATATAATAAATTATGACAACTTACCTCCAAATTAAGGTTGGTTCTTCGCTTGATGTTTGAGGCAATACAGAATTTAAACAACATATTACACAGTACTTAACGACATTTTTTTTGCATGCGCAATAAGGCACAATGCAAGCAACAGATAATGGCCTACCACATCTTTCACAAGTCTGTGGCACACTTTTCTGGAAACGTCAATTTTTGTTTTAATTTTAACCAACAATATAAGTCCTATGCTATTTTCCACTGATCTATTGAAGGATTAAAAACCGTTGAGCTAAATTGATAGTTTCATCAATCAGAAAAATAAAAAAGCACAATAACAGCTTTTTCAAACCAGTTTTCAAAAAACCAATGCATAGCAACAAACAAAATAAGACAATATCTTCAAAAAAAAAAAAACTTACAATATCCAAACACCGTTTCTTTCGTTGTGGTTCTTGATTAATTTGAGCTTCCGAACATGAATATTTGTTTTTATCAATGCGCGCTCCAGAAGTGGTTAAGCCATTTTCACGAGCCCAATCATCAAAACTCCATCCCAAAGAAACATTCCCGAAACGAATGCTGAATTTTTTCAATTTATCTATTATATAATAAATAATATAAATTTGATACGAACATATTGCAAAAGGACTTTATCATATAATGCATGGTTATAATAAGTACCCATGAGAAAGCTTGTATTTCAGTAGTCGCATAGTAATAACAGCATCATCGACAGAACAGTGCCCATTTTCTCCTTGAATTTCTTCATCCAGAAATATTCTCGCCAATGTCTATAAATCATTCTATCAATTTCACAAAAATGTATGATAAGAATTATAAACATATCTTTTCCGTATGTTTATTTTTAACGAGTTATAACAATGAATGAAACGAAAGAATATTCTCATAAAATTTGAACAGGAATTACCTTTAGGGATGATCGTTGTCGATCTTTACCAGATAAATTTAAACAAAGAGATATATCGACACAATATGGATGTGTGATACGCATCGCATTGAAATCGCATTCAAGAGTATGTCCAACCAAAATTGCATCATTCGGCAAGATATGTGATAAAGCTCTCTAAAAATGTGATGTTTTTTGCAATTATAATTTTTTATCCTCAAGGCATCTGATAAGTCAATAAAAAAAGGAAACGCATGACCTTAGAAATATACTATTTGCTCAGCAACGTTAAACAGTAATGAAACTCGCTTTAATAATAAATGAATGAAACCGACTTGTACATCTTCAACCCGCACATTCACATTTTCAAGCATTTTCTCAGTAATGCCACTGTACTTAGTAACATAATCAACTATTCTGTTCCTTGGTTTCACAAGCGTATCCAACAAAACTTCATAACACTCGTCGACCTGAGTAACAAAATTTACAGTGAATTTTGTTCACGAAGTTGAAAATTTTCATCCCTTCGTCAATCACTAAAAAATTACATTAACTTACAATTGATATCCTGGTCAGTTCACTTTCCCCAGTTTCTGTTGTACACATTTCACAATCAACTGCAAAGAATGGTGAATCAGCTTTTACTACACCATACTTTTCCTGAAATAATAATACAGCATTAAAATTGAAGAAATCCAACCAAGTAGCAAACTAATATGCATTTATTGCTAATTTATAAAATGTAAATATATGAAATACATAGTTAAATCTTACTTTTATTGGTATAATAGGCGTTAAATCCATGATGCGATTCGTTTTGGGAAAAGGGTAACAAAAATCTACCATTTGTCGCAAAGTAACTAGTAGTGCACTTTTTACATCAGATTTAATATGCTCTTCTAGAATATTAGTATGCTGAAAAAATGAATATTTCATGAAAAATTAAACTAATCAATGCAAAAAAGAGATAAAAAAATCTTTATTACTCAATTTCGAACATCCTTATCAGTCATATAAAATGATCAAATGTTAAAGCAAGAAGTATTATTTTTCGCTTGTTAAGCATCATGCGTAAAAAAGAAAAACAAAGCAATAACTGTGTTAAATAATTTCAATTCCAAAAACATCACAAAACTTACACCGACAATTCTCTTTAAACGTTCGAACTTTGAAAGCTGGACATTAAGCATGTTTGTCCAAAACTCCATACTCTTCCATGCTTCTGTCTGCATTCTGATGAAAGATTTTGAGCCAAACAGGCGACCGATATATGTATCCTTCTTATTACTTTCCTGATAAATGCTTCAAGATACACTATGCATTGAAATCACAACTCTCTATTTGACCATAAGAAATTACAATTTTACAACAGTATGAGGGAGACGATACTAATTTTCTGAAGTAACTTACTACCATTTCGAGATTACACTCGATCCGAAAAATAACTGCTTGCAATATTGCTCGACTGGGTCTTAATGATATCCAAAGAGGTTTGTCAACATTGTGGAATGACACGTAATGCACCAATTCGGCGATATCTATGAATACGTTAATGCATGAAAATTCTAGTTTTCATGTAATGAAATAGTGAAATACATAGAAGTGAAAAAAATTTACTATGACTTCCAAGCCTCACACCGTTCAACTTGTCTAAACTTAGACTGATTTTTGGAGGATCTTTCAGATGCCGCATAGTCCGCAGTTTTTTATCGAGCTTGAAAGTTATGTCTTTATCTGAAACAATTTTTCCTTAAACATATCTCATTCAAATAAATGAAATTTAATATGAATAATAGTAGAGTAAACGACGACATTTCTTTCACACGAATTCTGATACTATTGACTTGGAAAAAAGTAGAAATTTGTTAAAAAAGATAACCTAGGATCTGACAAAACCACCAACCATCAAATGAATGCTCAAAAGACGTAACTGAAGTTAGATCCACCGCTGTAGGATCATCACCAGAAAGCAACAACACCTCACTGATATTCTTCTTCAATTTTTTCACTTTCCTTCTCTCCTTATTACTTAGCACTTTAATCATATAGAAACAATCCTACAAATAAGCTTTCCACAATCTGAAACATCTGTTTATTATAATACAAATTAACAACACTATAACACCTAACAAATATACGAACATAACGAAAACTGTACAAATTTGACGGATCCAAAGAAATAGCTCCAAAAAACACAACATCAACATCAAAAGCTCACAAATAAAGTCCTCTTACTAAAGAAAGTCTGAACTAAACAATATATTTTTGGAAACAGAAACTTTCAAATGCACTAAATAGAAATATTCCAATAAAAACTCAAAGAAACAAAAATCGAGGCTAGTTTTCAGGTTAAAATTATTGAAACTCTGTGAAAGCTGATTTCAAAATTTGAAACTGTATGAACTGAGATAGGATGTTGGAATATTTTTTACACAGCTTAAGTATTCATAACTGATTTTCTGATGCAAACCAGCATCGAAATTCGTGATTTATCTAATCGCAATTGGCAAGATGGATATATAATGAATGGATTTCAGTTCAGTAATCATTAGGATCCAACACCATCCTCACTGTCACTTTTATCAGGTTCGGCATCATCATCCTTGACAAGTTCCAGCACATGCTTTACAGGCTCTAATTGTCCATCTTTCCCAACCCGTCCCGGAGTTATCAGTCCTTGATTCATCAGCTTATTAATATCATTCATCAGTCGATGTACCTCGTATTCTTTTTGCTCCTCAGTCATTCCAGTAAACGGATTTTCTCCCGCAGGTTCAATACAACCAGTTACTGGATTTACTTGTGTTTCAACTGCTTTATAATCTTCTGTTTCTGAAGCCTCGCTATCCGACTGATGCTTCGAGGTATTCAAAGCATTCAAGATGCCTCGATTAGCCAATAAACCAGCCGCATGTCCAAAACCACAGTATTTGACGAAACGATTAACACTTTTCTTACATAAGATGAAAATGAATTCAGCTGCCAAGTCCTGAGTATTCGAAATGCTCATCATTAAGCGAATCATACGATTACGTAGTTCAGCACCGTCATCTGGTCGTCGTTCAACATCGGTAGCATGAAGTGGTGGAATAACCAGTAAACGTAAATAACGACGTGCCTCTTTCACTTGAGAACTTAGACGTATCAAAACAGTTAAAAAAGTACCAAGGAGCTCGTTTCTTTCACTGCTTTCTGCTTCCAAGCGTCGTTCTAGCGCATGAAGTACAGCATCTGCAAAAGTCATGTCACGACCGTCATGGATTATATTTGTGTCTTTCTGCTCTATATGCTGTAGCTTCGGTGTTAACAATTCGAAGGACAATGGTAATACTGCAATTACATCTACTGCGGATTGTTCAAGTGATGGATCAATGTTTTTTATGGTTATAATTCTCGAGCATAATACCATGCATTGCTTTGCATTTGACTGCACAGAATCATCCCATGAGTAGCAAAATATATTGAACAAAACTTTTAGCGCCCAGTTTGTATGTTCTACAAAATTTTTCCACTGCAAATCCCGCCTCAGTCGTTCAGGAAAACATAAACTTCGTTCAAGTACTTTCAGAAAAACTTCACATCCATTTTTTAACCACCGCAACTGTAAATCTTTAGATTGTGCACTTGCAACAAACGCAATACGGAGGTCGTAAGAAGTAACCAAATCTATCTGTTCATTATTTAAGTTTTTCACCGGAAATTCAGGAATCTTCGATTCTGTAAAAATGGCAACATCCTGGACTGTAACCGGGACTTCCCGCTGCATAAAGGAAATTCTCGGAGTCTCGCTCAAAATTCTGATTCGATTAAGTAGCAGATTTGAAGCAATATCATTAAACTCATTTCTCGCAAGGTTACTGTTGAAAAGTATATTGATGAGACACATTTCAGCCTGAATGAATGCCTCCCAATCAAATTCAAAAGACTGTTCAGCCAGAAGAGCAATGTTAAGTACATCCTGTACCAAGCTGGAAGACAACAAATGATCTAGATTTTGCCTATCGCGCGCTAAAATCCGTAAAAAGCGAAGAATCTGTTGACGAATTACTGACGACTCTTGAAAACGCTCAGAGAAAATAGATAGTATCCGACGCCGTGTATCGATATCAACATGACCAAATTCGTGATATTTTTCAAAACTACCATTAATTCGTTTCAGACTTTCCACGAAATTACCGGTTGATGAATTCTGCCACTGCATTAAATCGCTTTCAGATATATTTTCGATCATGATCAGTAATGTTAAAGTGAATATCAAAGATGTGAGTTTACGTAATGCTGACCAATCCTTCAATTCCATAAACATAAGATTCCAATAAACTTGGTAAAGGAATATATATTTATTAATTCAACACATGCGCCCCTAATATTGAATCATCATAAGCAGATAATAGCTAATTAACAAGCAATGAGGTAGAAGCATGCGGAAGAGGGAATTTTTTGAGAAAGACAATCAATTGTTAAAAGCATAAGTGCTAGTCTCAAACTTCCGACGAGATCAAAACGGCCTATGATTAATGATACTTAACAGTGTCCTTATACTGTTCCTTAATACCCAGTGATAAAATTACTTTTCTTTACCGATAAATTTATTGCTTTCTTGCTCCATCCAACATCTCAATCTCAACCTAATTTGACCTCTAGGAGAAACTAAGAAATGCCCTATGCAAGTAGGGCAGATGAAGCACTGCAATGACCTCGATATTTGGAAAAACCGAACCCACCACAGGACTAATGGTCACGTACCTCCTTGCCATGCATGATAACAACCTGAAATGTCGGTTCAGCGATGCGTTGCGAAAAACCAAAAGGCAAAGTTTTCTGGTTCGTTGGTGAGACAACGAACCAGAAAACTGGTGAGACAGTTAGTACTCTTTTTTTCACACTATTTTGTAATTTGTCATGCGAATAATCATTTCTTCATGGGTAACATAAGGAATGTGAGGTTCTTAATGGTGGAAAACTTCCGTGATATTTGTATGGATAAACTCGGGTGACATCAGCTGTGACACGTTGTTCTCTCGACTAACACTTGCTGTTGCTGTACCTCTATGAAATGCTGCACATACTGTCTCTTATGCTCACTTTAAGCTATTTAAGGGTTATATATCCGGTTACCGTGCAGTGTTAAGCAATGACAATTTTCCGTCGATTAATACGGTGCGTGATGTTTTGTTGCCTACCTTGTTTCACTATAGCCTTATAAAGTCTTGTCTCTCTATAATGAATAGAAATGACATTCGATAAGGAAAAAATTCCTAATTCAATACTTTTATTATGATTGATTTAAATTATTACAGGCTGACTTTAGTAAAGTAGAAGAAAGTCTTTGTTGACATCTAAGAAGTAAATAGTAATTCTGTTAAGCAAAATCTTTTCTGACAGTGAATGAATAGGCTGACAAAGAAAATAGCTTTCAATTATTTTTTTTTTCTTTTTTATTCATAAATGATATGTGCTAATATAAAACTATGGTATTTCCTGATAAATATTCTTGTAGCTCAAGCCGTTTTATTTTCGCTTAGTTAATGATATCATACGTAATTAGAGTGCATAGTCTAGATTGAAATTTAAGTAGAATAGAACTTAAAAACTAGAGAAAATGCTCTCTTTCAAGACTTTATTTAATTGTATATACCCATCTTTGATAAAATTTTATTTAATTGGAAAAGATAGAATTATCACAATTTACAAACTTAATGGGATGTTGTCTTATTACTTCTTGAGTTTGGAAATGTACGGACGTTGTTCCAATTCTGAAACAAGAGCTATTTGAATTTCAACGTAAAAGAATCTGTTAGTGCAGATATTGAAGTCATTAATACGATTTTGCATGAGATGGTAGCATTTATCTTTTTCAATTATAATAAACATGAAAGGGTAAGCATGCTGTTCTCCTATAATTTCAAGTTCAGTAATATTTGTTTTGATATTTTTAATTTACTTACGCTAAGTAATTGACAAATGAGTTCATTTGTTCCTGGAGCATATGTCTCTCCTCCTTGTCATAGTAAATTTTAAGAAAAAATTCTTAAAAAAATTGGAAATTTTTCTTATATAACAAATTTTAATTTGTTCTATATCTTATTTTTCCTTTTGAAGAAATAGTCGTTGGTTTAATATATAAAATGGTTTATATTAAAAAAATTTATAGCTTTCAAAAAAAAAATTGATAACATTTAAAAGAATGCTTTGTGCTCATAAGTGAAATAAAAGGTCTGAAATTAAATGAATGGAATCCCCATATTTTTTGTCAATTCTCATTACATTTTATAATTATTTTGTTAGTTTTATTTTTAATAATATATTGTTTTTTTTTTTTTAATTTTCAGAACTGGGATAAAAATTAGTGCAGTGGTTGCAGCGCTAAAAGTCTCTTATCATCTTGATATTTGGTCCTTAGACTCGAATCAAGGAGCACAGAAACTTACAGTCCTAAAAGAAACCGTCATCCCCGGGACTATTGTTTTTCCAAAAGAGGTTCGTATTCATTCACTAACATCGAATTGTTTTTCGATTATTTCATTATCTTTATGTAATTTCTTCGAGAATTAAGCTACTACAGTGACGTAGTTCCTTCTTTCTTTTTTTTTATTGTAGTTTTCTGTTTGTTTTCTGAAGTTCTGTTTTGTGAAATTCCCACTGCTGTTTTTTCCAGATATTACCATGGGTGGAGAACTGTTCATGGTTCAGTGCGAAATGGAATAGTGTATTAGACAAAGCATTTTCTTTAGTCAGATGGACTGACTCTTGAATTTTATTTCTTTTGCAATGCAACTTGTACCATTTGGATTTGTTAGTTGAATATTGATAGGTCTTATTTAGCTGTTAGATGTCAGTACCACTCGGAGGATAATTTCATGTTTATCAGCACTGTTTTATACAGCACACTGTACGTGTTTCTGTAATATATAATAATATTTTCTACCACTGTAAGAAGTCTGTAACCGCTATTCAGCAAAATGACGAAAATGATACAACACTAATGTTTAAGTCATGATTGCATTATAATTATGGTAAATAATGGGAGGGTAGTGTATTGTGTACATCGATTGAACTCGTTCCATTTTACAGTCGCACTTAGGAGAGCGTGGTAGAGTAGCTTGGAATTTATTAAATGCTTGAATATTGAGGTTTGTCTTGACTGTACGCCATAATGAATTAGTAATAACCTTACTTATAATGTTTCGAGAATTGTATTTCTACGCTTTATTGACAAGGGTGGGCAATATGTGGAAACCTATGAAAGTTTTATTATGCGATCGACAGTTGTCACCACTCAGAGTTATCTGTCATTTCTATTCAGGGAGAAACATTAACTCCAAGATTGCTTTATGCCTTTGTAATCAAATTGTATAAACATTATTGGCTTACTTGTCTCCATCTTTAATGAGTACATACGTGAAACTCCTGCCCATAAACTCCATCGTAGATATTTAAGCCATTTCTCATGCCAGATATTATTTACAGGCAATCCCATTCACTACAACTGTTTTGAAATAAAATCTCTCATGCATTAATGTCACTACAAAAACTTTTCCAATGCCAAGATAGGCAATTATTTCCTCAAAGGAGAGAAGTGTTTAATAAACAAAACGAAATAATTTGATAGAAAACTAGTAATCATGAATTTCAAAATCTTCAAACATAGAAAATATTTTCTGCAGTAGTTGGTATGAAATAGCACATATCGAAGGAAGCTTAACATCGTCCACTGAAATAATACCAAAAATCCTCTGCTGTGTACAGTATATCAGTGAAGTTTTATCTTGCATATTCGCCTCTGGATACTTACAGATGCGAAATGTTTAAGGCAGATCACAACCACTTCATAAAACACTCACTATTTATCAGGAAAAGTTGAGTTCAGGTTCTATCTCAAGCTAACTTTATTTATCGACTCTTTTTAGCAGCAGTGCATCCCATACCTACATACTCAATGTGTTATGAAACAAACAGACTGTTTCCAATTCCATAGTGAGAAATCAGGACAAACTTTTTTTACGAAACAATTAATATTTCATTTTGCGTTTCGCCATATAGCTTATCTAAAATTTTTTTTTACGGCGGTATTATATAAATAGTCTATATGTACATATGTTAAAACAAAGATAATACAGATTACGAGGTGCTTAAGCAATTGGATTTATGGAAAAATTCTACTTTTCCACAGAAAAATACAGTGGATCAAATGCAAATAGAAAATTATGGATAATTTAAGGTACAAACAATTTAAATTAAAACACGAGGAACAGTATATATTAAACAGTAATAGTATTTCTCATATAGAAACGATAATTCAACGTTCAATCAATATGAACGAAAACACTTCGTCATCCCGAAATGTAAGTTTCGAATTGAGGATGCAAATGGTAGACATTATTTACACGGGTTCACATGCTCACTATGCTTATTTCAGCAATGAAATTAACTCAGTCTGTCTTCAGTCATCTGGTGAAATAGAGCGCTTAATGGGATGGGATTTCTTTCGGCGACCGCTATCCTGAAATTCAGATGTAAGAAACATCCACCACAACTACATCATAGCAGTGAAAAGAAAAAAAGGTGATGAGAAAAACAATGCTTGCCAACAACAGTATTAAATCTTTAAATAAAAATCTCCATAGCACAATTAAACTCACTTTATCGTCTTCAACACTGGGACTACTTCGTGAACTTGTTGCAGTAGATTCCTTTGAATCCTTTCCGGTATCCTTGCTAAAATCTTTGGCTGTGTCCTTTGGTTCTGAATTCTTCCCCATCTTCGGTTCTGCTGAGAGAAGAGATTTTGAAGAAGTGGCCTGTTGCTCATCACCGGATATTCTGGTCCACAGAACTTCCAATAAAACTGAATCGTTAAAAATTTCAGAACCATCTATGTTATACTTCTGAAATATATTTGATTTTTTATATTTTTCAATTAAATTTACTATAAAATAGATCTAGAAAATCTATAACACAGTAAGAAGGATCAAGAATAAAGTGTAGTGCACGGGACTTACTCTTGCATTAGCACACAATAGCCTGATGTCATTCCCCATATCTTGCACACTATGATATTTGCCATCCTTAATTTTCCGCTTCACTTTGTTAAGATCCATTGGTTTTTCTATGATTTCATAATAATCTGGCAGTTCTCTTCGCGAAGGTAACTGTTCAAAAGCTGCCGCTAATTCTTTTCCATTACTAAAAAATAAATCTTCCAAAGGAAACCTAAAAAAGGAAACAAAACCCGATTAAAGGCGTAATTTGAAAAAGTACAAAAAACATACCTAGTTTTGTATTTTATTAAAGCTTCATAGAGTTTGATGAGAAGTGAGGTTATTTCAGGTGAAACTTTTCTGCGCTTAGGTGGTTCATCGTCATCATCATCTGCAAAACTCATTCAGCAGCTCGATAATAACAAAAGCAAACTACTTTTTATATGAGACTTACCAATTTGACGTCTTTTTCTTCCCCTATCTTTCTTCCCTTTTTTTCTCTTCTTCTCTTCTTCGTCGTCATCATCATCGTCATCTACATCCTCATCAATACTTTTTAGCCAATCACGATCCGACATCAAATCCTGGAACGAAGAACTATGAGATACTATTTTAATAAATTTCAAAAGTTTCTAAAATCAATTTGAAAATAACCTGTGAATAATCAACTTCTTTCCGTTGCCGACGTCCAACTGGTTCGAATGCAAGCTTTGATTTTTGTGGTTCCTTTTCTTCATCAATGAAATGCTGTGAAGCTTTGACAATACCTTCTGGAATCTCACTATCTTCAATTAAACGAGGTTTACGACGGTATTCAGCAGCTTCTTGACGGCGACGTTCAATATCCATCCTCTCAAAAAAAAATTAATAAAAAGTAAATCCAAATTAACTGATATGCGGACTTTAATAGCGAAACAGTAGAAACGCTCCAAATATTAACGAATCCAAATAATTTACCTGGAACAAATCAAATTCATCTTCAGATCGCGCAACCATTTGATTGATTGTCTCATCATCTGGCACTTCATCTTCATCGTCATCCTCACTCTCTGCTCTACAAGAATGACATAAAGACACGTTCCTTAGTTTTTTACCTATTACGTAAAAAGTGAAATAGGAATTAATTTTAACAACCAAAATTTCACCTGATAATTTGTTCCAGCATTTGTCGGCGTTCTGCACCAGTGGAACGCTGATCAAACTTACCTGCTTGAATAACTTTCTCATCTACATTCAACTTATATCGAGCTGCAGCTAGAATTTTTTCTTCGATACTATTCACAGTAACCAATCGCAAAACACGCACTTCACGAGACTGTCCAATACGGTGAGCTCGGTCTTGTGCTTGCATATCCTATATTTATGTGAATAATTTTTGACTTGTAGAAATTGCAGATAAAAGTGACTGCTATAACTTCCAACAAAAACAAAAAGTGCAGGCCAACTACACTGAGACCATGGTTAAATAAAGTTCAACTAGTGGTAGTACTCTTTTACTTGTAGCAAAATAAGGGATGTTCTCACTTGATGTGGATTCCAATCCGAATCGAAAATTATTACTGTATCCGCAGTCTGCAAATTCAGACCAAGACCACCGGCACGTGTTGATAGCATAAATATGAAATACTCGCTGTTTGGTGCATTATACAGCTCCAGTAACTGTCCTCGCTCATCTGGTTTTGTGCTACCATCAAGTCGTAGATATTTAAATTCTGAAATAGTAGAAAACAAGTCCATTAACAATTTTTAACTTTAAACACAAATTTTTACCTCTGTAATTGAGATAATCTTCCATGATTGTCATAAGTGATGTCATTTGACAAAACATAAGAATGCGATGACCCGAAGCTTTTAGTTTCGGCAGCACACGATCCAAAAGTTCAAATTTACCGCTTACACGATATAAGTCTTTTCTGAAACACAATTCTTTTTTTGCAGAATTATACTATTACAATATTCATTTCAAATGGTTAAAAAAATTAACCCTGAAACATCTGGTACTTTCCAAAATTCACGGCATTCATCTTCAACATTTTCAAAAAGAAACGGGTGATTGCAAAGTTTTCGAAGGTGAACAACTGTATTCATTAGCGCTCGTCCACCAGCCTAGAAATATATGTTTGATCCTTGACCTGCTCAGAAAACATTTTAGATAACATAATTCCTACGGTACAATAAAGGAAATAAAACAAACATGCTTGCTGTCGATAAGGAGACCCTTTTGCATATGCTGATAAAGAATTCTTTGCAGCGCACTCATATCGCATTTAATAACATACTCGGTTTTTTCTGGCAACTGACTCTCTACTTCTTTCTTCAAACGACGCAACAAAAACGGTCGCAGCACCTGAAACCAACTATTTTGTTCTGAAAATCGTATGTTAACTATAAATTATGTTCTATCTTTAAATGATGGATGATCGCTGCATAAAAAAGTTGTGTGGAAAACCTACGTTCTAGAAACAAAAGAAGTTTGAAAATAATGCCCATAAATAACGAACAAGATCACACATTTATAAAGTCAGTACAGTTCGGTGCTTTCACAAGCCGCATATAAGAATACCTTGTGCAATCGTCTAATGATTAACATTGTTTCCTCTTGATTCAACTCCACTTTTTCACCGGTTGTTGCAAATGGAGCATTAAACCTGAAATATCATATCAAATAATATCTACGAAAATCAAAGTATTCTCATTTTTTTTTTTTTTTGAATTTCTTTTAATTTATCATTAATTTAAATTCTCACCACTGCTCAAATGTCCCGCATGAACTGAAGATTGATGGAAGAAGAAAATTCAATAATGCCCAAAGCTCAGGTAATTTATTTTGCAATGGAGTCCCGGTAAGAAGAAGACGATGTTGAGCACTGAAGTACCCATTCAAAACTAAGGTCAGTTTACAATTGTGGTTTTTCATCCGATGACCTTCATCAATGATCATATATTTCCAACGTATCTATAATATGTGTGTAATTTAGCGTTAAAACATATCACCATTATTTCAATGTAAAAATATTTCTGTCCTCCATATAGTGATAAAAGAATACCTTTCCTAAAAGACCTTTTTCTTTCAGCACATAATCATAAGTGGTTAACAGCACATTAAATGCGTTACGACGAATAGAAGCTTCTAATTTTTTACGAGCTTCTTTGTTTCCTTTGTAAACAATGCTTACAACATGTGGAGCCCATTTTTCAAGTTCCAAACTCCAGTTCGCAATCGTTCTGCAAGCCGAATTTTTCAAATAATTTCATTAATATTCCTAATTTCTTCAATTAGCTCATTATTTCATTATAACAGGTTAAAAACCGGAAAGAATTTCACATTGGAATTATAGACAAGAACTTACGACAAAGGAACAATAATTAAATACGGTCCATTTAATTTCTTCACTTCCATTAAATACGTTACTAATGCAATCGTCTGAATTGTCTTGCCCAGACCCATTTCATCTGCGAGAATACCATTAAGATTGTTGTTATATAAAGAAACCATCCATTCTAACCCTTTTAACTAAAAATATTTTATCACAACGAATCACATAAAATAAGTAAAAAAAAATGAAAAATTTTAGTAATGAAAGGAAAAAAATACATCAAAGTTGCAAGGTATAAAGGAATTATAGATTAACCTGATAAGGTTTCAGTTGTAACGCCTGGTTGCCACCACCCAATGATGAATGTTGTGTCACAATTTTCTCTTTAATTTTATGTGCTGTTGCGTAGTAAGACTCCATTTGTCGCCTATTTTTCTGATCGTATTCATCTTCTTCATTCCGAGCTTTCTCAATTATTTTACGATTTCGTGTCTCCTCGTCCATACCTGAACACTTTTCAAAATATTTATATGACCATATATTAGTAACTGATTTGGAAAAATCAGAGTTACATTACTTTAGAATGTCACTAAGCAAAAAATCAGCAGCAAACCTTCAAATTCATCATCCTTCTTTTGTTCAATAGGTTCCGGGATTGGTTCATCTGGCTCTGAATCTTCACTATCTGAGTACTCCTCACGCGACACTATCTTCGAAAACATTTTCAACAATTTAGCACAGTTTTCATATTTTATCTTATAAGAGTTGAATAATCTTCTTATAACTTTCCGAAATTAAGTTACTAAAAACGATCCCATTTGTAACAGAGTCCTTTAACAATTTATAAGCCCCAAAAGATATTAACTTCCAGTATTTTAACTTTCTGATTTACCATTACATGTCTTTAGAATCTCTGAAAAACAATTAATATTACTTCATGTCCGGGATGAGCATCAATCCAAGCATCGATGTCTTCTGATTTTGGCATTTCTTCTATAGGTAATATTTCACCAGTTTTTGCATCTCTTATGCGCACCCGTACTTCAGATTCACCGCTTTCTGCAAAATCATCGGTTTATCGGTTACACAATACAACTTCCTTCTTTGAAATTTGATATAATTATAAAAGCTTTGATAAAAATTACCTTGCATCTTTTCTTTCTCTTTTTGCTCACGACGCTCATTACGTTTTCTTCGTTTCTCTGTTGCTTGATGTTGTTTGACGAGTCCTGTTAAGCTTTCTACATACTCATCTGTTTGTTGCAATAAGAAAACCAAACGTTTGTCTTTCTTTTCATCCAGTAACTGCCTAAAAATTATATCTATAAGCGATAAGGCATGTCTACAACTCGACATGACTTTTGCACTGATATCCTGTTTAGAAAAATAGAAATTCTAGAAAAGAATTTTACCTGTAACCTTCTTCATCTTCCTGCATTAATTTTTGCATACGCATTCGCTCATTTCTCAGCTCGTCTTTCTTTCGTTCCTTTTCACTGTTGGCGTGGTAAGTTAACACTGCTTTCTTTATTTTACTTTGCTTGACCTGAAAACTTGATTTTATTCTTCAGTACAAAATTCAAAACTTCTCGAAACAATGAAAACAAATTTAAGTCCAAAAATCACCTGATTGTTGCGATGATACTCTTTAAATTCCTTTCCATGTTGTAAAATTGCCTGTAACAGATCATTATGTTTCTGCCGACGACGACGTTCTTGCTCAACTTTTTGTTGCTTTTCTAATTTCTCGGTAACTCGCGCTTCACGCAAAGACTGTCGCTTGGTCCGACGATATGCGTATGGATTTAGCGCAGTTTCAAGTGTTGTATCCTTCTTCAGTTGACTTAAGACTTCATTTCGTACCTAAATCATGAAAATCTAACAAAGACAAGTAAAAAGTCTGAAAAATTCTACTCCATCCGACTTACCTGTGTTTGCAAATTCAATAACCGAAGAGCGCGGAGCTCAATTTCTGCCTTTAACAATAACCGTTTGCTCAAATTCGCAGGAAGATTGCTGAGCCATTGAATTCGTGCTCCAATTCTATTTTGAATTCTGCAAAAAACTTGAACCAATGTACATGTTCGGAATCGCAAATCAATTCATTTTTGAAGAATTAGAAATATTCTTGTACTAAAGACAAATTTCTTAAATTTCTTTACACACATTTTGAATGATAAAGAGATAAATTTTGTTTTGTAAATTGCTATCTTATATCCCTCATGTTTGAATGCAAATGCTTTAGAATTCCTTAGCAACTCTAAATATCATTATTCATAAAATCAAATTCACTATATACCTGTATTCCCGTTCCTTTAGAATTGTTTGTGGGTCGACTCCGGGAGGAGGAGGAAGGCATGTACTTCGGTTAGCACGTTGCTGATGCAGCGTTAGAATTTTCATCAGATCGTACGGCAGCTTCTCGCCATTTTCTGTTTCAACAGGAAATTCATATGGTTCAGGAAGCAAGGAAGATGGTTTAGATACAGATGACGCGATAAGAGCTGCTGCAACCGGTTCCTGTGCTGCTAACTGTTTGTAAGCGCCAATCTGTAAATGATATGTCACAGAAGTCTGTAATTTGAATCAAAATATAAAGTGTACCTGTGCTTTCAGCTGTTCCAGCTGTACAGATGTAAATGTATTGTCCTGCGGTTCCTTCACTGCTTCCACCGGTTGATGGTGCTTCACTTCCGCCAATGGTGTTCCTGAAAATTAAAACATTTTAAAAATTATTCAAATATTCAATCAAATCTATGCCTTCATCTTTTCTTTCAAGTAATTGAACCATCTAATAATTTCAATCTACCCTCAAACATTACCTTGTGGTTCCTTTCAATGGAAAATTTACCATTCATTCTTTACGAAAAAAGAAAAGACTTTTTAAAAAGGAAAAAAAATGAGTCTTATGTACATATTTTATTTCTGATGAATAAGAATATTCAGCCCTAGCTCTACCAGACGTCCAACGAACCTGTAACTTTCTGTTTCAACAGCAGCATCTGTGCATAACGTGGATCTGCAGTCATTTGTTGCTCTTCCATACTTGCTATCGAACTATCCAGTTTCGCCATTGCAACTTCTTCTGCTGTTATACCATGTTGCACAGATCCTTGAACAAACTGCATCTGCGATTGCTGTAGCGGAGGAACTGTCGAAGCTGATTCGGTTCCTCCATACTGCACTGGAGGTACATAACCACTTGATACACCCATATATGGCTGTCCGTTAATTCCACTAGAAGGTGTATATTTTGGCACATTGTCGCCCATGTTTAGCTGCAAAATAATTATAATTCTAACAATTTTCGGTTGTACATATGGGAATATGCAGCCGTCTTGTTCTCAGCCTTCATACCTGTTTTTCCTGTTATGAAATTCTTCCGATAATAAGTGATATATACATCTGCTCCAGAACATATTCCGCAGAAAAAACTTTCTTAAAGGGAGAGGCACATACTATAAAAGTCAATCAGAAAATATGAATTTCAAAAAGAAAAAGAAACTGACATGCTACTGTAAAGAACAGCTCATTTACATATCAACAACAGTTTCATGCATCTAATGTTATTAGCAACACGTGTAAATGACACTGCTAGAATTCTGTAATAAACTAGTGTTCGCGCATGAAAACATAGCGATACATCTACCTTGCGTGCGTGAACTCATTTATTTACTTTCCCCCTTTTGTCTTCCCTACGTCAAAACCCCGCCTCACACTGAACACCACTCCCTCCACTCACCGATATCCGAACTTAATGCTATCGATCAGAAATGCATGGATGAAAACTTGACGTCTCAATTTCACTTGCTGTATTTTTTTAATTAATACATCTGAACTCTAATATCTCTCGAGAAGAAATGTCACGGTTTGTCCATCGCTCTAATTAATATACGTCTTCCTTTTTTCCAAAAATAAAAAGCACAATTATTAGTCAATTCAAGCCGTGGCAAGCCAGTGCGTAAATTCCCTAATACATATTATTGCATCATTTGCCACTTTTCATTCTTATCAGTTTTTTTGAAATTTCAGTTATATCCAACAGAAATATCAATTCAATTTAAGGTATCACTCAAGAAGAGATGGGAATGAACTTCCTGCATTTCACATTGTCCGATGTGCATGGCTCGAGTTGGAAATATGCCTCATTAGTGTGGAATGATAGAAACTCAGATGCACATGCATCGATCAATTTCCACTAATCATTCAAAGCAGCTCATCGAGATGCCAGAGAAGTTAATGTTAAGTCAAAAAAGATTGGCGTTAGTGTACTATGCCTGTTGTAATCCATCAATATTATCTATTTCTCGGCCAAATGAGCATAGATTTTATTAGTTAAGAATATTACGTCAATGACTAAAGTCATAGTTGATTGGTAATGAAAAATATTAAAATTTGAGGAACTACTTCCAAGAGAATAGGTTTATTTTAAGATTATTTTTTTCGTTAACTTTTAATCAGGCTGAAATTTCATTAGAAACTTGTAATTAGACTTTGAAGGACAGACTATAACTTCTATGGATTTCATTTTCGTATTTTATATACAAATGGCCAACTTCGTTTTGTTTCTTTTGTGCAGTTCTCTTTGCAAAATACATCGTTTACTATTATTACATCATAGAAAAACGTGTTCACATTTGGAATGAAACTGAGAATGTCAAATAGTAACAAATGACTGCATGAACCAATAAAGAAAAAAGTGACTTTATTTGATATGTACAAAGAACATCCAAAATGCAGCATAGAATTGAACGAAATGAAATAAAATCGCAAGGAGTAATGGGCTTTTACTGATGCAATGAATTAAAAATAAGAATTTTGTTATGAAATAAAGTTACCAGAATAAAATCCTAAAGATGAGAGTAACTAGCAAAAAAAACCCAAGGAGGAATCTCTATCTAGAAACTTCAGTATAAAAAAATAAAGAAACTGAAATATTTAGCATTGAGAATTTCTACACTGAAATCGGCATTTACTGGTAGAAACTACGCTCAATATTAAACTTTGTTTGCAATAAGATACCCCTATCTACCAGACTGATCGATGTATTAGACAGTCGTAATGTTGCTGATTCCTTTAAACTGATACCTTCTCTAAGTATCTCATTCACCATTTTCATCATAGCACCTTTCGTTGCTTCCTTGAAACTGTCCAGTGATTGCAGTGTAAGACCGAAAAAATCGATATGTTCATGAAATTGCAGCGTTCTAATCTTTATTAATCCTGAAATAATATTAAAACATACCCTAAGATAAAGCTAGTTGAGATAGAATAAAGATATTTTCAGCATTCTCGAGATAAGCTCACACGAACAGATAAAGTAAAATCTTTCGGTCTCTTCTACCTAGAATTATTCTGTAATGCTAGATGATCGCTAGACAACTAATGATGTTTTTATTGCTCTCACACATAGCATAAGACTGAACCTTCTTCAACAAAAGTGAAACTTCAAAAAAAATTTATAATCCGAACTACCAAAATTTTGGTTTATATTGCCTGTAAGTTTGACAATTTAATCTCACCCAAACAAAAGAGTTTTCTCACAAAACTTTTGAACATACATTTACCGTATTTTGAAACTATCAGTTCCTCAGCATTTCCAAACTCCGAAGAAATTCAACTGCACATTGAAATAACTCTGTAATTAATTTTAGTTTGCATTAAAACTAACCAGCAATACGACCAGGTAAGCTTATAACATTGCACTGTATTGTGGTACTGAACGGTATTAAGCCGATTTCTTCCGTTGTCCCTTCGACGAAAAATGTCGCATGCCCTTCGAGGGTCACAATAGCAGCATCTGATTTACAAAAAATTCACAATTCCAATTCAAAAATTACCTGTATTAGAAAAAATTGAAAATTTCCAAACATTACTAGTGTCTAATACGAAATTTTACTTTTCCCTAGTAGACCATAAGTAATCAAACCTGCCGAAATGATTGCCCTAGGCGGTTCAGTTGTACGTATGATAATTTGAAGTTGCTTATTAGGATATATTTCGGCAACTTCCGGAATACTATCCGACAAGCAAACTTCATCTATTCCACATGATGTACGTATTAATTTACCAAGCACAGGTGTTGTTGAACTCACATTGAAAACGAACGCATCAATGCTGAAATTGTGAAATATAACAGTTAAATTAAGAAAAAATCAAAGTTACCATTTCTAATTCAATTATTAAAAGTTGAAATCACTAGGCTCGAAAGTATAAGGTCTAGCATATAAATGCAACTCTGACAATAGTAAACCGATATCGCAACAAAGTCTTATTACACAGTTTAAGAAACTTAAGAATGCCAATTTTCCATCATAAAGAATATTTTCTTCATTTTAATCATCCTAATTAAACAATTGAGGATTTTGAGAAATTTATGTAAGATGACCAACAATAAAGGTTTACTACTATTATTTTAAAATAATCAATAAATTTTAGCGTAAATATTCGTTGAGGCAGATTTGATAAAAATAGACATGTGCATATCCCAGGAGCTTCAAAAAAAAAAAAACAAGAAAATATTAGCGCCTGAAACTTCGGCAGGAAAATCAAGTTTTGTATTATGCAAGTTAGCTTTCTTGTGTTAGCGAAAGGAAATACACCCGAACATTGCAATGGTTTTGACAATCTGAATGGATCGTTTTCATATTGAATAGTACATCAAAATGAAATTATTCGAACTGTTTACTTTGATCGAATTCTTACATATGTGCTTTAAGGAGGAGCGTGTTGATAGTATATTCCGATATCAGCAAGTCAACAGCATCTGCATTTATTACTTCATTGAACCGTAACATTTTCGGTCGTTGATAAAGATTCTGAAGCAGTTATTTTTTTTTAAACGAAAATTGAGAATCATCAGAGAACTTTCAATTCAAAGGAATATGTGAAGAAATGCTTAACGAAAGGCTTAAATTACATTAAAATGCTAACTTAAATGATATCCTCTAATCATTAATTTTTCTATTGTTATATGTATTAAAATGCAATAAGTATCACAAGTAAGTATACTGGAATAATTTCAAAAATAACGAGGAGATTTTTTGAATGATGGAATTAAAGGAACCACTTAGAATTACAGAATTACAGGCATGGAAAATTTCTAAGTAGCTTATCACATTTATGGCTTATCACAGATGAAGCAATAGAGATAAATGAATAAAACAAACAATAGTTTGATCATATGCTTTAATATACACATCACCATCTAGTCCAATAAAAAATTTTCCATATGTTGCACTTGTGTCCAGAATACTAAGTGAAAGAATTAACAGAGATAGCTTTCCCCGCGAATTTTCCCAACTATTGTTCTATAAATAGATGAAAATTATTGAAAGTATTCAAGAAAAAACACAGTTTATATTAAAACTAAAATTTTATAAACTTTAAAACATAATTTAAAGAAAGCAAATGAAAAAAAAAAAGAAAACTAACAGTGCTTGATTTCTGAAGTGCTATATTTGTTGGGAAGGTAGACGATGAATTTAGAATTATTGGTTCCAATTTATGGGCATAAGAAGCTGTATTGAATAATCTACTTAACTGTGATTCTTGCAACATAATCCCTCCAGAAATCGTTTGCATCTTAAGTTGCATTGGAGCTACAAGTATCATTCATATTAAATAAGGCATTTAACTAATTTTCCAGCATATTTTATGAAAGGAAAAAAGTACAAATATTTTCATTTATATTATATAATTTTTATAGAAGAAAATTCACCCTTCAGATAGTTTGATTCCGATTCCAAAGTCCTTTTCATTTTCTGTCCGCTTATATTATCTGAGTTCTAAAAATTACTTCAAAAAGGAACATATTATACTCAGTGCTTGATTCTTGCTTAATAACTTAATGCTTGATAACTTTCCAGAAGAAAACATTCCCAGCAACTTCTGATAGATAAGAAGTTTATTGCTGCTTTAAAAGACATGCAAAAAAAATCTACCAATTTAAAGATCAAACGAGTCAGTATTTTACTATGTTTTCGAAAACAGATTTTATGTAATGAAACCAAGATGATGCAATAAAATATGTTTATTTTAAAGGGAAAAAAAGAAGCGGTGCTTGATATACCTCGAAAAATATTTGATATAAATCAAGGATGGATATTTGAGTTGGTATCTGAAGCAGTTGATTGTTCAATTCATTATTGACCACATTATTCACAGTAATGCAAAGAGTTTCTTCTAATATCTGTCGAGTCTTTATCGTTATTTCATGCTATAGCAAATCTTATATTACAATTTTATTTGCATCGAAACTTTGTAATCTTTTACTGCTCCAAATAATATAAGAATTTACCGAAAGAGAACTTAAAGAAAAGGCAACATATGCGTGGTATACATACGCCATATATTTAAGCATTACTTTTTTAATTCTGAAACCAATATTCATTTTAAAATTTGACAGGGAGTAGGTGAAAAGCATAAAAATGACTACTTTAATAATTACTTGATATTTGGTATTGACGATGATAGTGAACAGGCCCATATTTTCCACCCAAGCGAGGATTACTTCATTAATTAGAGAACAACTGACAACTCGAATATATGGCACATTATCTACAGTCTTTTGAATATCGAATGTCGCCTCTACGACAAGCTGGTTAGCAGATATTGCTAGTGTCCCATATGTAGGTATTGTCATCGAAAGTAACGGTAATGGTTGTAAGTGACCGTATAATGTACCTGTGATGCTTTAACATTGATTTTAGTTGACAATTTGATTGCGAATGACTGAGAAAAGCGTGGTATTCCTTTTCACTAAACCAATTGTTAGTAATGATAGCTATTCCTCACTGCTTCAAACCAATTTTTGTGAGAATTTAGCCGAACCTCATTTTTTCTATTTACATCAAATTATACTAAAACTTACTAAAAGTTAAAGCCACTAATCCTAAGTGTTAACAGATTTGGTGGTGTTGGTACTACTCCAACGTACGATGGATTTTGATGTGCGACGAGATGGAAATCCTGAATTTTAACACATCCTTCTGGAAAACATTGCTGTTGAGGAGGAATTATCACCTGTTTAACATACTTCTTGAATAAATGATCTGAAATAGAAAGTTGATTGATTGACAAAAAGTTCAAATTTTGTTATCAATTGAAAGATTAATAAACATTTGGATTATAGAAGCATCTTCATGGTCAATATCTTCAGTTGGTTTTGCATTATGTACAGCAGCTGTAATATACTCGATCAGAAAGTCGAAATAATTTACAATATAAATATGTTTAAATAGTCAAAATATTTAATATTGTATAAATATTTCGCACTGAAGTGATTCACCACACAAAATGAATATATTGAATGTAACGATGTCTAATATAGTGGATTAATTATCTATATCTTATTTTTGTTTCTGGTTCCAAGTTTTTCTTCAGTGTAAAATACTAAGAAACCAATTCAATTCACATGTAAATATTCCCGCTTTCATACATTCATTGATTGTAATCGTCTCTTTTTTGTATCCAAATGGATTTCACAAATGTGCATGTTTGTAAACCATACCCACTATGTATATGAGTTAGAATCACAAAGCAAATTTTCATCACAATTTCTTCTTCGAAATCCATCTTTGCGCAGATTTCTTCTGCTGGGAACACCAACAATTCTTTTACCGATCATTTCATTAAAAAGGATTTCTTCGTAAAACAGCAATGAAGGAGGTTACACGACAAATATTTTGGTTCCAGAAATCAATACCAAAATCAAGATCAATATCGTGGAAGTTCTGGTTTTGTTTGCGGAACAAATCTTTTTTAATGAAGTGGCCTGCAAATGATTTGTTAGTGTTCGCAGCAGTGTGATAAGCCGGAGCGATGATAAGTAATTTTGATGATTCTAATTTAGATACAAAGACATGTACAAAAAAGAGACAACTACAATCATTGAATATAAGATTGGTATCAAAGCGGGAATATTTACATGTGAATTGGTTTTCAGTATCTTGCACTGAAGAAAAGTTGGACCAGAAACAAAGATGAGAATTAGATAATTCAATACATTAGACATCATAACATTCAATTATATTGAATCACTTCAGTGCGAAATATTTATACAATATTAAAAACAAAGAAACACAAACTATTCTGGACAAATACTTATATTGCCGATTATTTTGATTTTCTCAACACTTGTACATTGGTAATTAGTGTTGGTAATTACCATCGTATAATTTGAATTATGATTTATTGCAGTAACGCTGGCTATATCAAAAGTCTGAATGAACTATAATATCCAATCTTTTTTTTATGCTTTCAGTATTTCCATGCTCTGGTTTTTCTTCAACTTTTTAAATAACTGTTATTTTCTGGTATGAAACTTTCTGGCTTGATTTAAGTAGCGACTTCAAAGTTTTAAATAAATACGCATGAAGAAACAAAGCAATACCGACTACTCTGGATAATTGCTGAAAGATATCATCACTGAATCGCACTCGTAAAGCAGATTGCAGTGGAACGAAAATTTCACCGGGTGTTCCGAGACATTCATCGGCTGTATTTGCTAACCACAGTGCAATCTTTAAAACGTAACATTCATGCTCATATGAAATCCGAAGAACACTTTTTCATCGTTAAAAATTTTCCATTCCGAAATTTAACTTTTTTTAAAGTTCATTGAAGACGAAAAGAAAAGGTTATAAAAAAGAGTTCAGGTTTTACAAATAACAAAAGAAAGTGTGATAAATAATTTATTTGACCTCTGAACTAAAACATATTTCTCTGCCAATTATTTTATGATTTTCAGAAATATGGAACTCTAGGATCTATCTAAAAGTTGTTTCAACAAAAAAAAAAAAAAAAAGAAAGGAAAAAATCTTAGATAGGCGCTCTTCAAATATTTGTGATATATGCTAAAACTTTTACTAATCCAATGCAACATACTTGCATATTGTCATTTTTCTTCATAAAGTATGATAACAAATCATTTGATGTCATAGCAATTCACAAATGTGTATGTTCCATTTTAATGAACACAAGACAATTGCTCCATTTGGGATCAAAATTTCTTTTGCAAACGTACCGTAACGAAGGCAAAATGATGGTCCATTTGAGAACAGTTCTGTGTATATCCCACAGCACAACTCAATTGTGCTCCTTTTGGTGTTCACTTGACAACTGTTCCAATTAGTTTTTGAGTTCACTGAACTCCCCGGAAAAGAGTATTTTTAATTAAATTACGTTAGTGTATGTTAGTGAGGGTCAGAGATCATGAAATAGTGAATCAAAGTAGCATCAATAATAGGCGAACAGGGTTAAAGTGTAACGACGCGGTCACACAGATAACCTTAATCTACAACCTTTAGCTAGCTAAACAAATCAAACAGATTGGAACAGAGTACAACGAAGATAGAATAATCTAGAAATATCGCTGATTTTTACACAGCCGTAGGATCAGCAGAATAATTAGGATGCAGTTGCAGTTTTTCGTCATTATTTAGAGTCTAATTATTAATGATGTGGATTTTACTTCAATTACACTATTTTACTGAGAAGCATATTTTGGAAAAGCAGAAATTTTTTACAAATTTGAAACCACGGTTATCCAAAAATATTATGATTGATGATAGATCGCCTTTGGTGACAACATTCAATTCATGCACAAAAATTTGAATTTTAGAAGAAAAATAAAGTAATTAAAAAATAAATTTCTTTCAACGATAAAATGTCAAAAGGAATTCCTTTCAAAACAAAAAAAAAAAAAACATCCTATTCCAGGTATTGCTAAAAATCTAATTTTGACATTAAGTACGAGAATCTCCAATAGATTATAATTGCGATTGTATCTCAATTAAGGTCAGCGATAAACAGTACAGTTCAAATTTACAATTCAAATTCTAACACATATGCCTTATCATTTTTGTACTCCATAGTACTTGTTAGGCAGTTAATACAGAAATCATAAAGAAAAATATCATAAATCAGCATACATATAACTACTTATTTAAAATGAGAATTTTGTTGCATAACAGGTAAAGAATAAACGCAATTACCAGGTTCCATAGTATCTTAAACTATGTGGAAATAACCATGTCTTAAGTTGTTAAGTGAAACTGGTTCGGTGACCACCCTCAATACACCTCATTCATATATGCGCATCTTCAAGGACAAATATTTTTCCGCAAAAAAGCGACAACTGATAGTCTTATAGAGAAGTAAAGATCGTAAGTTTGAAAGGTGGTGATTCCCTTTATGACACATAACTCCCGCTAGTTGCTCAGTGTCCCCTTGAGAATTCCAATTCCATGCTGTTGAATTAACTTTCATTTCGTACCCCACTTTCTCTCTTCATGGTAATTGTTTCACCCAGTTCTGCATGTCACGATGTGCAAAGGACAAGCTTCTTAATTTGTTAAATTCAAATGTGAAGTGATGCATCAGTCTTAAATCACAAGTTTTTTTCGTAAAACGGTAGCCAACACCATTAATAGAATTTCGAGCAATTTAAAAATCTTATCTATACAAACTCGGAAAGCAATTGCAACAGGAATTTTTATTGTGTAAAAAGTGATAAACAGCGACGGAGAAAAAAGACAAAGCAAATACGAGAAATTGTTGGTGAATTTGGACACTTTTCAGAATGTGAGTCATCTGAAATCTAAGAACGAGGAATGTGCTTTAGTATTAAACTGTATAATTATGCGTAGATTCACATTCATGTAATATCTCTACACACTTTTCTCAGTATTAAAGAAAGGATTTCAGACAAAGTTCATTCAAAAATGGCCAACGATAGAATGCAACGCAAAGCCAGATAAAATTAGCTACCATTTAGAACAATTGGCATTTCTCCAACAGTTCTTCCTTCGAATCTCTAAAAACTTACAAATTACCCAAACTCACCAAAATTCACTTTTTCTGCTTCGAGATGAGGTAAACTAACATATAAAGTAGTCCACTTATCAGTATCAAATCTACTATTTCAGAATCTTCAAATAAATCCACAGTAAAAATAAATCAATCTGCATAATACGAAGATTTAACTAATATAATGGATTTTTCGTAATTTCCAAATTTTACTCTATGATGCACTTCACTTATAAATAGATCTAAAGAAGCGAAAGAAAGTTCTAAACTAACTGTGACTGACAAGCAAAATTCGACAATTGGTGGACGAATTGAAAGACTGACAAAACGAATCAAAGAAAAACGACAACTAACTGAAACTTATGTAAGGAAGTGATAAAACCTGGTCGATATTTCCTTTCCAAACTTCCACTTTCGATATTATTGACAGCAAAACATTCCAACTGCATTTCGCCATTTTTAACACTTAAATGATATGTTCACAAACCCAACTTCTTCCGTCACATAATTCTAACAAATTTCCAAAAGAGTTCACACAACACCAGTTTTCTTTTTGAAACAAATATTATACAGTGAACTTTGAAAAAAAGGAAAGTACTGCAAAATCTAGCAAAACATAACTATACGAGATCAATATATATAACTCCATTAGCAACAATAATGGACATCTATTTAAAAAAAAAATTTGATAAAAAATATATTAAAGCAAATAAGACGGCCTTTTGAGAATAAGAATTGCAAGGCAAAACAAACTGTAGCAGTGGTGACATAATAAAAGAGGCAGTACAAAAATCTGAAATAACTTACAAGGAAAATTTCCTGAAATTGGTAAAATCCAATAATGTTTAGAAAAAACTTGCACACATAACTTAGTACTGAGGAATGCAAAATGAGCAACGAAGTTATGAAAATGAATAAATATCTAGGTTGCTGCTGAAAGATAAACTTGGAAATGGAATGATATCAGAGTGATGAAATCAGTCATCAAAATTAAGACCTGTTGGTCGAGTTCTTCGTCGTTTGCTCGATTCTGATGTTGAGCCGTTTTCATGTTTTTCAGATTTCTAAAACAAATGTAACATTAGCAGTGAGCACCATTTTTACACAGCTTTTCAATCATTCTGCTCTCTGATCAGAACACTTAAAATTTTTACACGAACAAGAAACGAGTAAATTTTACATAATCCTTCAAAACATTTTCTCATTTCATGATTTCTTGAAGAAATAGCAAATAATTATATTGGAGTATGTAATAAATCCAACTTCTCAATATTTCATTCATCTTGAACTGACCTTAGCTTGCTGACTGCTTGCTTACTAATCAAAGTAACATTAAAATTTTTTGAATTACGAGAAACTGCCATAAAGTAATCTCGAACATTGCAACATGATAAATGTAGTTCAAATGTGCAAATCTTCATACCTGTCCGTCATAAAGTAAGTTCCAATAAATCTTAACAAAATTACTTGCCTTTTTCTGGTCTGATTGACTTCGCATTGTTTTCCGAGCGGCCATTGGCTCATCACCTATTCTACTTCTTAGTTGACGCTCAGACTACAACATACTATACCATTCTATTTTATCTATTCTAAAGCAAGTTTCTATTAAATTTTAACAAAATTAAATACCTTCCTCTGACTCGACTGATTCCGCATTGTTTTTCGAGCAGCCATCTGTTCAACATCTGTTCTATTTCTTATCTGACGCTCAAGCTAAAATTATTCAGTATCAAAACACTCCGATATTTCAATGTATATATTAAAACGTTCAGAACGATTTTCCTAATTAAGAGTAATCTTCTTGTCAAATTTAACATTGCAGCCACTTGAAAAGACAAGAGTGAAAGTGACCATCTCATTTCAAAATTAAATAGCTTTAGTAGAAAGATGAGATCAATAATACAGTCATTCTCCAACAATATATTTGTGCATAGTTTATTTTAAATTTTGTGCAACATTACTTTCTGAAATAAGGTTTGGCACTGCTTCTTTACAGCCAATATAATTGAGATTGTTTCCAAGATAATAAAAAGTTTCTCCGTATTTGAAATCAACAATAACATGGGAAATATGGAAAAACTAAAAACCCTCGCAAGCATGAAGTTTAGTTTATTGAAGTGAAGAACCGAATTTAAACATGATGAACGTGTAGACAAATACAGAGCTTACCAAGCTCAAGTAGGCATTAACAGCTCTTTCCAGCAAATCAACAGTCCTTAATTGCATGTCTGCATTAATAACACGGTTCAATTCGATCCTGTTGACAACGTGCACTAGAATTAGTTTGTCATCTGTTACTTCGGATACTTTCAGCGTTCTTCTAAGTATCATTTCTCTGAAAAACATGGAAAATTACCGTTCAAAAACCTTGCAACTGAAACACACAGCAATGTTGACTAACACAAATCTTAACAAGTGATAATCGAAACTACATTAAATATGATTAATGCATATTGTTAAAATTAATAAAGAAGATTATGTGCAAGAATAAAAAAACCACAAAAATATTAATGCAAAAGGTTCAATTTTTCAAAGCTGAAATCTGGAAAAGGATGCAATATATATTCCCGTGATTCAAAAATTAGCTCCAGCAGCTACCAACAATTTTGCTATTATGTATCTAACTTCACTTATGGCACTTACCGATCCTTGTGTTCTATTAGTAGTCTCTAACTAAAAATACATAAAAATAATAAGCAAAAAATTTAAAAAAGAAAATGATCAATCAGATGGTACACACAACACACTTCAAATATTAAATAACACCTAGATTATAGCAGATGGCTCAGATCCGTAACATGCAATACAAAATTAAGCTCGTAATAACTCAGTGATGTTTTCTTAAAATTGATGACAACACACACCAAACCACTGGTTATATTCTATGACTATAGCAAAATCTGTCAGAAATTTCTTTCTGAATAACTGTAATCAAATACAATCGCATGTAAACTTAAATATGTTTTACGACATGATAAATCATTTTAATAAAAACTGTCTACGGCTTGCGGTGTCATTGAGATCTTTAGGAAAAATGTCGAGTAATTGTCTGGTGTTAAAAACTAAATTTGGAAGTTTGGGTACCATTATTGAGGAAGATCGTGGAGATGGAGAAACAACTCATGAAGGTAAGCAAGACGCTACTGATGTTTGACTGTTGACCATATATGAACTTTGCCACTTTCTTAATCAACCTTTTTCTAATCTCTAATTAACTCTTTCCTTGATCACTATTTACTTTCAGCAAATAAGCATATGTATACATTTAAAATGGCCATCACAGTCATAGCTTTATTAATAATCCATAAGTGTTTCAAGTGATGATTACGGTCACTTACGCTCGTTATGAGCAAATATAGTAACTCATTTGGCTTTGTCAGACATAAGAGAAATTAATTCATAAAAGTTGATATTCAGAATTGTTTTAGTGCCTTTGATTCTACGCCTAACACAACGTGAAACTGAACGGCCACATGTTACTTGGGCCGACGGCACTATCGATAATGAGCATCTGGGAAGGATGAAGAGCAATTGCTGCTGCATATGGGTAAAACCACGTATCTGGGATGATCCAACTACGTGGGAACAGGATGAATATGAAGTATGCAAATATAGGATTTTATATAATTTGAAGGAAATAATAGTCAAAGGGAGAAAATAAAGAGGACTCAAATTGTATATAGTTATTGGCAACAAATGGTTCAGGATTTTCTTATGGGTGTTCCTTTAGTTGAGCTAGAACATAGTGGAGCAGCAAAATAAAGTTGCACAACCGGAATTTGCTCCTTATAAATTAATCAACACCACCAATTACACTAATTCTAGACAGAAATTACTATTTTTTGCATGATGTCATCCAGAATATTCCTGAAGCTTTTATAGGTTGAGAACTGTCGCGGACATACTCTTCAAATGCCACCGCAGCCAAATGATACAAATTCAGAATCAATGCATGTGAATTGAAATTTCATAATTTTTTTATAAGAATTATTTTTGATGACTCAGCAAACAATCAATAAACTACGCTCTGTGTTGCGATATCAATACATCACTTCGTGACCAGCTAATGATATTCTCAATAATTTTTTGGATACTACTGATATCGAAGAGCGATATTATCCCAAATTAAAGTCTTTTTATCAACCTAAAATTCATTATAAAAACTCAGTTAATTCAGATTCCATAAGTTAAAAAAAGAAATTGTAAGTATCAATCCGTCTAATGCACAGGATTTTTTTTTAAACCGATCTAACAAATATAGTCTATTCAATACTTACTGCCAAGACTGTTCAAGAAGTGATTCAGAGACATTTCCAGCAAATTCAATTTGGTCTTTAGTTGTCATCGCTTTTTCGTAGGTTGACGTCTAGAAAAATGATTAACTTACATAACATGCTTACGAAGTTCCAGAAAAGTCATGATCGCACTTAAAAGCTATTGCATTATTTCCCATATGAAATAATTTGCTCTAGATGAAGCATCTTCTTTATCAAAATATGAAATCTTGAAATATGTTCAATTAAAAATTTACCATGCTATCCGTAACAGTCATTACTGAACGGGGTTTATCGAAGTAAACGAACCATCGGCCTGCACCATCATTGATAACGCAACAATGAAAACTGTCTTGCGGCATATTGATTTGGATTTCAAAACTCAAAATCTTTATGATTGGCAAAAGTCTCAAAAATCCAATTTTCCTTATTTTTTTAAAAAAATTATGTCGATCAGTAATTAAAGAGAATTAAAAAAAACCGCACCTTCTAGAATGACTATAAATTCCAATAAATAATTTCTCATAGAAAAACTACTAGTTAAACAAAACAATAATAAAAATGAAGTGTAAGTTTACTTCGTAATTAATGATAAAAAGTATTATCCAGCAATAAATTCTTAAAATTTCCATAGTAAATTTAGAAAACACGAAATTAAAAGATTGGAGCATGAGGAAACAATATAAAATTTTACAAAATTAGCATTCTGTGTAAAAAATAATCCTAGTGCGAAGTAATTCAAAAGTGGATGAAAATAGAAAAAGCATGAAGGCACAAATTAGAAATAATATATAACCAATAAAATCTATTTGTAATTGATGAATGCTTCCAAATCAATTGGCTCCATCGAGAAACTTCCTATATCTTTTCCTAATAATCAAAACGTTAACCAATTAAATTTAAGAATAATTTAGCTAACTGAATTCTCGAAATAAATGATTCTCAAGCTGTTCAACCTCTAGCCGCGCTGAATTCCAACGATTATTGATTTTATTGATTTGAAAATAGCATATATAACGTGTACAAATTCAGCAAAAAAAAGAAAAGCTGACCGGTAAAAGGGAGAAATTCATTAATCAACAGCAAAAAAATATCTCACAAAGTTATTCGTTATCAAAACGCGGCAACACAGTACAAGTCATTAAAGCGTAGGAGAGGTAACTGAAGGAAATAGGATAAGTTGTTATATTAAATGAAAAGACTCAAAAAACTCAAGCGGAATCCACCTTTCCATATCCACTATGAATTTACGTAAAGCGTGCATAATACACTGGCTATAAGTAATGGACTTGACCGCGTGAAGTGATTTACTACTATCTACCGGTAATCATAAATTTGCGCGGTTGCATTGTGATATACATCGACATATTCTGATGAAGGGGGATATTGTAAAACATACCAGTCATGTACGTACATCAGAATAGCCAAGGGTTGACCAAGAATCAATGATAACCACATAACAATGTTTCCAGGAAGACCACCTTTTAGCACTTTTTCAGTAACAAAGCTGAGAGGTATTTGAGCCATCATGCAAAGATATGCCCAAAAACGAAACATATGGAGTGGAACTGATACCTAAACATGTAAAGACTATTTTAATCCCTTCCCATTTATTTTTTTAAAGATTCGAATATAAAATCGATCGTCAAATAATATGAAATGGAAAAATTCAATCAAAGTGTTAGTAGGCTTTTAGCATAACATTTTATTTGTTATATGAGAATGATTATAAAAAGACCATAATCACTGTTTTCGTTTAAACTATAAAAAATTGATATTACTAAGACCGGCTACAACCTGGAGTATTATTTTATAGTTTGCAAGCAAAGTAGACAATTCATGCTAATTTTATATCTCAATATTATTATGAAACTTCAAAGATAGCAGGAATAGCCGTCCAAAAAAAACATTATCAGTAATAATTTCTTGATTTCAAGATATCTCCCTTAAATTGTTGAACTTATGCCATAAGACCATGATTTTATGAAAAATGAAATATCACTAACAAGATATTCATGAAAAAATGCAGACACGAAGAAAACGGCGCATGCAGCACTCATTTTACTAAAACCATTACATATCATTGGTCGATAAATATGCCGAAGAGCCCAACGATGTACAGGTATATTCCATGTCTTCCAAAACACTGCCAAAGTTTCTGCATTCCAAAAATCTCTAAAGAAATCGTCATTCTCTAATTACCATAATAACTCAACATTGCTATAGATTTAGATCTTTTTTGGTTCATGATCTCTCATTCAGTGTGAGATATCAGGGATATCAGGATATTAATTCGGCATAAAAAGATATTAAATTACTGTAGATTTGTTAGTCATTAACTGTCTTTATGAAAAAAATCCAATTAGCAAGAAATGGGAAATATATTACAACCAACAGCAATGTACAGCTCAATTCAACGGCCAAACCCATACCACGAACTCATCAGTATTTCATAATGTATATTTCTGCCTGCAATCCAGGGGAACAGTTATGAATTTGGGTTCTTCAGCCCCTCAATTCAACATATCACCCATAAAATTTTTTTTTAACTTACAAGTAGAATTGTCTATCGGCAAATTCCATTAGCTCAGCGATAAGATTAAGAAGAGAATGGAAAGTGGTATAGAAAGAAATTAGCCAAATTACATGATTTGGCACAGCTAATTTGAGAACCCTTTCAATGCACAAGCCAAAATTCATCGTTGTAAATGGTTCCACACTATTTCGTAAAAGAGGCGCTACCCATTGTTGACATAAAGCTATTATGATCAATGTCAGACAACCAAACTAAAATGTAAGCTTATATAACATAAAATAAATCAAAGAACTAAGAACAAGATCAGTCTTAAAGATATGAAACCATTTTTAAATCAGCATAGTTTTCTTAACAATGCTTCTAGAATTTCAAAAGTAAATGATATGAAATTAAGAAATAAGGTTTTTTGCAAACAAGCAAAAAACTAAACCTCAGCAGTTCGCTTCAAGATAAATGATTTCCTTCGTCCATTTGTTCGTGGAAATTGCAATTCATAACATAAAGTTGGAGCAAATATGAAATAGTACAAATTCTGCAGTGTTAAATTCCGCGGATATGACGGTAGCATTTTCTGCAAAGATTTCGAACTTTTGATCTAGGGATCAGTGATTACTTTGGGATGTTTCCTCTTGCATAACTTTCTCTGAAAAAGTGAGAAAAAAATCAGAAAGCAAGAAAAACGTCAACCTTGGGATTATTTACAAATAATTGAAAGTTAGACATTTAAAAACTACGAAATGTTTCGGAGAAAAAAGTTAACAAAAAAGCCAATACTGCAGATTATAGACTTTGGATTTCATTTGTAGAAAAAGATGCGAAGCAAAACAAAAAAAAAATGACACCAAAGCGAGTACAGTAAGAGATAGAAAATCAATGAGCCGTACCATATGGGATTACAAAGTAATTACAAAAATAGTACACACAAGGATAAAACAACATAAAAATTTATAAACAGAAAGAAGGAAAATGATTTTATAAGATAAAAAATCATAACCATGTAAGTGTGACCATATGAACATAAAGAAATGCTCTTTAGGATCTATTTCCCCTATTTCTTCAGGATCTATCATCGTCTAAATTAATTATTAACCCTAACCAATAATTTTCGAAATTATTTGAAGAATGCCTTTAAGAAAATTTTTTAAGCACCAAATGAAGAAAATTATTCGGCACATAGATCTTGGACAATTAAAAAAGCTACAGTTTTTAATATAATATGGATAAACTAAAGTCTGATAATTAAAATGTAAGTAAAATCGAGAAAGATAAAAAGTAAAACATTATAAAGTAGAATAGCAACTAGGAAAAGTCACCAGCTAGTTTTGATACTCATTGCACGCTTTAGGCGACATCGAAAGCACTTTTCTGGGAAGTTCATCTTTCAATAGCTGTTAGTATGAAAACTACGCCTAAAACCTATCATCTCAGGATGCATTTTCAAACGGTGTAAGATAACCTAAAAAGTTAAGTAGAATGACATAATGACTAATGAAAATTTGGAACGTTCATTTTCACAGAAGTTGCAATAAATTGCACAGAATGAATAAAGTAATTAAAATTAAAAAACCGATTTTACAAATGAAAAATTAAGTTCTGAAAGTACACGCATTATTAAAAAAAAGAAAACATTTCAAACATACAAAAAAAATAAAAGGGTACAAATTAAATGGACAAGAGAACCCGAAGCATAAACTACCGAGAAAAAACTCTTAGTTTACCTTAAGATTTCTGTTCGTCGTATTCATACATCTATACCAGTAGTTTGTATGAACATATGAGATTAACTTCAGAAAAAGTATTACATATGTCGACAGAGAAAGCACAGAGTATAATGGATAACTCTGAAAACAAATTAATGATAACACTCTAATTTCTAGAATATAAAGCCTAATTAACTGGCAAGGAAGCAGGCTGTATTCATTAATTCCAAAACTACCTGCAAAATCCAAGTGACTACAGCAGGTATGAATATATGTAATGAAAATAGACACAAGTAGAAGGCGAAAGCCAGTTGACTGTTAAGCCACTTCCATGCTGAAATATCTTCACCCTAACTTAGAAAATAAAGTCTCATTGGCTTTCGACTAGTTTTTTATATAAAATCCTTCAGGTACATCAAATTTTTGGATTCGCCCCATTGTTTAACATACCCATTAATTTTTCCATAATAAAGACAATGAAAATGGTTATGTTCGACATGAGTACCATTGCCAGATTAGGCCATTTCCACCAAGGATCCATCGCAATGAAATAAATCCAACTAGTTGGTGATACTAATACTCCATACCTACAAATTATGAAATGAAGAAAGTTAATTAACAATAATTTAGTCAGTACTAGATTTCACCACTTGCTTTATGAAGTTTTCAAGAGCAACACGACCATTTGATACGAACAGCAGAAGAACTGCTAGATTAAAAAATCCTCGGTAATCCTTCCATCCGGAACTCCCACTGAACAGTGAATCTTGTGCTACATGAACTGGCTTTTCTGGATCAAAGCTATTTCTGAAAGGAGTAAAACAGATATAATTGGGTTATAAATATTGACTGGACAACAAAGATGAAATTCATTTAAACAGTTGTAAATATGTAGCTGACATTCAAATATGTTGAATTTACGGTATATTAACTTAAGATCCATTCAGAGAAAAGAAAACACCACAAAACTCACCTTTTAACAGTAAATGAAGTAAGTGAAGATTGACTTGGAGATGAAAAAAAATTTGCATCATTTGACTGCGAAGAGGGTAGTCGTCTTCGTAATGAGTGTTTATGACCATCCATTCTTCCTAAAAATTTCGTGGAAAGTACCAATCTTAACAGAAACAGAAATGTGAAGTGGTCGATTAGTGAATACCAAGAGAACAAATTTTGGCAGTCGATGCTTTTCTTTCAAAGTAAATTGTGAATGTGTATACTACAGATAATTATACGAAGGTACATATATGCAAGCATAGGTACGCTTTAACTAATTTCAGAAAAAAAAAAAGCAACTAATAGCTTAAACATCTTCAATGAAATGCTCAGTAAACCATTATCAAACATTCCTTCGGAGTACACAAACCATCCCATTACAATAGTACGAGAACATAATATATTCTCAAATCACGACGATATGTAACAAGCAGAATGTTTGTACATGGCGTAGTAATTTCGAGGAAAAAACTAAAAAGAATTATAGCAGTCTTTGACGTAGATTCATTACATATCCGTTTTACATAGTCGCTGACCTCTGTTCCTCCTCTAATCTCGCATTTCTTACCAGTCTTCCCATCACACAGCTCCAAGCACTATGCCTATTCTAAAATAAAAATTTCTATGCTTTTCCATCCTTCCCTCAGTCATTTTAAAGTACGGACCGATCATCTCTTTCCTTGTAAATGACTATTGCATCTGAGTGAAGACACAGTGCTGAACCACGTAATAACGAATCAATCAATACATACACGGACTAAAAACCTCAAAGGAAATGGACTGAAGTGACGGAAGTCAATCAAGTATTATTTACGTGAGAACCTAACATCACCGCCCTCGCTTACCACATCTGTCGTTTCCACCATTCTGTGCCTCTCCTGCAACTATCGCTCGTTCGATATCTCGTGCATGCAAATTTCTATCCCACCCAACGCGCTTTTGGGATTATTTCCTGAAGCTTGGAAGAGCAGCAGTGGTATGCCCCAGAAAGGCCAGAAATTGGGAAGGCCAAGAAGAAAGCTTACAGTTGTGCATTTTTATTCGCTATGTAAATGCAAAAGCGCATTTATAAATGAATGAAGTTAATGTGCAACAGATATTCTTTAGTTGATCACTTGGCGCAACGGTCGCACTGGGCAGTTTTATTGTGAGTTCTTGGTTGGACTTTTCATTTTCATAGGTTCGAAGTGGGAAAATGGTTATGACGAATTGAAGCGTCTTTAAGAAATCCTATGTAAAGGAATGAAATTTGATAAGATGATCAATTCAAATAAGATTCCTTAATGTAGTGTTCAATTAATACACCAATACTTTGTTAGTAGAAAGTTTAGGTATTTGGATTCGTTACTTGTTTCTGAAACGACGATTCAACATTTTCCATTCGCTACTGATGACTTTATGAATGACCTTGTGGCGGCAAAAATGAAATCAAAAAATAAGGTCATGTTCCTTCAATAAATGCACTACTTTCTTGTTTGTTTACATTTTTCCTCCCACAAATTTTACGCAGCTGAAAATTTGCCGGTGTTGACATAACATTATGTAACGATAGAAGAAATATTTCTTTTTTAAAATGTAAAACAATTTGTAAACTGTGGAAACGATATATAAATAAATGTAAGACTGAATTTTAATTAAATAAAGGTGATATGGGATGGCCAATCCTTACCCATTGTTATTATATCAGCAACAAAACGTGCAGGTTACCAGATACAGTAACTAGTCGGATAATTTTTATATATTTGACCATTTCCATTTAACTTTAAATTTTTGCAAGCTAGTCGGATAATTTGAAGCCATCGTTCACTCAAAGTGACTTAAGCAATTCCAAATAAACTTTGTTTTTAGAAAACGGCTGAAAAATCCAAAGGCAATGAAAATTCAGCAGGTTTGGCAGGAAAAACCGAAACGGAAACTACGGAAATCACAAGCAGGGGAACTGTCGAAAATATATCCTTCTCTTCTGAAGTTATACAATTTTTAACGAAATTAAATTGCTTCTACTCCTCAATTCATTATTATTTCACTTTATGTTTGCTTAATTCTAAACTTGGTCAGATACTAATTTTTTCATTTTCTAATATGGAAACATTCCTGATTTTTTTTTTTTTTTTTTTTGTTGGATTTGTTGCATTTTCTACTTCTTTGTTCAGGAAAATGAACAATCCGGAATTGAAGCAGAATTGCCAATAGGAGTAAAGACAAAAACTTTCTTGAAAGATGGAGAAACAATCGAAATTGATAAAAAACGGTACTTTTGAAGTTTCATATTCTAATAAGCGTAAAATCTTGCATTATGACCAAACACAAATAATCGAGCTTGTTTATGTTTATCTTGAAAGACTGCTTGGTTAGCAAGAAACATCAGTTAGCACACTTGCTTATTAGTCATTAAACTTCTGCAGAGTTTTTCACGTCATTTTTGTACTTAGAAGGTCCGTTAGATGTCTTAAATACCTTATTGAAATAAATTTATTTTCATGAAGTAAATTAAACACAAATGGTTTTTTAATTTAAATTTCGAAGGAATTTCAGTTACATTATAGATGGACCAATAAAAGGTGATTATGGTATTGTTGGTCTAATGGAAAGAGGAAACTCAAAAGCATTGTTTGCTTTGCATTACGAAATACGAAACTGCAAAATTAAAAGGCTTCAGGTTTAATGAATTTGTTGACATCCAATTCCGCGACTAAAAAATTAAAAATTAGAATTATCGCTATATTTGGATTAGTGTTCTGAATTTTATTTGTATTATAAGAACATGAAGCAAAAATAGATTTTTTGAAATCGAATACAGCCAACGATATTCTAAAATGCTAAATTTGAAAATCAGAAGAATATGGTAGAATTATTAATTTCAAATGCCTGTAGGTAATTAATGCAAATTACAGGTCGAAATAAACGTGTTGAAAAGTAGCAAAAAAGTCAGAAAACTAACGCATATTTTTCCCTTAATTTCACAAGGAAAGAATACAAAAGTTAATATAAGATATTTTATGACAAAAATGGTAAGCTGCCTTAACATATACATAGAAATGATGAGTATGTGCCAAGAAATAGTTCTGGTCTTTTAAATTATTTCTTTGAATTGAAATGAGAAATCGAAATTTCAATTGTTGTTGGTTTTTGTTTCTTGCTAAACTTGAGGAATAGTCTTTAGGATCCCTAACACTTCCAACAACATTTATTTTCTTCTAAACATTTTTTTGAGTAACTTCTAGACTTTTAGCTTTTACTTACCTAAAGTAACGCATTTTGTTTAATTAAGAGTAAGACCTTTTTTTCCTTGAGATAAAATTTGGATTGTCTGAATGATAATAACTGTTGATTTGTGTAATGGTAAGGAATATTCGATCTGCAGTTTGGCGAAACGATCAGTGACCTCCGTGATAGGTTTGGAGAATTTTCCACAGCTACGAGCCTGAAACTTTCATATTTAGCCATTGAATGCATAGAAGAAATTCATAAGATAGGATTCATTCATCGAGGTAAAATTTTAACTTCAATAAACTTTTCCATTATTTCTCTTTTTCTTCTTAATTTGTTCAAGCTTTTCATGAGAATTTCCAAATTTTGCTTGAACAATTCTGAAAAATAAATAACGATTCAATTTTATATTTTATTGAGATTTCTTTTTTTTCAAGATATAAAGCCAGCAGTTTACGCAATTGGATTGGAATCAGAAAGAAGCCAGTTATTCCTTCTTGGATTTGGCCTTGCACGATGTTACAAAACAACAGACAAGAATGCATCAGTGTATGTGAATGCATGCAAATATTTCATTGCAATGACTGATGATCATAATTATAGAAAGAGTTTTACCTTAGAATTTGATGGTTAATTTAATTTCAATCCGATCAAATGATAATTTAATAAATTAATTTACTTTACTTACTTTTGCATTCATTTTTTATGTTTTTTTTTTTTTCATAAATTTTTTAAATATAGATAAATTTAGAAAAAAACGTGATAAAGTGCATCGAATGGGCAATATCCATTACATGTCAAGGAGCTCCCATAAATATCTTGAACGCTCACGTAAGGATGATTTGGAAAGTTGGCTTTACATGATTGTTGAATTTTTCTTGACTACATCATCTTTGCCATGGGAAGATGAAAAGAACAATGTGACGGTGCTGAAAAGAAAGGAAGCGTTTATGAGTAACGGTAAAAATACTAATATTTAATAAACTCAACTATTTCTGCTTTTAGGGAATTCCATTCGATTCTTTTTTTTTCCACATGTTAGATCACTTAATTTTCTTGTATTTATAGCAGGAACAACTTTTCAGCTCACTTATATATATTAATAAACTGAATTTACTCCATAACCAGTTATAAATTTCAGCAAGAATTAAATGAATTTTTACTTCACGAAGTACTGAAAATCTTCTTGAATTTGAGTGTAAATATGTTTTGAATGGTTTACTTGACACTGTTCACTTTTCCGAAACAAAATGTTTTAAACTAACTACCACTACCTGGCAATTTCCTTAACAAAAATTGATATGTTATAATTAACTAAAATCTTACTTCTCCTGTTTTACATTATATTTTGAAAAATTTCTACTATTCATTTAACATTTTGCAGATTATCTCAAAATATTTAAAAAATGTAAAGGATTGCCAGCTGGTGTAAATACCATTTTACGCCAAATAAATAGCTTTCAATATGACACAAAACCGGATTATCATTTAATTAAAAACATCTTTCGGAATGCTATTGTGAGCGGCAATTATAAGGTTGTTTACTGCCTTCTGTAATATGTTTTTGAATCAAAAGGAATTGAGAAATTTCATCACTTCTAATTTTCTAGAGCGTCAAGTTCGGTTAACAACAAAGAGATTTTTTGCATGACATTTGAAAATTAGATAGGTTTCAATCAAAATTTGAATTAAAATCTACATAGTGGAAAGAAAATACGATTTTACATATCATTTGTTTTTTTTTTTTTTTTGCTTTTATTCATTGAATTTGAAAGTCAATTTATAATAGTTGTCTCGGACTTAATTAATTTTGTTGCCAGTGGTAACATTTAGTATTTTATCCTTAACATTCATGAAGTTTGTTCTTTTTTCATTTTATCCTTTCTAAACCAATTCAGATATTATATCAGATGTCAGGTTATTGTTTCATCATCTTAAACTATTTAAATTCTGTGACTTCTAAAACTATATATGGTTGAAGTATCTGATTCTCGAAAATCAATGTCTGTTACAGTCTGAGAAACTGGATTGGCTGAAAGGTAAAGAAGATGAAATGGTAGCAGCAGGCGCATGTGAATCCAAAATTTTCAATGTAAAATCTGAAAGAGAAAAAGAATTCAGCCAGCGTTCCCAGAGATCGATTAGGCAAGAAAAGAAGGGATGCGATTTGGAATCGAAAGCTATTGATGAACAACGTTCCGTATTTATGATGCCGAAAATTAACAGTCCCAAATGTACCTTATAATAATTTCGGCGGATAATGAATAAGATAAAAAGATTAGATTAGCCGATCGGTTATAAGCTAAAGTAAATGAAATAGGGTTAACTGATTAATATTATTTAGTAATTAGTTGATTAGCTCGATTTACTGGCATATTTGGCCACTTTCAGCAATATTTAAATGGCTTCGTCAAAGATTTGTCAGCTGTCCAATAAATTTTGGAGATGATTAGTGCTCATTCGTGGACACTCCACTAGTATTATTAGCAATTTAATAGCTTTGTAAAGATGATGGAATAAGAATAAGAGATTCAAAGCAGAAGATTCGAAATTTTTTGAGTTTTAGCGACATTGTACATATATAATTTATTTCTAAAATTATTACAATTTCAGCAGAAACACTAAATCTAAAAGATGCGAAAAGCTGTTACTACACGCCTACGATCAGTGCTGATGAAAGTTCATATATGTTGGAAACGAAGGCTTCCAAATCAAAGTCTGGAATGAAAAATACGAAGTCGAAATCACGAAAATCTCGAAATCATTAATTCACATGTCTCTGGTCATCTATAATGTCTAATTGATATATTCCTTTGGAAATTTACAGGTTTTACATGAACTCTGAGCATGATCTAATAATTTCAGATAAAATATTCACATTATTGTGCTGAGTATTGACGTTTTTAAAATATAATATAATGGAGCTGGAAAAATTTATCCAATTCAAATGTTTTTCGAAATACGTTTGTTGAATGATACCAAAAAATAAGTTCAAATTGAAGTTTGTATCTCAAAAATGAATTTATGGGAATTATTGGACATTAATTATTGGCCGATCACTGTTGGGCATGCTGGATTATTTAACTCCGCATTTTCTCGAGTCTTCAAGAATTCACAAACTGTCAAAAAAAGTGCTTGGAAAATAAATTTGCACTGCTTGAGTTCGAACACTATTTAAATTATTTGTTTTTATTAATCCTAATCATCCTTTTTGGTTTTCTTGGACTTATGTTCCTTTAATTTTTTATGTATTTCTTACTATGTTATTTTATGGCATTTTCGTAGCAGCAAACAACCTAGAAGGCTTATTAGTGATCAGGATTTGTTTCTCTGCTTTTACAAAATTTTATTTAGCAAAATATCTTTATTTTAGCGATTTTTTCTTTCGTATTACACGCTCTCATAAACAATATAAATAAAGAGATCAAATAATTTATAATACGATGCATTTTATTACAGCAAATATATGAAAGGCATTGGTGAAGATTAAGTTTTTAAGTTAAGTTAAACTCCCATAGTCTGGATGGCAACGGATTGGAGCAAAGTTGTGAAAGTCTGTCTCAAATAGACTTTTGAATTTCAGATAAAGTCAGAATCAGACTGCCTATGCAGACAACTGAATCACAGATACGCAAACAACAGAATGTACAGAATATTCAACAACGTAAACAAAAAGCGACAAACGTACATGTATTTACATTATGTATTTAAATTTGGGAAATAAATCAGACGATACATCTTCAATAATACCAAAAATTCTTTTAAATGACTAGAGATTGAGGGAAAGAAAAAGTAGAGGAACACAACGGCTAAGAGATGACAGATTTAAAGCACATAAATTAATTTCCTCAATTAATTGAAACCATTCTAAATGCTAGAAAACAATTCTGAATTTCTTTTATTAGGTACCATAAAACGGATGCTTTAAGGACATTTAAGAATTGTTCAATTTTGATTTGCAGTCGTAGCTGCTATTTATAAAATCTGACTTTGATTCATGCAATCCTGAAGTAATGACTGATGATTTGATGAGTTTGATGACTTTAAAGAGTTTGTCACACTAGGAGATAAGAAATCGTCGGATGTGGATGATGGTAATACTAACTTCATTGGTGGAGGGTATCGTTTTTCCAGTAGTGATACTACTTCGGTACGTATCGCATTGGCATAATCGCTACTAATCGACCGATTATTACAGGAATCCTGGAATATTCCACAGATTTCAATAATTTAAAATGTACAAGTAAAAAATTTGTGCAAGAACAGTTCTGCACGTATAAATTCATAATAACTAATTATAAATTAGTGATGAGAGATTATAAATTGAAGTAATACTAAGAAAATGGTATTTTCTGAATCTGTTGACTAATTGGCTCACAATAAGTCTCAACCGCATGCAGAAGTCTGAAATGTCGAGTCTAAAAATGAACTAACCACATCAACTACAGGCTTACGAGATCCAGCTACTGCATTATGCAGTGTCATGGTTGATAAAACATTGTCATTGCAGTTGCTTGCTGCTTCACCGCTATCACATGTCTCTGTACTTCCACTTGGTAACTGACCATTAGCCCAAAGAGATAATGGCCTAGATTGAGTTCTATCCAAGGTACAGAATGGCTCAGATGATTGCGGATGATAAGGAGTGCACACATTGAAGTTAACTCCATCACCTAAAGGAATTTCCTCAATTTCAATATCAAGATTTGTGAGAAAATCTTAAGAATTATAAGTAAATGGTCTAACATTCAGAAATTTACTATAAAAATAAATATAACAAGCTAGATTATTTTGACAAGAAGCATGACAAACCTTTTGTAGGTAACGGATCACAGTCATTGGACGGAATTGTTTCAGTATACGAATTCAGTATCGTATTAATGGTACTTTGAGAATAATTATTTTGCGACATCGTTTCAGTAACCGAAGAAGGACTCTCCGGTAAAGATGAATTATTAGGAGCAGACTGCGATTGTGATAGTCGATGAATGATCGCGGGCAAAGGCATACTTTGCATAACTGGATTCTAAAACCAATTAAATAAGATAAATTTTTAATTATTTTAGAAGCCAAACATGAATCACTATTGCTAGAATTTGATGTGCAGAATTTAATGTGGTGCGATGGCTTAATAATGAAATAATGTTCATGTATGTCCACATATTCACATATAATTAAAATTCGAATATATACTTGAAGCATAGAATCCAAATTTTCAATAATGTAGTCAAAATGCGGTCGATCAGTATCGGCGGTACTCCAACAAGCTAACATCAAACTGTAAATTTGATCAGGTATACCATTCGGTGGTTCCAATCGCCCCCCATTCACAATTAGAGACATAACCTAAAAAATTATTCATAAGTTATTCATATTTGTAAATTACAAGGAAAAAAAGAAAAAAAAAAACTTAACGAAGGAGCTAAAAGTAACTTACTTCTTGATTACTTCTCCCCGGATATGGCATATATCCAAGGGAAAAAATCTCCCATAATAGTACGCCGAATGACCAAACATCAGTTTTTACTGTAAAAACGCCATCAAGAAAGGCTTCAGGTGGCATCCACTTCACTGGTAACATTGCTTTACCACCCTTACGATAATAATCTTGCCTTAAATCTGTTTGGTTAAACAGAACGTAAGTACAATCTTTCCAGTTAACTTGCATTGACATAAATTAATTTTATTTCATTTAAAAAAAAGCCGTAGCATTATTTTCCTTATAGCCGTGACATTATCAAATACGTTTTCCCTGAATGTGAGGTACTCTTTTCCAATCTTTCCCAACTTTTTGAAAAGCAACAAACCTATAAATATCCCTTGCCATACCAAAGTCAGCAATTTTAACAACACGTCCTACTTCTTTCTTGGTTAGTAAACAATTTCTAGCAGCAATATCTCGATGTATAAAACGATTATCAGCAAGAAATTTACATCCTTTGGCAACATCTTGAGCCATATCCAGCAGATCAATCATTTGAATCCGTTGGTCTTGGGTCTTAAATGAAGATTTGTTATTATTAAAGATGTAAAGGTTAAAAAGAAATAGTAAAACAAAAAGTTAACAGAATGTGTGAAATAAAAAAGAAGTAAAAAATGCGGTGAATAGGAAGATATGGAAAAATTCTAACTGAAAAATAATTTTAAAGTGCGATGAAACAGAAATACTGCTGACATTTTTAGGTCTACATTCGCGAAGAAAAGATTTCAGGTCACCGCCAGCTAATAGTTCTAGAATGATGAGTCTTGGAGTCACATCAAAACACACTCCCATAAGTTCGCAGATGTTCTCGTGCCGGAATTTGCTTGAAAATGAAATTAAGCAGTGAAGCATTAACAGTGAAGCAGTATTAAGTAAAAATGAAGTAGGTTTGTGTTTTTGTTCAGTTTTTGCTGTTTTCACATATTTCAACGTCTTCCATAGACATTCTTGATAAAAGCAACGAGTGATTCGTTTGATTTTTTTCTGGATAATGAGCCTTTCGCTGATATTTTCCTAAATTTCGATTAAAGTCAAAATAACTTTAAGAATACCTCATAATAAGTGCTTCCATTTCAAAATCATTTACTGCCTGCTTGGATGCGGTCTTCGGTAACGTTTTCACTGCAACCTGAACCGATTGACTACCACAGTTCAGTGTGCCCTCGTACACCTCACCAAAAGCTCCCTGTCCAAGTGGTCTGTAAATTTTATCCATTCGTACATTACTTGTGGTTTATCTGTTTGCAGTATTAATGCTCAAAATAAAATAGATGATTTTCTTTGAACTTTTCTAGTCTTGGAAGTGTAAAAGAGAAACAATCAGCTTTATGAATAGAATTAACCTTATTAGAGCAACGTTAGCACGTGGTATAGGTTGAAGTTCAGCGCATGGGCCAAATGGTTCATAAATAGGATTTCCGGAAATACTCATAGGTGTACTTGGCGTTAAAGCACACATTCCTATTTCACGATTAAGCTCCACTTTCTCTATTTTTGCCTTTTTTAATCGTCTTCGAAAGTAAACACCTGAAAATCAGAATTTTTAGAGAATTTTTTTTTTCTTTTTCAACCTTTAAACCATTTGTTGAAAAGATGAAACAAATAACAAAAAAAGAACAAAAAAAAAACATACTGAAAGATTGACATTAAAATACCGATATAAGCTTCTATACAATTTTTGTGGCTCAGTTTCTCGATAACATGAACTTTTCTATTAATTTTCTAATTGAGAATCATTCTTAAAATTAATAATTTTGGATCACAACTTTTTAAATCTTACAGAAACTTCCAAATGCACTCAGGAGAATGATAGTGCACAAAACGAATGCGAAAACAAGCATCACCAGCAGGGATTCCTTCCGACGAATATTTATTTGCTTCTTCTTTTCTAAACTAGCAAATTTACAAAGCTCAGAAAACCACCGAATTATCACATTATAAAACGAAATGTTTATTTTGTATCTTTCAGTATCAATTTTTTTTCATATTTATTTATTTTTATTTTATTTATAACAACATTTAGCTTTACTTAAACATACGGTCGAGCTGTAAATGTATTTTAAATTCATTGAAGAATTATCTTCTTGTAGAAATTTTGAGAAAAAATTATAAGAAAAATCACTATTTTCGCCAAAAAGGCAGTCCTGTAACTCGCCAACTACTTGACCATCCGGGCAGGCACAATAAGAGCCAATTTCTGCGGTGTTGTCGAAGCGAAAACGGCAGGTTGCATTTTGAGAACAGCGTAAACGACATGGATGAATTAATACATAACCATTACCGCTATTCATACCTGATTTGTTGAAAATAAGAAGAGGAAAACATAATTCATAAAACTTTGTACAATTAACATTGACTTAAATTTTACCTTAAAGCTCAAAGAGCCATTAGATTTTAGTTTTTCTTTTTTTAAAGTCCTTTTATTTATTTATGTGATTGCTATATGATTTACAATAAAATATGCAACATTCAAAAGATTTTTGATGCATAACAAGAAGTAAAAATAGACCAGGTCTAACGATAGCACTCTTGTAGTGTGCGAAACTTTTTCCACCGTCACCATGATATTTTTGTCCACCTTCTCCACCTAAAACAATCATTTTATTAATCTGACGATATAAGTTTCTCTCTCAGATCTGGACCACAAAATTCACAATATTATAAAGTTTATGTTGGCTTCTGATATTCACTTATCACTACGATACAAATAGTTTTTTGCTGCCTTTTTTCAAAAAATGAAAAACAAAAAATACCATGATAACCAGCTCCACCACCACCTCCTGGCCCACAGGATGCACCGCCACCTCCATATCCTCCTAAAATTTTCCACACCGATACCAACGGGCATACACCACCGGCAGAAGATACGTTATTCAGTTGTCCAGACATCACAATACACTGCTCACATTTATCTTTTTCCTCAAAAAATAGGATTATTTCCGAGAAATCTTAAAGTATAGCAAAAATTATCATCTTTATGTTAACACTTACATTATCATGTATCAGATGTGCGCCATCTCCAGCCATCCACTGAATCCCTCGCTTTGGATTATAATAATCATTAGATTGTGAATTTTTGTCAGCCTCGAACAAGTAACCACCTCTCGGGCTACAATCCCAAGAAAACTTGGAAAATAATGGTAAATCAAAAGAACATTGAAGTTAGGGTAAGAAAACGTGATAATAATTGCTACAAAACCATAAAAAAACTATTGAGGCTGAGCAAAAACGGAAAAATATTTAATGATTCACCTCTACGACAGGTGAAATTTTTCGGATAAAGATGTAGAATTTGTCTCTAATTGAACATTTTCTTTATAAAACTAAAATATTGAAAAAAAAAAGAGATCTAAGAGATGTTAAATAACTTAGACTATGCTTACTTTACTCCTGGCTTCTCCAATGAAATAATTTGTTCCGGAAATATTCCACCACCACCGCCAGCTACTAAAATGATCATGTTTTGATATTTGACAATTGTTGCACCGCCGCCACCAGTACCCGGGAACATTACAGCATTAGTCAGTGCTGAATTATCATTCCAAATGCTACTGCTCTTCTTGCATAAATATTTCAACACCTCGTACTGGTAACTCTTCTGGAAAACTCTATTAATTCTTAAATTTTTATTTGATTTGTTCTAACAAAAAACTGGAGAGAACAGCTAGCTGATTAAGCATTAATCTTAGTTTTTAAAATTCTCTAATTGAACATTTCCTTCATAAGATCAAAATGTCAGAGGAAAAAATAACTTAAATTCGAGAAACTTTCATATTTTCTTTACTCTTAAAGATTTCCGCAAAAAACTTCACCGGATATTCTCGTGCTCATCAATTTTATCATATTTGCAATAATATTGTCGCTGTTACTATCTTTAGTTTTTATAAAAAATTAGCCTACCATGTCATCGGCTGACGTGTTAAAGTGATCACATGGACTTTCACCCATTTGTCCTACCAGAATGTTCAATTCCATACCCATTGTTAAATTAAGTACGCTGATCACTTGTCCACCATAATTATTGATTGTCTGCTGTGCAAGATGTCCTCCAGATGCACCATACGCTTCGATTCTTTTAAAACAAATCAGGTCTTAAACTTAAATCTTGAGATTCATTTAAAATTGAAAACCGCTTTCCTTTAAAATGATCGGAAAAATGAGAGATGTACCTGTATTCTGAAGTTTTTGGTACGATCCACTTTTGAAATCCATTGGAAGTATTCTTCCGCAACAATATTTTTATTGAGCTAAAAGAACTCCATAACAAAAAAACTTAACCAATTCTCGTCACAATCACATGTCGTAATTTATTTATAAAATTTTCGAGTGCCATAAAATGAATAGTTGTCTTCTGTGTAAGGTACGATTCTTCAGATTGGAAAGCAACCACTATTGTTCTGTATCATTCAGAATATCAACGAAAGTGATAGCAATGCTACCGTCAGGTTTCACTAATAAAGTGTGCAAAAGTGTGCACTAATAAAGTGTGCAAAAGTGCAAAAGTTAAAGTCCAAGTAATTACCTTTTTCAAAATTAATACTCATACCTCTGATTATAAAAATTTTCGCAAGTTTCGGGTGTTGGTGGTTGTGCTCCTTGTCGTCCACAACTTGTTATATTATACACATAAGGTACATACTGTGTACGCCATGCTTCTAAATTACATTCGTTTGTTTCATTACAAAATTTTTTCTAAAAAAACTTTAAGAGTTGAAAAAAATTCGTAAAATGCGAAAATTTTCGATAAATTAAAGCTAAAAAAAAAAAGCAAATAACAAACCATTTGCGAAACAATCTGGTGTCATCGAGAAATCATCAATAGCGAAACTTATCGATGAGTCAAATATTTTACTCACACCAATTTTTAAATAATATTCACTTTTCTGGAAATTTCAATGAGAAAAAAGTGTTTGCAAAAGATTTTAATAAAGAAAATTTTCTAATTAAGATATTTCAGCAAAGAACTCAAATTTCCTTAAAACATTTAAGGTGCGAATGAAAATGAAAAAAGTGGATATGGGATGAAAAAGGATATGGAAACTGAAAGTGAAACTATAGGAGCAATTATTAATTGAAGTTTGTGGGGAAACTCATTTCTTGATGAACAAACCTGTTCTGGTAAATCAACGGATACTTTCATCCATTCACAATAGTAACTGTGGTCAGCAAATGAGAGAGATGGCGGTGTCCAGATGATTTTAGGAGGTTGTCCGTTGGTTGGATGTACAGTCAGTTGCAAAGTTGAAACAGCACTTCCATATGAACAGTAATAAAATCGAATCTAATATTTACAAATAAGAGAATAAATTTAAAGTGTCTTTTAGAAATGTTTTTATCTTATCATTCATGAGATAAAACCAGAAGATAAGATAATACCCTGCATGAATTAGACAGAAGAGCGACAGGATTGAGAAGTACATTAACGGTTGGAGGAAAATATGGTGATATTAAATAAGTTGACTTTGTATCAGTGAAGCTATTCCGATCCTGACCATCTTCTGATGTAAAATACAAAAAATGACCTGAAGAAATTGAACTTTAAGGACTAAAATGCATTAAAATCTTTTTAATAAATAAATAATTCTTCCTGAACTTTTTCGAAAACTTTATGTTTAATTTTGGTTTTTTTTTTTCCTTATGTTTTAACAAAAATGACATGGAAATGGAAGTAATATTAACCGCTATTATTAGTATGTTCAAAAGTGTGATCTCTAGGAGGGACATGCTTTAATGATGATTGCTTTGCTGCACCGCTCGAATTAACTCGAATGAAAAGATGTTTATTTTCATCTGCTCTTCGACTATTATGAACATAGTAAGTCTCAAGACGCCATCCTACACAACCTGTCTTCTCCTCGTTATCATCTTCAAATGTACAGCGAGCACCAAGTGGTACTACTGCTAAAAGAATTAATAAATAAAATAAATAATGAATAAGGATCAAAATTCAAAAGTTTTATGTTAGTAGTATCAAAATTTATCCAATTAAAGTCTAAAATTTTATCCAAAATATTCATTGAAAAAAAAAAAAAAAAACTATTATTAAAAATTCGTTTAATTTCAAATTATACTGCAATTGTGTAAATCAGTTTGTTCATCCTCAGCTCCTGGACAGTCGACTGTCATATCGCATAACTGGTCATAATCGATGCACTTCAGATGATCATATTTATGGCATAGATACTTTTTAGTCTTATTTGATTGACATACGTTCTCGTACCACACCTCCTCTGCAAAGAATTTAGCTGTTTGTGTTTCAGTTCACTTTTTTTTTTTCAAAAAACAAAAAATTTGGTGTTCAAAAGTATGTGCATTTGATAAAATTTAAAGCATAAAATTAAGTGTAACATTAAAAAAAATCAGACTTTCATAGCAGTGATTAAATTTGAACTACCATTTACTGAAAATAAATGAGAAAAAGTTTACCATCACATTTAACCATTTCAATATTATCAATGTAACATTCAGTGTTTCCTTTTGATGCTCCAACGGCACCACTTCCCTTAGAATGACATTCGATTCTGATTCGGGTCGGATGAGTGACGTGTCCAATATGCACACCAACTTCCTTCCACCTGCAAAAAAATTCAAACAGAAATTAATACAAATGTTGCATCCCTGACAATGATTTAAGCTGGAATGTTCGAGGAACTTCAAGAATTCGAAATATGTAATCATAATTAAGAAACTTTTCTAACTGCAGATGTTATGATAAAATTAAGAAAAGTCTAAAAGATCTAAGCGGCGATACTTCTCTGTAAACAAAAACAACAAATTCCAAGAGAAAAATATGCCAAGAATTTATGTAAGACCCAGACAACTCATATGATAAAGTAAAACGTCCACCAGTTTACAAGAATGATGACACACCATGGCATCAAAATGTTTGCAAGATAGAGAGAAATAATGGATCATTTTTTACTTCATTGTTTATGATTTGATAAAAAATAACAATATGAAATATTTTGTTGGAGCTGATAAATCAAATTGTTAAATTTAAATATTTCAAATGTTTGTTAAAATTTTTTTGCAAAGTTAATCTTCAGAAAGATATCAGGAAAGATTTCAGAAAAAACTGAATATCTTAAAAAAAAAAAAAAAAAAAATAGTTCTTTTAATTGACTAAGTAATGCTTTGCATTCATAAAAAGTATGCTGGTGTGTCACTTAAAAACTGAAATGAAAAGAATGGAATCGTTTTAATCTTTTTTAATTGCAAAAGAATAAAAAAGTTTGGTTCATGACAATGTGCTAATAAAATAAGAAAATAAGTTGATTAAAAAGAATATAAAGTGTGTTCACTTCATGATAAGTTGGTAATAAGATTAATATCTTAATTGATTTTATTATAAGCAATTAAACAAAAGATCTCAATAAGCAAACTTCTGCGAGTTAAACGGCTAAAATGTCGCGATGTTTGGATAGCTAGACGATATCTCTGTAACATTGTTCCTTTAATAAATTGAATTGAAGATTTAACTAACGAATCAATATAATTATTTGCTGAATCGAAAGTGGAATGCAGCGTTGGTCTTGTCCACTCCGTTTCATCTTCATAATCATATAAGTCAGTGTAACTAGCTGCTTCACTTAAAGCACGGTGTTGACTGGTTACTATCAGTGTTGCATCCGGATCACCAAATAAACGAAACATGAACCGGAGCTCACACTATAAATATTTGACTAATATTTGTATATTCATTCCGTTATCGTTAAAAATCCCGGAAACCATACATTTTTTCTTATCTCAGAATATCGAAAAATCATACTTGGCGAAAAAATTTAAAAATATTGGAAAAAATTCCAGAACATGATGATATCTTAATTAAATTTGAAGTTCGTGTTAACGATCAGTAGTCATGCCTGAATGGACAGATGTTGATAGTATGGGCTAATGATCATCGCGGGCTCTTCACGTGTTTTAGTGAAATTGAAATATGCATAGTGAGCTGAAAATTAATTGCTCAATTCTTACTTCACTGAAAACTACAAATATTGTATTAATTGAGTCATATCTTTGTCTTATTATATTATTGCTGCATCAGTTGGATTTAGAACTGAAATTCATACTTTGTTTCACTGATTTTATGCTTTTTTACTGTTAATTTCATTTTTTTCATCTCAAAATATGGCCAATTTAACAAACTATTTTGGAAGAATTTATTACTCTTAAATCGTTTATTCCAAAAAAATTTTACGAATTGAACATACTCGGCTTTGAATCACGACTACCAATGACAACTTTAAAATTGTGTCTCGGGTCACGTGGATATTTGCGTGCTGGACTCTCGAATATCCAATCACATTTCGACTCGAAATCACATAATATACCTGAAATCTATTTATAGTTAAAAAAAGGTTTTATCTAATTTATCTCATTTTTTATCTAATGCATTTATTTTTTTCAAAAAAAAAAAAAAAAAAAAAAAAAAAAGCTCTAATGCATTAGTTAATAGAATTTAAAACATTTAGAAGACTGATTTTAGTACAACTTATTATTGGTGAATGAATGTTGTCAAATTTCACAGTTATCTTTTAAAAAGAAATTAAATTAGCTTTTATTAAACTTGAAAAATTTTATCAAAGTTGCTGCTATTTATGTGAAGCAGTTGGCATTTGTCACTGATTATTAATTATCCTTCATTTACAAATAAATATCAAAATTTGAAGAACATAACTATATTTTGACTGCATGTTTTTCGAGAAATCAACTTTAAAAAAGCTAAAAAACTTCTGAGATTTTTTGAAATCTTTACTAGAGAAGATTAAGAAATAGGACAGCTTCTCCACAATTAAGTAATAGCTTTTGTAATATTAATTTTATATTAAGTAATATTAAGTGGTTAAATTTTGCTGTTTTAGAAAATCAAGTCTTAGAAATATTTGTAAGCTGGAAGATGTAAGCTTTGCAAATATAATTTATTATCACAAAAAATAAAATACGGAATTAAAAAGCAAAAAAGGGTTATATCGAAAAATATATTTTTTTTTAGATTAAAATGGCTTGAAGCAAGAGATATAAGAAAATAAAATTTGATTTTAAAGGAATAATTTTCCAATTAATTATTACCTGAAAATACATAGCCAATTCCAGACAGTAAAATTAATATGGTTGACAGTGTAGTCTTTGACAAATCCATGACTAATTATGAGTATGTTAGCACTTCGGGCGTATTTGTTTGTTTATGAAGAAGTGCATCAAATGAAAGTCAAATGAAGTTACATTGTCCAAAAAGAGAATTTTTCATTCCTGAATTTAGGACTGACTGATTTAGCATATTTATATAATTACAAATAAATATTATTACAATGAAAATAGATACAAAACTAATATAATATGTTGAGGATAAATCTGGAATAAATGATAGAAGGCTGCATTAAAGTTATGAAAATCATACCACTTGAAGTGACAGTATGGTTAGTTCAGCAAAATTAAGTCATCAAACAATTTGTAAACAAATATTTGATAGCACAATTTTCCAAAATGTCTTATAAACCACGGAGTGGTAGGGATGTTAGCTGTTAAATAAGAGTTAAGAAATATCATATAAAAATTATTATTCGTTGATGGAGAAGAAAGAAAAACTCAAACAATTCCAATGATTGATGGTAACATTCATCACATTTGTATATATATATATATATAGTTGAAGGAGTTGTAATACTACTGATCAGTAATGGCGGTAATGTCGAAACGAGTATATGAACAGCATAGGTCGTCCTCGACCAAATCTTGAAAAGAATGAGAGGGCTAGAGCTCAAGCTGAGGATGTATGAGTGGATGGGTTTAACAGCTGACGCAATTTTCGTCTAAGGTCTCTGATGGAAATGTCGAAAAATTTTGCATCTAAAGCATACGGCTACTTTCTTAATCTAATTGGCAACCTTATTCAACTGTTCTCCGCCATTATTTGATCATTTTGGTATTGGTAATTTCGATCGCTCTAAAAAAAAAGAGAAAAATATGAAGTTTGGGGAAGAATGGTAATACTTCTCAATGAGGGGACCAATTACAACAAAGATCTTATTTTAGCGATAGTTAGATCAATATTAATTATAAACATTGCAACGCTGTTGATTAGTGTCTTGGACAACCAATTTTAATTGCGATTATCAAATGAACATATAAATATTGTAGTTTTTTATACTTAAAGTTCTTAAAAAAAAAAAAAAAAAAAAAGCCTTCATTCTTTTCTCAAAAAATAGAACTGAAAAGCAGAAGATTTTTTTGAGCTCATCTTCAGTTATACATAAATCAATGAAAAGTTCAGTAAAATTTTTTTTTTGTTATTTTGTTGTAAAAATACATGCGTCTATGAAGCTAAATATACTCATTTATAAAGAGAGCAAGAATAATTAAAAGAGCATAGAATATGTCACTTGATTATATGAGGTTGCAAGAAGTGCTAATGAAATAAGGCAAAGACTAAAATAATATTTGAAATGGAAATGAAGAAATCAACACCAACGAAAAGAATGAATGAATGATCTGTTAAGGAATGAAAAATGTTTTTTTTGCGAACAAACGACATTGTAATTCGTTTAAAAAAAACAATTATTTTTGTCTACAGAATTTGTTACAGATATTCTTTTCATTTGACATATAATCACTTATGCAAAATTTGAAATCGTTACACAAAAATAGGAACTTTCCTTAAGCTATCTTATCCATCTTGTAATTCTACATTCTCCATATGCTTTTCGATGTATAATTTTTTTTTTGTTTACGTTCTTAATTAGCAAATAAATGCGAATGAAATATGATATATCGATGATAACATCAATTATTTTCTTTCACTAGCTTTAATATCATACATGTGAGAATGTATTCGTTCTAATACCAAAAATATTGAAGATTTTCCTTTCAGATTCATTGTTATCAAAGAATTCGCATTGTCGGAATTATTCTCAAATAGTGTAAAAGTTATGCGACTATTGAAAAAATTCAAAAAAAAAAAAAAAATTTATTCCTTGAAGATGTCATTTCCGGATTGCCATCTATTTTATGTTTTGTTCGTTTCGTTAAAACAGTAATCAGTATAGCGCTCAAAGAAAAAAAAAAATGTTTTTGTAATTTTTGATCACCCCAGTAGATTTTACTGGTGTAGTAAACAGCTAAACCATTTAGTGCGACATTTGAACCAACTGATGATTTTAAATAAAAAACAATTCATTTTCAAGATGAAAACATTAGTCATAAAATCTTTCCAAACAACTGCCACTCTCTTCTTCGACGTGTTAGTTGCAGTGGTGTTTTCAGCACTTTTGAAATGGCTTACTTAGAAGTACGATGCCTTCTTCGGCATATCTCAATCTCTTCGCAGTGAACGAATAATGCCAGCAAAAGTACTCCAATCTTCAGATCGTATCTCAGAAAACTGTCACAAAGCATCCTTTACATATTTCAAGAGAACACCTTGTATGTATGCATTACTAAAAATGAAGGAAGGGAGATACTTGAAACAGATGGTTGGTTCATTGCGCACAGTCCTTGTCATAGACGCCGTCTGCTGTATTTCAACAATGACATGGTGGATGATGATTCAATGCTTCGAATATACACTCATTTATAATTGCGAACCTTCGAGTAATATAGTACTGAGTACTGGAATGTTAATTTTGAAATTTACGATTTGAAGTGAAATTGGGATAAGATTTTTCAGAATTCAAAACATTTTGGAATTGAACAAATTAAACATTATTCAATGATTCAATTTTTATAAGCGAAATTTTGGAGTTGAAAATCAGGAAATTTGCAAATCAGAAAGCTAAATTAATTTCCGATGGAATTTCTTCGGTAAATGTCAAAAAATAATTAACAACAGAAAAGAATTTCTTTGTAATTAATTCTATCTGAAATTCATTTACATAAACACAAAAGTTCGAGAAAAAAATAACTTTTTCTTTCGATTTAACTCTAATAAGTATTATATTATTAGGATATTATTTTTTAATTCCTAATAAAAATTAAATTTTTTTTGATGAAATGTAAACATTCGTCTTCTTTAGAGAACGGAGAGAGAAGAGAAGGGAGAAAGACGAGAGAGAGGAGAGAGGCAAGAGGGACGAGAGAAGGGGGAGAGAAGGGAGAGGGAGAGAGAGAGGACATACCTACAAATCAAAAAATTTTTGTAATATTTTCCCCATTAATACAATCATTTAGGTAATAAGTCACACTTTTACCTATCCACTCGATATAATTATTACTTTCGTTCATGAAAACAAAATATAAATGCCAACTTTTGTAATTTTAAAACATAAATAGAAATATATATATAAATCTTTTTTACTTTATAGGGAACTAATGTTACCTCTACAATTTTTCGTATTATTTGAGAAAATATTCAGCATCTTGTCAAAAATTAAGTTTTCACTAAATTTAAAAATAATACATTTTAAATCTGAAAAAAAATTAAAATTAAAAGTTGAAAAAATAAAGCTTTAAATTTACCATTAATGCAACATTGCTTACTTCTAGCAAAAATGTGTCGAAGAAAACTTACAATTGATGCAAAAAGTTTTATTGAAATTAAATTATTTTCATTGATTAATAATTAAAATTTAATTGTACTAATAGTTTTACATTATAATGCAGCGAATTCAACTTATCCCACTAACAACTATTTATTTTGCTAGCCTTTGTCCACCATTGGCTATTGGCTATTTGTTTATTCTTACATTTGAAATCTTTGAAATAGAATAAGTTAAGCTCAATAACATATTTTAATTATTAGTAGTGGATACACTTTACGATTTCATTTGATTCAAGCGCTGTTTATTGATTTTTCAAATATGAATTTTTTGTGAATTAACCTAACATCCTAGGCTTTATTATTTATTTATTTCCAATGAGACTGTCATTTTTTCAAACTAATGATCCCTTTTTATTTTTTTGTTCTGGTTCCCGCTTTACAGCGTAAGTTCGTTATGCTCTTCCTGTAAAGCGGGAAGCAAGTCATAGAAAATTCTAGATTCTGAATCTTATCAGTATATGATATTTTTTCATTGTTTGTTGCTAATATTGCAAACATATTTGTTTAGAGGACGGTGGGCTCAGTTTTTGAGAAATATTTATTTAAATTATTGATTTTCCGAAACAATTTCTTACCTATTTTTGTGTTTCATTTTCAGAAATTCAAACTTTTGTTTATCACAGGTGTTATCTTACAGCACAGCCTATTTATTTTAAATTTTATTCTTATTTATAATACAATTTGCTCACGTTCAAATGCATTTTTTTTTTCAAATGTTCAAATGCTTTTCCGTTTCTCTACGTTTGAAAGTTGTAATTAACGGAAATGCTTAAATTTCCATTCAATTTACTAACAAACTAGCATTTCAGAAATTTTAAATTATGCTATTTTTAAGTTTTACAAATTTATCTTTTAATTTTGCTATTGCAGAGATCGTAGCTGTCATTACTACTGCTAATTCAGGCTAATTTTAAAAAACTGTTATCAAGAATCTTCAATTTAAAATCTTGGCAGTTACGGATTTGAGTTAACCGAGTATTAGACTCAAGTCATCTGGCAACACATCATTAACAAGAGTAATTATTTACCGCATGTGGAAGTAGACATTTAATAGAAATTATAAATTTTAAGGTTGGTTAATAAATGTTTACCTGCCTCAACTAATTAGCATCATTAGCACCTTGTCCGATATTTCAACGCTGACACTGGCATTCATAAGTACTTGGCCAACACCGTAACACCATCTCATTACATTGAATTGGTTAACTTCAAAATTTAGCTATGTTTCGTTTTTTTTTTTCCTTACTTAGTCCTATCACATTCGTATGCTAAATACTTAAATTTTGTGCTTATTGATGATTCAAAAAGTCTTCAATTACTTAAGTAACACATATGGACGATGAAGCCATAATAAAACGGAAAATGTTAAAATCAAAACATGCGAAATGCTAAAAAGTGCTGAATAATGCAATAGAAATTGGATGAATCCTTAAAGTAGGATGAACTAATCAAAATAAACTGCTGTGGTTGCTTAAACACTTCCACCTTTTGATTAATAAAAAAAAAAAAAATGGAAAAAACGGAAGTGATAATAAGGACATGTATTGAGTTCAATAATTTAAACATTGCTAGACTGCTAACAAAATTAATAAAAAAAAAAGATAAATTCCAATTTCATCTTTCTGTTTTCAAATCTGACATGTGTGTTTTTCCGCATAAGACCTTCTTATTAACTTTCATATATCTTTCTGAGATAAAATAAAGAATTCAACTCAAGGTCAGCTTTACTTTTCATTAAATTAGATACAAAAAAGGCACAACAGGACAAAATTATTATATTGAACAGAACAATGTCGACAGTTACGATTATGAAAGATAGCAAATACAGTGATTGAGGACAGTAGAATATTCCTTCATTATTAATATGCTGTACTTTTGTGAAAATCGGATATAATCGTGCTGCTCCTGGAATTTCTATGATTGAATGTAATTCACATCCATTAAAAATTTGTACCGATTTCTTTACGAGAAAAAAGTGATTTTAACACCTATCAAAAAATGGTAGATTTTATCCCTTTTTAGCTTAATGAAAAAAGCAATTCAAACGCTTATCACTTAAAATCTCCAGAACTTTTTATCGATTATCACAAAGCTTCAAAACTTTAGAAATTTTTGCAAAATTTTTATTTTCTTGAGGATATTGCATTTGAATTTGTTAAAACAAAATTGTAGATAAATTATTCATCGGTTAGTACTGTAAAAGGGCAAACCGACAAAAGATGCGACAAATAAGATAGATAAAAGTACGGGGAATCCTAAACAAGTGACAGTGAATCCGACCGCAATACCAGTACATCCATAAATTATCATCCAAACCGGAAGGTAATTATCGGCTGGACAGTTTTGAATGTTTGTTCCTCCAGTTACTATCATTATTACACAAACGAAAAGAGATATGAGCAAATAGCATTGCATTATTTCTGTAAAAGAAACCTTCTAAAATTATTTCAAAGGTTAGACAAACAATGTTATACTAGCATTTGACCTTATAATGAACCTGTTTGTTATCAAAATATCAAATCATAGTCAGAAGTTATCAAAGTATCAAAGAAAAACTGGATAATAATTCTGCACAACTTGATGTAACAATAAATGCAACAATAAATGACGTAAACTATCACGAAGGAAAACTACCGTAAGGAGATGTCAGGTATAATTAGAAGTTATATAAAAAGTAATCAAATTGAAGGCTTTTTGCCTATACTGTATGATTAATTAATTACACTATTAATTGAAGTTAGCCCAATAAATTGGAACTGAAATTAGTCAGTCAAAATTCTAGTTTCTTTTTGTCTATTTATTTCATATCAACAGTCTTTCATTTCTTCACTTTTTGTTCACGAAGCAGTGAGGGGTTTTCGTATTATGATCTAAAGAAAAATTTAAAGGCAAGCAATGATCCTAATCAATCAATCAATCAATCAATCAATCTCTCAACCTTAATTTAATCCAATCAAGGCAATATGGCGCAGTAGTGGTACTCAAGTCCATACGTTAAGGGTTATAAATTGACTAGAAATACCTAAGAAATATGTAGATTACTGTAACGATTCTTTTTTGTTTGTACCTTCATTCAATGACAAAAAATTCCTAAATTAGACGACACATAACTGACCTTGTCCACTACCGCAACCACTTCCTTTCAAATCTTTTCTGAAGTCCTGAATTTGCTTTTTATTTATTTAAATAGTGTCAAAAACGCTAAAAATTTTACTGCGGGTGTTTATCTCTATCACTAATTGATGTTACAGTTCCTATGATAACTTTGTAGAAAATATCAAAGGAAAAAGATAATAAAAGTAATGTTCACAAATTTAAATATTTAAACTTGTCAAATTGAAGTCTTCAAAATACAATGTAAATTGAATCATTTATGTGATGAATTTTATTAGAAGATTTTGAAATACATAAACTTTTAAACAAATTTAAATTATACTTTTTCTTCACCCTCTATTGAAATTGCTGTTTGAAGCGATGATGATGAATTTGCTGCATGGTTTAGCTGTTAACAAAAAAACAACAGAGGACCAAAACAATCTGATGAGATGTGATCACATTTAAAGTCTAGGCTTAGTTAATTACAAATTTCAAATCTGGATTTTGTGAAATTATGTATTTCTGTGGAAACTTAGATTTTACTAAGGACTTACTGTATTCCCAAATCTTTGTATGAAAAGAAATGTGTTTTGACGCAAAACTGTCTTAAAACCGCTTTGCGAATGCCTTGTCTCTTCATTTGCAGCCATTTCTGTCAGATGTCGCACTCAAATCCACGAGGCTAACATTTGCTATCGCTTTTGGTTAAATAATGCACTAAACAGACATTACTGCCTTTTTTAAATAATAATTTGCTTAAAATTTGAATATGATCATTTTTTATAAAATTTCTGGTATTCATATGAAAATTTCGTGTTTATCAAACATTCTAGCGTAATTGTTTGTTTACAATGTGCTATGCATCTTCTCATTTTGGCATTTATTTGTGTCTCAACTACTGCCCAAAATATTAAATTACTACTTATTGCACTTTTGGCTGGACAAAGTGTCTTCTCTGTTCTGATTTACTGTGTCATAAGGAAGGAATGATGTAACTGAAACGATTTGCGATCCATTTCCAGATAAGGAGTAGAAATATGAGTTGGTGAAATTTAACGATTGATTGAAGCTGATTTGGATTGAGAATTTAATTTCAATATCTAATATTTTACAAGCGCATTAATACATGGATTTTCTAAAATTGTTCTTTTCGTTTTGATTTTTGAGATATTCACTGCTAGCTCTTTTGTTAATGTTTTGTATGATTTGTGTTATTTCCTTGTTCGTGTTGCATATTACTATAAAGTTCTGAATAGTTATCAATCTTTTGTAGTATTACTTCAACTTATAGTTGTCTCTGCTTCTTCTTAGATTAACTCAGTTCAGTATAAGTTTGTTATCAATTTTATTGCGTTTTATCCGCAAATAAGCTAAAAGTGCATTTGTGCAGAATTGGAGACATTTTTTATCAAACAGACGAGATGTTTTGCAAAAATGTCGGAGTAAGCCTTCACTCAAACGCAATAATTTGCCATTGTTTGCTTGTTGTCAAAATTGTCATCGATTTTCATTCTTATCTTTAAAAAAAGCAGCAGAATGTCAGTTTCTTCGGCTACTCGTATATTCCATATTTCCGATTATTTCCACTTATTTTTATTTGCATTTCATGAATCTGGAAATTTTCTATCCGGCATAGCAAGTAGAACCAATAAAGAAATGAGATTAGTAATTGCGATATGAATTAAATTTTAAAATGAATTGTTTGCCGAAGAGTTGCAGAGAAATTTTTTCAGCAACTCGCTTTTTGTTATTTCAATTTTTCAATTTTTTTCTTCCGCTTGGAGAGCAAAATGAAAAGAACAAATAATTTAATAGTAGAAATGCGGCTGTGTTAAAAGTTTAACATAAGAATTGGAATTTTCGAGCATTTCATGAAATAATGTTTGCTGAATTTGAATTATCAGTATGATGCATTTAAATTTTTTAAAATTTCATCAAGATAAAATGAAGTTTGTTGAATTTTTCCTATTTCCTATCTTCGTTTTAGGATAGTACTAAAAATGTAGTCCCAAATGTTATTGTTGATTGAGATCCAAAGCCACCCTAGAACTAATCGATTTTATGATGTTACGAATGGGTTACTCTATTACTTGATTGTTCGAAGAGCGTGCAGTAAAAAATAAAACATCGCAAACATCATGAAGTAGAATATGAATGATTTGTAATTTGCTGCTTTAAAAATTCTAATTTTAGATTGAATGTTTAAGTTACTGATATTAAATATGAATCAGTTTTGTTCTCATTCTGGTAACTATTTTTCTATTTGATTCAAGCTAATAGCGTTAGAAGTCATACTGGAAGGTAAAGCAAAAATAGAAATTGAGTGAAATTTAGTTATAGCTCATCGTCTTCTCTAGCAATAGTTTCTAAAATGTCTAAAAAGTTTGACAATTTATTTTTCTTTTCACCATTGCAATAAAATTCATTTTTTGGCATTCTTTTGTATACTTTTTCAGTAAAAAATAAATAATGTGTTTCGTCAGATAACAGCAATTAACAAATCTGATAAAAGTCAGTAGAGGTTACTAGAAAAGGACGAAGGATAAAAACAGTTGGATATATATTTCAACTTTTCATTCTTTTTTGTTGTAGAATTTATTGCATCTTTGAGACTGCAGTCACAAAAATTAAGGTTTTACGGAATTAAATGAGCTTTCGTCATAAATCTTAGTCATTTTTTTAAGAGAATAAAAAACCTGTCAAAAAAACTTTTACAATTTGTCAACAACAAACTTCATCACATAAAAATAAGTGATAAGAAATTTAAAAAAAGAAATCTTCTCCTTCTTCTTCTTCAAGATAACTATTCGTTGTTAACTATCATTGAAATAGCTGCTCGTTATTTCCATTTTTTCTTTTAAACAAACCTTTATTTTCTTTCGTGCAAGTTTTCCAAACAATGTTGCTGAGCTAATTCTATTTTCTGATTTAAAAGATAAACAGAATTATTTGTGATATGGAAGTGAAATAATCAAGTATCGATGTAAATTTATTGGCAACAAAGTTTTTAAGAATTTTTGATCAGTATCCTTTGTTTACAATGATACAGCCATTTTGGCATCAGAAAAAACGTAATTGTTGTCTTTTCTCAACAGTTTTTCTTTATGTGTTTTGTCAAACTTAATATTAATATTTAGCGATCACTTAGCATACATTGAGTTGAGAAAAGTAGTAAGAAAAATAACAAGTGGAAAATTAGAGTGAGTATTCATTCCTAACCGACATTTAATTTTTTTGAAATGACAGTTTTTTATCGATTAGCTTACTAATATACTCTTTATTTTTCTATGTTGTCGTAAAATCAGTTGACAATCTCCGAAATGATTCCTAAAATTCATCGGTAATTAGCTATAAAAATACTTAAAAATCTCTTTTTGCCATCTTAACACCCAGCTTTTCATCCAAAATATATCTTGAACTATTATTCTTAAATTGTTTTAAGGACTAATTAAAAAAAAAAAAACTATATGCAATGTTGTTTCATCCGCAAAAATTAGGAGAAATATGGATACATGTTTATTTTTAAAAAAGAATTTTAAAAAATTCCAATACTGCTTCTTGATCTCTCAAAAAAAACCGTTCCACAAAAAACCCACTTTGCATTTCTAGGAACAATAAGCAAATAGGAGGTATTATTTTATAACCAGAGAAATCATTTACGATAAGGAAAATATAAAAAATGAAAAATAAGCGATTAATCAAAATCATTTTCGCCTAAAAAATTAAAATAAATTAAATTCAAAAAAGGCACTATCAAAACTATCGCTTTATTACAGTCGTTTCAAATATGATTATTTCTTTAACTCAAAAAGTTATCATTTTTCGAAAACGGTTGTCTACTATGAACTAACATATAATTCAAATTTTCAACAAACTTAACAAATTCTCTTGCATTTAATTTATTTGCAAAGTAGAAAAAGATGCGAAAAATAGTAGTCGACGAATTTTCATTAAAATAAGAAGTAGAAAATTATAGTCATTGATAAGCATGGCTCCACTCTTCAATGAACGGTAACAATAGATATAGTTATTTCTACCTGTGATGTGGGCAGCACATTCCACTGATATTCTTGTGGAAAGAACGTACCTCTCATTTCCATTTAAAGAGTTTCGTCTACACAATATCACACAAATGAGAAATTGTGACTTCTTTCCATTATAGTATCAGGAAAATTTGATAGCTCCAATTCGCATTAATACTGAAAATGCGATTTGCAAGAGAGAAAAAACTATTTGTCGTTTCAGAGAAAGACTGAAAGAATAAATAAATGAAAAACAAACAAGCATTTGTATCAACGACTGATTAAACTCACTCTGAATGACAACATTGATAATTGTACTTTGGCGTCACCGTTTGAATTTTCATGGCTATTGCAAACAAACTACAGATCCAAGTTTCAGAGTAGTTGTTGTTGGGCCAGAAAACTCGATTAGTGATGATACGTGGTAAGTTCTAATTCAAATTATTCCTTCTATCTAATATTTGCAGAATATTTCAAAAAGGACAAAAAAAAAATGTTGAAACTTTAATTAACATGATTTGTGATTAATAAATGAATGGATATGAGTGGGTGTAAGAAGTGAATGTTAATTATTGCTAATACCAAAAATGTGATCATTTTTTTTTTTTTCAATCAATCAATGAAATTCATTGGCACTTTTTTATACCAATTTCTTTTTAAAGCAAATATTCCGGACCTTATTTACAGCTGTAAATGAAATTTCATAATTCTACTTTGTAGTGTTGATGTCCACTATCAAATTCAGCCAGCATTTGGTTCACGTAATCATTGCCATGCGCTATTGATAGAAAAAGTTCGGGAACTTGTCTCGAATTACGGGTTAACTAGACGAATCATTGTTACTTTCGAAGCCGAGCTGCAATATTTGATGGCTAAAATTAGGTTAAAAGTTTAGGTATTTGATTAGGTATATGTGCTGTGGTTATCATAAATGAGAATTATGAGAATTTTGTTAAGAAAGTAATTACTTAATGAATACAGATTTTGATCATCATCTTTATAAATAAAGATTGAAATTTTTGGAATTGAATTTAATATTTTTGGTGTCATTTTTAGTTCAGCTAAAATATCTTTTCAATTTCCACTTAGTACATATATTTTTTTGAATAGATATTTCCCGACTTCAGGTTTGAGTCCGGTATTGAAGGACTTCTACCCGATCATGTGGAACAAGTTGTGCATATGAAAGAAATGAAACTTATTGCTAGAAGAAATGGTCTTATGACTTTGAGGCATGTTGATTTCGTTTTTCTATTTACGAACTCTATTTCCCTTTTTCAAATTAAGTGCATAACTAAAACATAATTAGATTTTTTTAATGCATTCGATAAATGTAATTGAAATAATGAAAATATTTCACATGCAATATAACAATTCCGAAGCAAAATTAAAATTTTGTAGAAAAGAATTTTATGCTGCTTTTTAATGTTTAATATGATTAGTAATGATTAGAATCCACTTAAGAATTTAAAATTTTCTGTAAAATCTACATAGTTATATATCAATAAGAATTTATTGTCTGTTCACAGCAGCAACAAATATTCGATTTTATGTAAATATACAATGATTTTACATAAAGGACTTCTATATAAATATATAGATTTTATAGAAAATTTTAAATTTTTGAGTGGATTACAGAAAATTTAAAATTTTTTAAATAAAATGACGCTAAATTTCAAATCAAGTTTTAAGTCTGAGAGATTATAGATAGATTTTCTAATCTAAATTTTAATATTTCTGTTGTTAGTGCTTATCTCTAAATAAAAGTAAAACCAATCTTAAACATCGCAATCTTTTGATGACTTCTTTCCGATAGTTAGCCCAAAAATGTTCTCAATACCTGAATACCCATCTGTACAAATTAAGACATAAAATTCTACATTTATTATTTATGGAAAAAGAATGAGGATTATATATTTCGCACCCGACTCGATCAATCATTCATTAACAACTGAAAACGAAAAATATCAAAATTAAAAATGATGAAATTGTTTCGGAGATCTCAATAACCATAAAGTCAAAATATTATTCGAAAATTTCGATAATTTCAAACAGATTATTAAAAATATTGGCAGGCAAACGATAATTCCTTTAAAAGCTGAGCCATCATTGTGGTTGAGACGTATTGTCACCCAACTTGACGGATTTCCCGTATTTATACGATCATGTGAAGCGAAACATGGACGCAAAATAACACGTTACTCAATTCATGACTGTGATGAAATGCAGTATTGGATTAAGGTAATTGGTTTATTCAATCGGAATACTTTTTGGTTCTTCTGGTACATAAAAATTTCAAGGAAATAAACAAACTCCGTTTTTTTATAAGTTTGTTCAATTGAAAAAATCTCCAAAAGAAACAAGGAATTAATTTAAATCAAAACATTTGTAAAAGTATAAGTATCCAACAAGCATACTAATGGACTCATTAATTCATTTTAGAATAAACTGGAAGTAGAAAATAAACATGACAGGGAATTTATTGTAGAAGAATGTCTACGAAACGGTTATGAGTTTGTATCTTTATATTCCAATTCTGGTTTTATCTGTAAGCTCTTTTTCAACTTTTACTTTTTAGTATTCTTGAAACCTTCATGTTAATGACATATTGTATAATGCCACATGTTACCACTCATTTTATTAAGTGTCATCAGTATTAATTCCAAAATTTCTAGGCACTATAGCAAGATTGGGTGCAGAGGGAACATTATTTGAAAGTATTCGGGATCAAAAACCATATGCCTACGAATACCTTACAGTGGATCAAACACGAGATATTTTACCAGGAGTTGAATCGTTTGTCCTGCGAACTGCAAAGTCACTTCCTGTAATACCGAACTCATCTTTCGTGTTCATTAAAGGATTTTATAAGGTTTACTATGATAAAATTGTTATTACCTGCCCAACTTGCCAATAGGTAAAGCGAAATGCAGGAAAGCACAAATAGGTAAGACACCGACACCGACGGCACAACTTTACTGCAAATATATGATAAATTAGAACTTCATTAGTTTTACAAATAATTCATAAACAATTTAAATAGGTTATATTAATAAATTTCAGAATCATAACAACATTTATTTACTTGGAACCTACCTGCAACCATTGTGTGATTCTCATCGACGGTTAATTGAAGCAGCTAACCATGGGGTAGGCTGGGAAATCCTTCTCTTGAACTGCATGGAGGAAGTATTGGAAGTATGATAGTTTCGTTTCAAATTCCTACTTGTGAAATAGTAAAAGAAAAATTGCATAATAATTTCAGATAGCTAACCGACCATATGACATGCAAAAATCAACCGAAAATCATCATGTACTGGTGAATTTTCCGAGCATAGAAGGCGTTTTGCTACATCAGACGAATATAACAAAACGGAGTTCAAGTATGCGCGTAATTTGGAAAGCTTGCGAAGGTCAAGAATTGACCAATTGTACATCCTCCGATGATAATATCTTGCAGGTATTATCCCACTGTTAGTCAGTAAGGATCGGAACTTAGTGAATAAATTTGGTACAACGAAAAAAGAAAGACTTACGTGCGTTGAATCGAATTGCGTGGCGAATAAGATTATTATTTTATTGTTAACACCGCAAATAACCAAATATAGAATAGGAACTTAGAAATATAGGATTAGATAGTAGTAATCTGGCAATGAGGGTAGTGAAGTAGAATGTCCGATCTAGAATGAATCGAAACGCTTAAATATATTTTAGACTAATGAGTTAGGCTACAATAAAAAATAATATAAGACTGCAATATGTGTAAATGTCTAAAACAATGGATAAGACTGACAAAGGTTTTTTTACATGATTAGCATTTCACTTGTTATACGATTTAGATTAGATAACACATTCATCTCTGGGCAGGGGTAAAGGTTGCAGTTACTTTTGCATAATGTGATGAGTCCTTTACTTACGAAATGGTTTATACGAAAATCTTTATTGCTCTAACATATTATAGATTTCTTCAGCTTTCTGACACCTGTATCATATCTCTTTAGGAAATTCATTTCATTCCTTAAGGCAGATACTACTATGCTATCACATATGTTGCAGGTATTTCTCTCGAATCCGAATAGAGCGGAAGTGATCGCCGATGCTCGAGACCTGATAGAAAACACCTACATAGCTGTTGACCGTTCGGTTGATAAACAAAACTTTTGTAATGAAATACGAGCAAAGGGCTGCAGTCATTTCATTCGAGGCATGACAACTTGTGACTAATTGCTATCTTGTCTGGAAAATTTATCTTCAAGGTTCTTCGTACACTATTTCAATAGCAATTATTCAACTTATATAGCATAGTGACAACAACATTAACACTCAAATATATATCAAGGCTGCTTATAACTCAATCAGGGTACTGGCCTTTGGAATCAATATTATTAATGATTTTCTCTTTTCAGAAACTTGCAAGAGGCTATATTCCAGTGAAAGTAGTTGTTTAAGAATAAGGTCAGCATTGCAAATATAAAGAAATCTTCATCAATTACTCCAAAAACATTAATGCTATTCGTGCGCTCACATTGTTCTCTATCGTAATAAAACATTCTGCCATATTTTGTTTGTTAATGTGATCCAGAAGATAAACATTGCATTTTGATGTGTGGAAATGGAAATTTTGAACACAAAGAAATCAGGAAAAAAGCAAAACAGCAAACAAATTATTGTACTTCTGTTAATAATATTACCATTATATAATCCAACAATGACAAATGGGCCAGTAAATGAAGCGTACATCGAAATACTTGGATAGGGAAAGAAAAGCACTGCATTGTTCTGGAACAGAAAGTAAAACGATAAATCTAAAAATTGCTTGGAAATGTCAAATTGTATTACTTACAGAATAAGCTCAAACAAGCAAATATAATATGTCCTATTACTATCAATCTTCAGTTCTTACAGCAATATTTTAAAACGAAAACAAGAGAAAAAATAACATGTTACATAATTCCGTCCAAAGTTATCCCTGCAATCAATTTATTCTTCAGATGCTTTCCCATCGCTCAAAAATATATGAATTAAGGAACATTTCAAGTGAAAAAAAAAATATTAAAGAATTAAAAAACTTAAAAAATATTAATAAGATCAATAACCTTATTAACGTTTTCCATTTATTTCACAGACTTCGATCCCGAAATTTGCACTTAATAGCAAAATCTATAACAGATTTAACACAGGATTCAAAAAAAGTTTAAAAAAAAATTCTCACGACGAATGTGGAAGACCATAACGTGAAAACAAACAATGAATAAACAAAAGAATTATCACATAAAGTGCTCAAGAAAATAATGAAGTGTACCTAAACAGAGCACTTGTAAAATGGACTAATTGAATCCCACAATAAAAATTTCTCTAACAAGGAAAAGAACACCCGCAATTATAGAGTGTAAGCATGCAAACTTCAATCTTTCATATTATGGAAAATGGCTACATTATAAAAAATGAATTCAACCTTCATGAAAATTGGTGAGAAAGCATACACATTTTCCAATGCAGTAATTAAAGGCATGCAATGATTACAAAGGGAATGTTCTATGTGGATGTGCTAATCCAAGACTTTTTAAATTTATTTGAATTGAAATAAGCACAAGGTCAAACCGAAATACAACAATCCTTCCTTACTTCTTTTATGAGCACCAATAACACAAATTTCGACAAAAATCAAATGAAGTAGATCTGAAAACCAGTCAAAAAGAAATGAATCTAGATTTGAAAGGCAATTCAAAAAGAAAAGAAATCCCTAAGATTTGTGCATAAAAAATTTTGATATCAAGTCTACTCTGTAATTCAGCAGAAATATTTACAAATCCAGGGAATTCTTAAAGTTCCCAAGGTTACAACTGAGGCAGTTTAAAAGAATAATTAGTTTCGAGCGCAATTAAAAAAATGAAATATCCTTAAAGATATACGAAAACGGAAAATAATAAAAAGTACAGCATTTAATAAAGCAAACTGGTTTTTACTAAAAATGATCTAAAACGGGTAGCAATCTAAATGAAAAAAAAGGGAAAACAAAAACGAAACGAAACTTTAAGAGTCAAAATTATTCCCATGCAAATATTTTTGAGAGCTAAACACTTTTGCAAGGGCATCGGCACCAGCGGAACCAATCAAAGGCCTACTTGGATGAAATGCAACCGTCATCACAGCGCTATCAAACTTTTTGCGATGCGCCGCAATCTCCTGAAAATAAAAATAGTTTTAATGAACCGTCCATGGCTGTAACATTTTTGGCATTTACAATTATACGTGCATCTACAATATCAGAATTAAAGCCAGCTGAAATAAATTATTCCAATGGAAAGAAATGATCGGTATAATTTTTCCACTCTAAATATATAAAAAATGAACCACCTGTAAGCAAATCCTTTTTTCCATATTCCAAAGACGTAAAGAACCATCATGACTACCGGAAAGTAAATAAAGACCATTAGGATCAATAGCTAGACACGAAATTGCTTCAACATGTGCAACGGTTCCATGAATCATTTTGCCTGAAAGAGAAGCGTGACCTACGATAACACACCAGCAAAAGCCAATCTGCAGATTAACTGTATGACCAACATGGATCTGTCATTTTTATTTGTGCCTCCTTTAATGAGCCTTCTATTCATTCAAGTACAAAAGAAGAAAACAACGAACATAACTGATGTTACTTTATCAGTCCAAAAAACAAGCAAAACAACGACCACTAATAGCAAACAGAAAACAACCATGCAACGTATTTTAATTTAGAACTAAAAATTTTCAATTTATATTAAAAAGTTCATGTTCAAAAATTCCTAAAAATGATTTCTCTTAAAAAAGAGAAGTCCGAATACCAGTATTGTTATCGAAGTAGCGTATTTTGCGATCATTACTAGCAGTTAAAGATACTGACATCGTTGGGTGTGACAAAATTTTCGTAATTGTTCCAGCATCTTCTGAAACACAAACAATTTTGATGTTTTGTTTTCGAAAGACGAACTGCAGAGTTATTATGAAGTTGTACCAAACTTTTAGAAAAAAATAATCGAACATATTTTCAGATCTAAAAATGATGTCCAAATAACTAAAGAAAGAAAAATTTCCTGAGTACAAGCAAATTTACATTTCGGTGTTTTTTTCCATAAAACAGAAACCGATAGACGTGCTTCTGAATTTATTTCATGAAAAAAATAGTGAACATGAGTGCTCGAGAACTTACCATCACCAAAATCAAATGACAGCACATTGCAACCAGTCTCGATATCAATAATTGAAGCATATGATGAAGTATAAGCCGCTAGCAGTTGCTGTGGTTCAGTTGAAACAAAGTCGACTGATGTTGGCTTTATATTTGGCAGTGCAGCACCAAATGATTTGATAAGAGCGTCCGTATTTCCTTAAGATTTATTCACATATTTAACTATTAACTACACCACCAGTGGAAGGTCTACCATCCCTTTATTAAAACTCAAGCATCAGAAATAATATAATTATCACATGAAAGTTAGTGGCGTCCTATTAAATGCAAAACTTATTTTTGAAGAAAATTACCCGGTTCCCAGAGTTTAATCGTTCCATCAGCAGAAGCACTAACGAGGCGATTATCGGATGAATGAAACGCAACTGACCAGATCGCACTGGTATGACCTTTCAGTTTCTCACATAACACCTTCGAATCTTCAAACATGTTTTTAGATCGGAAAGAACATCTGACACGTGTTTTACATTTCAAAAAATCATCATCAGTCATAAACTTTGATGCAGTAACTTCAAGCAATGAACTCCTAAAAGACAAATTCATACTTCATAAATTTTAAGTGAATAAAATCACACCGTATGGTTCATATATATCCGTATTAACTGATGGTACCGACCAACAACACACAACACCATCAAAACCACCAGTATAACACATATCACCTGTTGGTGACATATCCATTGAAAGGATCGGCCCACTGAAAAAGAAATTTATTTATCAAATCCACAAAAAAAAAAAAAAAAAAAAAAAAAAAAATAAATCAGTAAACAAGATATGGTTAAATTGCAAAAAAAAAATTACGCACTTGTGTCCGCGGAACGTATATGTTGGCTCCAGCTCAGTGATTGCAGACTGTGGATGTGTTGAGACTTGATCTGCAATAATATACAGCAAATTTTATAATTAAAGAAACTATATAAACGAATTCGTATCTTAGAAATTGTTTATAAATCCCCATATGAAAGCTATAGATCATAAAGGATTACAGCAGCCAAACGAAGAGAAAAAATAGTTATTTACTTCCTTTTAAATCCATTTTCATACAGATACTACCCAGATTCCAAAGTTTCGCCGTGCTGTCTTCACTAGCAGTAATAAGCACCGGTTCAACGGGATGAAACTGCATGACACGAATGCTATCGAAATGTGAACGTAGCGTAAATTTCAAATTCCACCGAATATTCGTTGTATCTTCATCTGGCTAAAAATACTTTAGAATTTGAGATACCCATTCGAAAACATGCTTTAGATATGTGGAAAAATCAACCAATCTGAGGAAAATATTCAAAATTAGCAAAGATATAAAGATAAAACGAAAAAAGGGAAGTATATACTAACGATAATGAAATCATCTTTAATATCAACACTTTCTTCATCAGCAATTCCAAGAGCTGCATTGATATCCATAAACTCTCGCCTACTTTTACCACAGAAAAAATGTTGCACATCATCTGCAAAATAAAAATAGAAAAAGCGATAAGGACCTGTTTCATTCTTATCCACAGTATCTCAGTAAAAAAAGAACAGTGACATATGAAGTTTTGTATCATTTTCCTTAGCTAAAATGAATTTATACACTAATCGGATATTAAATCAGTAGGAAGTACGAATGGAAAAATAGAAACAAACGAAATCAGATAAAAAATTATCAAAATTCAGATATGCTGCAGAAACGAAACTACCATCAGATACTTCTTTTTTGACGTCATCCGCTCCTAAGCGAAGTTGATGTGGCGGTCCTCTACCTGACGAAGAATCACTCTGACTATTATTTCGTTTTCTTTCTTGTTCCGATCTAGAAGGGTGCAAATATAAAGTTATCCCTTTTGTTTTTTTTTTTTTTCTTTTGTTGTTGTTTATATAATAATAACTTAAACAGTTCTTAGAACATAAGCCAAGACATGAGAAATCTAGTAAGAGCTAAACCAAGTAATGAAATATCTACCTGAACTTTTCCTTCATTTGATCAATAGCACGTTGATTGATGCTCCACTCACCACTTCCTTCTGATCGCTTTCTGCTTACACTTGTTTTCTCATCTTTTAAAAAGGAAAACTCTCCAAGCGCATCCACAGTTTCCGGATCAAGAGAATCCTTGTGTTCTTTTCCTGTCTTCTCATCATCTTCCGAATCGCTGTAATCATTATTAATAACAGCAAGTGCCCAAATAATTTTTATTGGGAATTTAAAACTTAAATATGCCAAAATTTAAGTATGCATCCTAATTTAAGCACACAGCCTATAGAAAAAAAAGGGAAACATCACCTATCATCACTTCCAACTGGTACAGAGTTATCCTTTTTCTTTTTCCGAAGATACTGAGCAGCTTCCATTACAGCTCGATCAGTATCTTGAAGAGCCTTCACAGCATTTTGCCGAGAAGCGCTGAAACAAACAAGACTGTTCGGATTCAGTGTTTTCGTCATAATAACCATTAATAATATGTCTTATAGGAGTGCTAGTATATGAGTACATTTAATGATTAATGATTCATGAATTTTAAAATGTTTCTCTATCACGAATTAACCATCCACTTGAAGCTGATGCTTAATTTTTTTTTTTGGATTAATAATTACTGCACATGATATCGTGACACTACTAAAAGATAATGCATTCGGATATAGTCCAGCAGCAAGTGCTACTACCTGTTAGAATCATTTTGCCAATCTGAATGTGGCATCAGTCCCAATAAATTTTTGGCCCGAAAAGATCGAACATCCAAAATCGTCTCACTGTAACCAATCTCCTAAAATGCACTCAGGAAGTTACAAAATTTTACAAGAAATGCTCTTGAAACTTTTCAAACATTAACTGCAGAGATGTACATTAACCTGCAGATATTGTCTCAGTAAAGCTCTTGCATTACGAAAACTGGAGGTGCTGTTACACTGCGAAGCGTAGGCATCTACGTCAAGAGAAACTTGTTCAGCAGTCTCTGAAAATACACTTCGAAAATTCATGTTCCTTAAATACTGGATCATAGGGAAACATAAACCGCGATTCTTAAATTCAAAACATTTCACGCATCATTCCCGACATAAGTCCAGTGTACATAAACTATGTACCTGCTGCTTCATCCGGGCTCACTTCGTCTTCTGGCTTATCTTGACCGTTGTGAGTTAAGCGATAATTTTTAGCTCTGAAACAGAATATTTAGTCATAATGAATTAATGTATTGCAAATTTGTCAAAAAATATTCTGTAAATGAATACGATATCTTTCATCGATGGCCATACATAATTGGTCACTTGATAAGACTTGAAAAGTAGCATGATTGAAATGGAAATCGTTTGCTTATTCCAAAAAAGAATTTTAATCCTTACGGTTCAAACCATGTGATACGCAGTCTCTTTAATTAACGATTACGTGCTCTCTTAATTTTCATATCAGAAATTAAAAAATAATAAACATGCTAAACATTAAAAAAAAAATATAATTCAGTCACAATAATACAAAAAAGAAAATTGAAGAACAGCAATAAATCTGTCAAAAGGTCAGACCGTTCCTGTTTTAAACTGTATTCAAGCATTTTTATGCGTCGGATCAGATCTGCCTTTAAATTTTCCTGTCCTTTTCGCTCACCGTGAAGAAAGCTTATTCGTGCCTAAAATGATTATGAAAATGTATAACATCAACGTAAAACAATATAACATGAGAATGTTGCAACATCTGAAGTTCTTTTATAGAGGTACAAGAAAAAACCTGCAATTCAGCTCTTTCCATCTCCCACTGCGCCCGATCCATTTCATAACGGCTCCATTCATGTTGCAAGTAATGCAACACACCGTGCATTGTATATGGCACTTTTCGTGGCTATAAAAGAATCACTGATCAGAAAAATGGATGAAAGTCAGAAGTTATCTACAAAAGTTTTAGAAATTATCAACATAATGCCATGTATACAAGCTGTTTTTTAAGATCGTAACGGATGTATATCTCTGTTTATCACTGAAAGGCAATCAAAAAGATGAAAATTGAAAAGTCAAAAGGAGATTTTCGTTCGGAACAGATACACTCAGCAAACTAAATATGAACAAGTAATAAACGTCTACCTGTTCATCTCCTTTACAATCCAAAGCGTTTGAATCTTGCTGAACATCATGCAAAGGATATTCATTACTACTCATTTCTTCGTTCACGTCTACAATAAAACATGCAGAGATCTAATAATATTTTAGGTCCAACTGATTTTTAACTGGATAGAAGATAAACAATTCGAAAAATATTAGAAAATGAACTTCTGCTAGAGCTATCATTTTCATAAAACACGGTACATTTTGTTGCACTGATCACTGCATCTAATGTCTTAAATGCAGATCTAATACATGTAAATTCAGCACAAAAGATCTGGATGAATGTAATTAATGATATGTAAAAGAAATACAAGATACAAACTTGTATCGGCTCCTCTTGGTGTATTAACAGTGCTGGAATCTCTCTGAGCTAAGTTGGAGTTATCAATGTTAACCATCGCACACCAACATCAGAGACTGCTTTGTAGCCACCTACTTTCACTTTTTTTTTGTTTCAGTTAAATTGATAAAAACTGTGGCTGTTCCTATGAAAAGTTTTTCCACTGATGAACACACAGGAGGTGCTAAAAGTAAAAAACAAATTTTCAAAAAGTTAAGATCAAAGAAACAAAGGTGAAAATCCGTAATGTCGCGCTAATAATGCTTTTCTATCTGCAGATTTTGTTGCAGTAATAAAGTATACAAGAAAGGAAAAGATGCGGAATCATCAAATAATGCTAACTGACTGAATCTCACATTTTACACAAAAACATTCAAATTTTAAGTCTCCAACAATAGACTGACAGAGAGCCAATTAAAGTTAAATATAGTTCACACGCATTCATTTCATGAAAAATACTTGCTTAAATGGTTGTTTACATTTCACCTCATGACTTCGTCATGCTATAAAAAATGCAGGGAGGAAATATTTCTTAACGACACAGTACTTTCTCTCTTAGCTAGTTCTGGATACATATATTCCAGGAGCTTTCTTCACTGCCCAATGATAATTAAAATCTGAACGGTTTGGAAAATGCAAACATTAACTCAACTTGCAGGTAATTCCTCTCAGACTCTTTAAGCATGTAATTCTATTTGGCTTTATAAAAATAACAGGAAAAAGTATGACGAAAAATAACAAAAGGGACTAACATTGGATAAATTCGATAAGAAGGCAAGATAATGGGAAAAGATTTCTAGTGAATGACTTAGAAAGAAAATATCTACATAAAACAGTTTTCAGAATAAAAATTCTTCAAAATGATATAAACGACAGTGAAATATCCACCATATTATTTGTTAGTCACTGCGATGAGTGCTTTTCGTTATAAAAACGCTATATATATATATATGTTTCTGTCAATTTTTTTTTTCTTTCACTAGAACAAAGTTTGTTAGGAAGTTATAAAAGAAGGACAAACCACTGTAAAACATGCACCGTCGTGCATTTCTGAATGGATGCATGGTGCATCCATAAGCTTTCATCATTCTGAAATTAAAAACTTCTTACTATCTAAGACTACAAAACGTATCTCACAATACTGTATCTCATTATGCAAATGAGCTTTATATTTGTTAGGATATCCAAATAATACAGTTACTTAATTGGTTAAAATTTATTATTAAACTCAGAAATGTATATCACAAACGAGAAACCAATTGAGATGCTGGATGATAAGAACATTTTGTTACTGATAAAGTGATATTTCATTAATTATTTTGTTAAAATAAATTATCGAAAAACGTTCCATACACATTTCCTCTCACATACATACTTCACTTGGTATAAAAAAAAGAAAAATTAAATAACGCATTTCGAAAGGATTTTACGCTATACTACTTTCAACCAAGTGGTTGTGAAAGATGATAAAATTGTTAAGTCAATCATAGAAAGAAGGAGCAGAATTTATTAATTCCCACTTCAAGTAACCAATAGAAATAAAAGTAGACAGACATTTTCGTTATTACTAAAAACAACACAGCGCTTAAATCTGTGAATCTAGATTACTCTAAGATAGTTCAATGATTATCACAAACATGATGAGTGAAAGCGTTAACACAGATATAACTGCACTCAAAACCAATACTGAAATCGGTGTTGAACGGAATGAGTTTCAGGATGAGGAATTCCGGCTGATAAGAAGAACAAAGTGCAACACCTCTCACCTTTCCCCTTCATCCGCCCTTAACCTTCTGCACATTCCAGGATCTAATGAGTTACACAACGCACGGAAGAATCCGTTTCCTATTAAAGTTCGGATTGAACACTATGCAAATAAAACGTTTCTCCAAAGTCCTATTGAGAAGGATTTCTTATCTCCAATTTTACCTAAACACTTGATAGCGATACCTTATCACTTCTGAATTCTCTTCATCCGGTCAAATAACTGATACTACAGGCGCCAGTGTGAATGAATTTTGTTTGAAAAGACAGAAGAGAAGAAAATACTGAAGATAGAGGGATTCATTTTCATTAAACTCCTGAGAAACCAAACTTTTGATTTCTGAGATGAATGAAACGACGTGCATCTGAAAAAAATTTGAACAATATTGGGCAAGGATGAAGCCAAGCAATGACAATAGTAGTCTCTGTAATCAAGTTATAGATGAATGAGTACTTGTGCGTATTCTTAAGCATTTGTTACAAATGAAATTAACAATAATGGGTACCAATGAAATTAACTGCAAATGCTATGATTAACAGTGATTATCATTTTAATTTGATCACACAAGACAGCAGTGGTCTCTGTATTTAATTCTTTGAATTAAATCGTCAAAACTAATTGAACCTTTTCATGCAGAGAAACAACCGTTCCTCAATAAGCTGCGGCAGAATTATTAACACAAAGAGTTACTTGGCTTTATGCCACCAATCAACAGATCTGAAGACAAAGCCCCTTGCAGTAGGTGTATTTTGTTTTGAATGCTGTTGTCAGGTAATGTGGTGAAGGTACTGATACTATCAAACATTTCCTCTTTTCTTTTCATCCTTTAATTTCTCATGTTCGTCATAATTTCACGGATCTGCTTTCGAAGTTGTTGGAAAAAAGCATCTGATTATGTAAGAATACTTTAAAATCTCACAGGAAGCGTTAACTCAAAGTGATTTGGAGCCAAGTGGGAAATGAACGTTGCAATTGTCGTTGCACATTGCCTAAGCATTATCTATTGGCTTTATTGAGGAAGAAGCTTAGCACCATTTTATATGTCAGTTGAGCATTTAGTTCTTTTAATTTCATGCTTTATTTTACGCTAGATTTGGCTCTATCTTGAAATGCAACAGTTGAACTCAGTAAAAGTTAAAGAGCGGAATATCTTTGACATTATACCGTTAGGAGAATTCATGACTAGGTGTTTATTATACTCACCGAAAGAGTTAATAAAGGTTATTGGCTGCTGATATTTGTCATAATGATACTGGCACTGTTATCTCTTCTAGCTATATCATTCATTTATTTTTTGTGTGTGTCTTATAGCCATTTCTAACTACGCGCATCCTTCAGTTCAATTTTCCAGTCGATTATAATAATGCTGTCATTTACGTGGCCTCACTGTTTACCGTACGTGTGACGCACTCACTTTAAAAAAGTTGAAATTTGGTAATAATTCTGAATATGAGGTTCCGTTTTATATAAATGGTTAATTATAAGTTACAGTATTCATTTGAAAATTTCCAATACATTTCCTCTGATTTTGTCCGTAATAATCCTTAACAATTCCAGTGAGTCTAATATAAGCACTTTTTTGCCAAAAATTCTCATTTAGGAAAAGAACAGCTTTTTCTTTGGCTTACTTTACTTTTTTGACTGACTCCTCTCAAATTTGCTTCCGATCAAAAGATGCAATCCAACTTCAAGACAGTGCCACAGCGTTGTGCTTCATCATTTTCAATTTCTTATTTCGCAAATAGAAGTGAAGCCTTTTTTTTTGTTCCCATAGAAAGGAGAAAATTTCCTTCCATCTCCATATTTAAGAGTGAGGAGGCATTATACAAATTGTTGATCTACTCTCAATGTAATAATGATTGGACATTAAGAAAGATAAGAGAAGGATAAGGTATAAATAATCATTAAAATTGGAAGAATGAGGAAGAGTCGCAAGAAGAAGGAAGGAATTATGATTTGATGAGAAACATTTATTACGCAAAGAGTTGAAAATGTTTTGCAGAAAATTTCCGGAAAGAGTTTCCCACCTGCTAATCAGTTAAATATTCCTGTAGCAAGCATACTGTTGCAGGTTCTTATTATTCCGTGAGGTATATATAATTAATAGCGCAGTATTGTTCTCGTAATTTTACTGGAAAGAAGCATTTTAGACAAAGACCAACACTAGCACACATGTACGTATACGAACATACCTGAGGATACGTTGAATATAGGCATACATCACCAAATTGATAATTGGAAAGTTTGGAGATGGGTAGATGATATAAAGAAGGCTGAAAGTGGAGTGAAAGGAGTTGTGAAAATGACCGGATAGTGGAGAGAAATGTTAAGGGTGCGCGGTTTTTGAGGAGAGAATTGAGGTGAAGGAGAAATGTGAGCAGAGGAAATGATCTTCGGAATATTTCCGACTCGAATTATTATATGAAGTGATTTGTTTACTGGACCGACATGAAAACAGAGGCAAGAGATAAGATTTGAACTGTGGTTGTTCAGCTTTGTTGAATCAGAGAATCTTTATGCGCTTATGGTGTAATTATTCATTCACATTGCTTATATCTGACATTGTATCTCCCGTTGAAAACTGCTTGATTCAATATTTGCAGTCCACTATATTCTGTTTTCTCTTAAATGATTTGACTCTCTCTCCCGCTGTGTTGTTTTCCTTTCCATTTAATTGATTAATACTTTGTCAAAGTTTATTATTTTTATGTTTGCTGTGTTTTTAAGCACAACATTTTGTCCTTTACGCTAATTCCAACGTTTAGAATTTAAATGATGCGTTTGACGGACTTAAAAAAACTGATGCGAGCTTACGTGATGTATGCATGATCTACATATGGTAAATCTGGATATATAGAAACATCATAAAGATACTGTAAATTACCTGACTTACATAAAACAGTAATATCTGTTTGTTATGGAAATTGAACGTCTTCAATTCCTAATTTATAATTGAAAATATTCAAATGTTTTGTTCAAATTGCGTATTTTCACGTGATGGTTGTTTTGTTCGTATGCATTCATTTTACTTTCTTTTAAGCTCTTTTCAGAGTTGCCATTATCATGGCTGCTGCCTGCGATATGATCTAAACTAAAGTGGAACATGCTTGTCCATATCCAATGCAACTTTTATTCATCTCTTTTCTTGTCTTCCTTGAATAATATCCCTTGTTCGAGAATCGCAGACAAAAGACATAAAATGTCCAGCGATATTCCGTACTGCAAGGAAATGTCAATATGAAAATGCAATGATTTTATGATATTGGATTTTGTAACCGAACGTTGAGTGGCGA